AGAAAGTCCCTTCACTTGGGTTCCTGCTGTAAACACGTGGCTCTGGGGAACTGGACCGAGGGCAAAGCTCAGCAAGGGCTGTCAGCTCTCGGAGGTGGTGGCTGCTGTGATGGAAGGACAAACAGATGTCCCTCAGGAGTGATGTGGGTAGAGCTGGTCCTCAGGAGCTGGGATGGACCTGGTATCTTCTTGAGAGCCTGGTGAAAATGAAGAGCAAGGTGGTCCTAGTGCCTTCTCACCACTGCAGATGGGAAAGACAAAATATCTAGAAATGGCAGTAGCTGGCAAGTTGCTTAAAACTCCTGCTTTGGTTTCCCACCTGTCTGGAGCTTCCCTGCCACAGGCAGGGGAAGCCACTTTTGCCCCTCTGTTGTGGCTCAGGGGTCTCTTCCAAGACCAGCTGTGCCTGGAGGTGACTCCTCTTTCTTTCTAAAGGTCGGACTTGGGAGTGAAATGCTGGTAAAGGCTGTTCAGCTTTGCTCAGCCCCCCCTGTGTTCATGGACTGCCGGGCTCAGCACCCTTGTTTCTCTTGTTGTGAATCACCCATAAACCCAATTTTAGTTTGCGTTCCCATGGGAGGGAGGCGGTTATGAGATTTAAGGAGGAGAAATGTCCTGGGGAAGTTTTTAATCATGCATTCCTCCAAACCTGGAAGGAGAAAAAAATGACCCTCCAGCTCTGTGCTGGAGCATGGCAGCGTTGTTCCTTACCTCACTGTGCTCAGAACTTGATTTCACAGTTTATCTGAGAAATGACCAAGGTAAAACCTGACTGATAACTGGAGCTGGCCAGAAGATACAAAAGCGAGAGCTGTTGGTCTCAAAAAAATGGCATTTTTTGGCAAAGCAAGCTGTACTGTCAGGGATCTGTTGGTACTTCTGGATTCTCCTTAATAACATATTTGCAATGATTGCCTGTATGCTCTGTTTATCAGATCCTGGCTTTACAGTAAACATAAGCTAATAACCATTTTTTTCAGAGTATTTTCTTGGATGATTCCCAGTTAAAAGAAGGGGGGGGGGGGGAGGAATGTGGAAAAAGGTCCGTTTTTCTGAGTCTTCCCCTGTGGCGCAGATTTGATCCCAATTCCCAAGAAGGCAGCTGAAGCTCCCCCTGGTTTGGGGTTGCTGGCACGGAATGGGAACATTGGCTCAACATCCCAGTGAGCTTGGGTCACAGACATAAGCAGAAACCTCCTTGATGTGGAAACCACTGCCCGGGAGCCAGGGGGACCCCAAGGGCAGAGAAAGGCTGCGATACTCTGTCGGTGAAGACCACTGGTGGAGATGCCATGGGGCTAAGCAGGCACCTTCCTCTGAGGTGTCTTGGGGGACATTACCACGACTCTGCCCAGGCTGTGGCTCTCACCCAACTAAGGACATTTGTCTTCTCTAGTTCATACTGCTTGTTGTTGTGTTGGTTTTTTGGTTTGTTTTTTTGTTTTGTTTTTTTTTTTTGGAAGGATCAAACTTTCCAGTGACCTCATCCTGCCCTCAGAAAGTCGATGTAAATGTGCAAATGTCACAGTGGAATTTACCCAGCGAGGAAAAAGTAACCTGAATTTTTCCTCCGCCAGCTGAGTGAGGCTGGGGAGCACTGCACGGAGGCAATGTGGCCACTGCCCTTCCCTTGTCTGGATCTGAGACCTTGCAGCACATCCCTCCCATGGAGGCTGGTGTTCTATAAAAAAAAAAGACATGGCCTATAAAGATCCCAAAGTCCCTGAAAAGCAGGTTATTCCTATATTAGCAGAACCCTTGACTAATACAATCCAAAGGTACCGTGGCTTCAGTGTGATGGGTGTTCTCCACCCCTCCTCGTTGCTCCACAGCACAACCAAGTCTCCAGGTGCCCAGCAGGCACCTAGACTGATCCCTGGGCAATGTCCACTCGTGAAGTGTTCCTGGAGTTGTCCTTTGGAAAGTGCCTTTAGGGTGCAATGGGGTCGTGAGCCTTTGAGTCCTGCTCAGTGCGTTGCGGAGAGACGTGTCCAAACGTCACACGCATGACACTTCTTTCTGCTGGTGGAGGTTTTCTTACTTATGACTGATAAACATTTACATGTTTTGGTTGTAGCGGGTCCCCGCGCAGAACCGTGCGATACTCCTGTGATCCTCGTTTGGTTCTCAGCCTTTAGATCTCAACCAGTGAGTGACACGGAGGCACCTCTGTTGGGGGACAAAGGTGCCAGCTGCAGGAATGTCATTAGCAGCGACTACCAAACGTTCACCCAACGCTCATCACTTCATATTGCTGGTGGGTCAGTGGGGCGAGTCCCCTGGGGACCCGTCTTGGGCGGGGTGATGTGCAAGGGGATGGAGAAGGTTACCCCACCAGGCATGTCCTCCTCTGCTTCACGGTTGCCTTGTCTTCTGCCCATGATGGGGCACATCTGGTGTGTCTCAGACCACGGAGGCTCCATCACACCTGAACAGGAGTTCAGCTGGGATGGTGCCTTTCACCAGAGCACCTTCTTAAACCACTTTTTCCCTCTGTGACCACCTTCCGCACCCTGCTCTGCCTCAGAGGACCCCTCTCAGCTCGCTGTAGGTATCACCTCTGTGTCCTCTCCCTCTGGCACAGCAGTTTGCCACATCTGCCCGCCAGCACCACAACACTAGGGTCGTATTTTGGACAGGGCAGCTTGCTTTCAGATCAGGATGCTGGAAAAAGGGAGGAGGCTACAGGCAGCGTGCCCGGAAGAAGCCTCCAGAAACATGATTTAATAAAAGTGAAGCCGAGCAGTGCAGACCCTGCTTTAACCTTTTTAACTTTTTTCCATTCCATTATTAGTGCAAATAGCAAGACCCTGTGAGACACCACATCAGAGCTGAGGTCTAGACCTAAGCTAGCTCTCCAGGGAAATAAACCCAGCTCTCCTGTTTTACTTATGAGAGGGATGATTTAAAAACCCTACCCCAAGAAGAGGGAAAACTGCACTGAAATGGGGATTTCCTCCATCTTCCCTATCTGACAGCCCTGCCTGAGCCCTCTCATCACTGAACCTCTTTCCAAAGGGCATCACTTTTGTCATCCCTCTTATCCGGGTGGAAACCTGCACCTCCCACTGCCCCTAAATCCTGCTTTAGTCCCCATGATGCCAGGATGGTTTATCCTGGGAAACCTGGAACTGAGGGCTCCTGGGACAAAAAAAAAAACAAAAAACAACATCCTTTCTGGCCCATGGGGACAAAGCCAATGAACTCAGTAGGGCTGGGTGGATGCTGGTCAGCTAAGTGTCCACAGCTGCCCAGGTCCCACTGACCCTGCTTCTCTAGGCTTGGTTCTGCTGTGTCCAGTTTGAAGGTATCAGATACCTCAGCACAGACTGGTAGATACGAGGCAGGACTCCAGGGAGACCTGATCCTTTCTTGAGTGGCACTAGGAAGACACAGAGAACCCCCCCAGCATCCTGGACACTTGTGCATCAGTGACTGAATTGAGCTGTGAGTCTTTTCCCCAGATAGAAGGAATCCAGGATTCACTGCAGTCAGCCAAACTTTTCAATGCATCTTCTTCCTTTCCTCAGGTAATGAGATCCTTAGCTGGTATGGGTTCAAATTCTTCATTACTCAAAGAGGCAACCAAAAAAAAAAATGTGTTGTGGGTCTTTTTATTTCATTAAATAAGATTTTACACCTTTGTGGGGCTGACTGCATTTCAGAGGATCGAGTTAAGACCTCAGGGGAAGGAATGGGAATCGTGGGGAATGCAGTCACTCTCTGCAAGTTCTCCAGCTCAGTTCAACATGGAGCAGCTTCCCCAATGCTCTTATTTTATGGGTATACCCATCAGGGAAAACCCATAGGTTTCTGTGACTAAAGAAATTCTGTTGAGAGAAATAAATTCCTGTTGTTTTGGTTTTTTTTTTTTTCCCTAGACCCAGTCTATGCTGGGGCATGACTGCAGAGGCTTTGTCACCCTCGGAGGGGCTACTGGGGCAGTGCAGACCAGATCCATTACTGCTGCGTCCAGGAGTGCAAAAACAGCTTGATTTTCAGCTGGGACTTTCAGAAGGGACTTTCAAAAGGCCTTTTAGAAAGTTATAAATCGTCCTCATGTGAAACCTGTCTTGGCACCAGTAGCTCTGGACCTTGACTGTCTCAGCTGATAATAAATTCAGCACCAATGCAACCACCAGTATTTGGAGAATTTCCCCAAAGCACATATGTGAATAAGCATGGGTGCTTATGAAGCCAGAGCTGAAATTGCAGGACTGGGGTTTGTGATAGTGATAGATCTGAGGAAGAGCATCCAGACATGTGAGTACTGGCCACATTGTCTTTGACCAAGTCAAAGACAATTTTTAAAACCAGGTTTTCGCCAGTCCAAGGCACAGCCTAGGTAAGAATAAAATGGAGTGGGGAAATAAAGGTTTAGAAGAAAATTTAGGATGAGACGTGGACAAAAACACCTTTTTAAAAGCTCAGGTCCATGGGACAACACTCCCAAGGAAGAGGTGGAAAGTGTGTTGCTTAAGCCCTGTTGAATCATCCCTAGGGGATGCGCTGGAGTGAGCAATAATGTATGAGCCTACAGATGGATGAGGGCTGGCAACATTCCACCTGCACCGCCGGCACAAACTTGTCCAAACCTGGGAAAAGTGACAGAAATAATTCAAGCAATTACTTGAATTATTTCAAGGACTGCAAATGGTCCTGTCCAACCAATGCTGTAGAGCTGCGCCCACTAAAACCCACGCCAAACCCTCCCCTGGAAGCACCCAACCCTTGGACTGAGAGGCTTAAGGGCAGCTCTTTTTCATAGCAATGTGTGGGATATGGGGGACCAGTGCACGCTGCTCCTCTAAGGGGGACTGGGGGTCACAGAGAGGAGAACAGCCCCATCATCTGCTCCATACCATATACTAAGACATGACAGCTTCTGTCCTCGCATCACCCAGTCCAGAGGTTTGCTCATCTCTGCACAACAATCTGCAAAGGGTATGGAAGACAAAAGGCATCTCTTTAACAGTCCTTCCCTTTTCCTCTTTCTCCAGTGCCACTGACCTGTGCCTCCACCTCACCTCTGCACTGCCATGGCCACGCTAGAGACGCTGCCCGTTCTTAGTGACCCGACCTACCCCAGCCCGGAGAACTTCCACAGTTTTTCTCCCCTGCCATCCCAACCCATCGCCCAGAGCAAAATGGGAAGCGTGGGCAGCGGCGTCGCCAACGACCAAGAGTTCGCCATGAAGAGCGTGGGGACCCGGACGCAGAGCAGTGGCCGGCAGACAGAGGGGTCTCGCAATGGGTATCCCACCCGGGAAATCTCTAACCGCTACTCCGGCGAGGAGAAGACATACAAGTCGGAGAAGGTCTCCAACTCCCTCTACATCAACGGCGACCTGCGCAAGAGCGAGAAGGTGAAGGTGGACATCTGTGGGAATGTGACCACCAACAACGAGAAGAACATGCCGCCTCCTCCCCAATACCGAGAGCCCAGTAACCCACCAAAGATATTGCCAATCTCCGGCAAACTAGACCAGGTGAGGATCCCCACCTCCTGGAGCAGCTTGATGACTGTGGCACATCTCTAAAAACACAGACCGGGAAGCCTGGGGCAATGGTGCAATCCTGACAGATAGTCTAATTCTTGCTATGTAGATGTCAACATTTTTATGTACAGGTGATAGAATTCCTATGACTTTCAGGGGGGTGAGCAAAGGGGAATGTTAATTCCTGAGGAACTCAAGAGCATGAGCACAAGTCTTCCACAGCTAAGTTTCCAGCTAGTTTAAGCCTGTGTTTAAGTCACTGGCTATTCCAACTGACTCGATATGCCGTGCCTACCTCCCTGATAGATGGGGAGGGAGCTGGAGTTGGCTCTCGTTTCAGTAGGTCCAGAATCTGAGTCTCATCCTTATGTTTCATACCATTTACAGGCAATCTCCAAAAGCCCACTGCCCCCAAAAGGTGGTGTTTGAAAGCAGCTATTAGCATCTGTTCAAAATCCCAGTACCTCTTGTGAGGGGACAAGTCGACAAGGCTTGAAAACTACCCCTGTCAGCATTATCATCATCCAAGCCCAGTTCTCATGGTTCATATTGGCTTTGGGGAACAAACATCTCCAGGCCTGGAGGAGCAGAGCCTCAGAGTCAGTGGTGTTCTACGTAGCCTGCTGCTGTGCTCCAACTACTTCCATAATTTGTGTCCCGGGGATGCTGCCTTGTGCAGTATTATTTCTGCAGTGTTTGGTGGCCTTGTCTCCTAGGTTGTTAATCCACCAGCCCCTGTAGTCCATCTCAGTCCCACATGCCAGGTGCCAGGTTTTTGGTCTCCAACCTTGCCTGCTCACCAGGTATCATTCTGTTTCTCCTGGAAGGCATTTTCAAAACATCTTTGCTAATACAGAGCAGCTTCCTCTGGGTTAATTTTCACCTGAAGCCCAACCTGCAGTAGGAAAAACTCAATCCCATGTTGAGGCAAATTTTGTTTCTGTAGGTGCATTCACAGGGCGAGGAATGTGCAAGGTTTTAAAATCCTTTCTAAATCCTTTACAGCTGTGGTCCATTCTCCCCCCAGCATTGCATATGCCCGCTGAAAACACAAACATTCAAATGAAGAGCAGCTTCAGCATATTCCTTGCCTGGTGCTATGGCACTTGGGCCAGCAATGGCTGGGGTCACAGCTCCTACCTGCTCCTGTCCAAGCATAAGCAGGACATGATGTCCACACAGGGGAGAGATGACTGCCAGCAGGAGCAAAACATGATGCTCCTGGGTCAAATTGGCTGCTAATCCAAGGATTCAGTTCAGTTTTCAGCAAATGGGCAATGTACCCTCAACACTAGAAGTCCTTCAGAACATAACCTGCCAAAATCCAAGACTCGTTCTGATCAGGTCTGGTAGGTAGGTGGCAGCCCTCCTTCTTGCAAACAGCACTCAGAGGACCCAAGGAGTATTCTAGGGAAAAATTACACAGATTTGGGGTGAGTCAAGATTTTTTTTTTTTTTTTTCAGGTGTGGCAAGGGAAAATAAAGCGTTGCCTTATGAGAGACCACAGGTCCCTTGTGTTAAATCCCAAATGGTCCAGGGTGTAATAAGGCTGAGAAATACAGAGCTAGCCCAAGATGTCTTAGCTCCATCAGCCTCATCCCATGCTGATGTGTCTCTTTTGTGTACTGTTACCAAGCTTCCTGCTGTGTTTGATGCGTGGTCCTTTTTCCTTTTGCAGAGCAATGAGCCCTTAGTTAGACCCTCAGCCTTTAAACCAGTAGTTCCTAAAAACTTCCATTCCATGCAGAACCTCTGCCCGCCGCAGAGCAACGGAGTGACAGAGAATAGAAAGAGCTTGAACCATGCCAACAGCAATAGCCCGTCCGCACCCAAAAGTGGACTCGACAAGAGCAGCCTTAACAGGACTACAAACCAAGTGGGCGGCCTTTCGGATTCAGGCCGTAACTCGTTAACGAGCCTGCCTACGTATGGGACAGGCTACAGCCAGCACGTGGGTCCAATGAGCGCCTCCACGAGCCACATCAACCGCATCGGTACAACCTACGTGGACAAGAACATCGTGGGATACAACGGGATATCTACCTCAGACAGCGGGCGGTCTTCAAGCAAGAGCACCTCTTCGTTCAACAGACTGAACCATCTCAACGAAACGATGCCTTTCCACTCGCCTTCTACAGACGACATCATCCAAGACCTGGAAGACCGGCTGTGGGAGAAGGAGCAGGAGGTCCTCCAGATGCGAAGGAACTTGGACAAAAGTGAGGCAGCCATCTTCCAAGTGTTTGAGGAGAAGCAGAAGATCTGGGAGAGGGAAATGGAGGACCTGAGGCAAAACTATGCCAACAAATTGCAACAGGTCTCCAAAAAGGCACAGCGGGCTCAGCAGGCCTTGCAGCTCCAAATCTTCAAGCTCCAACAAGAGAAAAAAAAACTCCAAGATGATATGGGACAACTCCTCCAGCAACGAGAGGAGCTGGAGAAGAAATTTGTGGCTTTCAAGAAGGAACAGGCTGAGTTTCTCCCAAAGATTGAAGAGACCAAGTGGGAGGTAAGAGCCTTGTTGTAACAGCCATTGAGTGAAGTTTTCACTGAGGACTCTGATAGCCCAACATACCTCCCATTTGCTCTAAGTAGACCCCACAGACCATGGCTATAGGTTGGTGGCCTCCAGGTAACAGATGACACTCGAGTCACCTCTTCATTTGTCTGAGTCCCAAGCCTGTAGTTTTGAGTTAGACTAAAATGACTGCAATTTTTTGTGCACACCTCCCGTGTTGGTTAATAATTTAGCTTCTCAGTCAGGTCACTCCAATGTGTGACATTTGAATCCAGTTTCAGTGAATACAGGTCTTTCCATACACGTATTTGTGCCTACCAAAAATGGGTTTAAGTCTATTTTAATTAAATTCTTCTAACATCTGTGTTTGGGCAAAGCTTGAAACTGCTTTTCAAATATTTGACTTTCTTTTTTATTTAAGATATTAAGCAAGTGAGCTAAGAATGATACTGATAGCCAAGTCTACCTCACGCTTTCCACTGTAACACAGTTTTCAGTTGCTAATAAGTTTATCTCTCTTAAAAGCCTGAAAGGGAAATTCATCATTCTATTTCTCCTTTTGAGTCTTACATATTTTTTTTCTACTGTTTCTATGTTTAGAACCTTTTATCAAAGTCTGTTTGTATAGCCAGTACTAACATTTTTTTTTTCAGCTTGATAATGTGAAGAATTTTAATCCTTTCATGGACTGGCTAGAAACTTTAAATTTATTAAGAGTGCAGAGGCAACATATAGCTCTAGAATCAAGAAGACCCTATTCTGCTAATCCTGATGGAAAGTCAATGAAGCTTGGATTAACCAGGCTCTGAAATGTGCTATTTGCAGATGTTCAGCTGAGCTTATTAGAGGCTTGCTGTAAAATCTCTGCAAGTTACATCCCAGAACAAGCAGGCTGCATTGCCCCACCTGATGCTTCCTTTGGCCAGCTGCTCTGCCCAGACCTTCTTTTCTTCCAACAAGTTAGGTCTGGATAGATCCCTGATTTTGCACCCATAAAACTACAGATGGGCTTTTGATTAGTTGCTTCACTGCTGTAGTTGTGTCTGCAACAGCTAACCCAGTGATATCGACATAAAGATAGGGATTCAGCCTGTGGATCATGACACCTAAAATTTGTAGACACCTACATTTGTTGACTTGTTGACTTGCTCTCCAGGCTCCATGGACTGTATTTCCCAGATCTCCACAAGTAGAGGACTAAATTTAAGCATTTTAATCTGTAAGTTGATTCCTATCCAAGCTGTTCATCATCATGTATTTCCCTGCCTTTTGGGAAGAGCTAGCCCATGGAGAGCACTTTCAGTAAATAGTGCAGTTTTATAGCTAGGCAGTAACTACACCACTCTTAACTACAGCTAAACCAGCATAACACAGTTCTGCATCTGCAGCAGACAAGTGCTGGTGTGGATGTGGGTACTCAGAGAGTTAGGTCTGCATGGGGAACCACCACCGTTGTCAGCTCCAGGGAAAGCTGTTACCAGTAGGAAGTAACTGGGTACATCTCCTAGTTCTTCAGCCATTCAGGATAGTGAGCACTGGACAGTCCCAACAGCTGAGCTTTAAGGTCTTGCTCAACATTATGCACGAGGCAAGTCTTCTATAGCAGAGAAAGGTAGTGGTTGCAATGAAGGCAGTGGAGAGGAGAGTTTTTCTGAGGAGCATTGACCCAAGCAGAGCAGAGCAGCAAGGGACCTTGCAGGCACCACAGGAGGGAGAAAAGGCCAAGGATTTAATGTGTGACGAAAGACAGGAGCTTCAGGATGATGGGACACCATGTTCTGGAGGTGGCTACCAAGTCTATTTTTAATAATGCCAATCCTTTCTGATCACTGATGGTTCCTTGGTGCTGCTCCCCAGCCCAGACTCCTGCCAGCACAAGCACGGCTGTTTGTCTCTGCAATTGTCCACAGTAGACAGATCAGATCTGCCAGTGCAGAGCCCTGAAAACCACAGAGTTCATGGGAAAATGAGGGTTTGGTCATTTTTATGGTTCACTTCCACAACTATTCATGCAACTGTCTGCACCTACGTAGGTGCAGAGGAGTGTCATATCACGTGGTGACGCCTCCATAACACAAATACATGCTGCAGCAAGGGTATTTCCACCAGGCTCATGTGCCCAACCACACAGGTGAGACGTGAGGCAGTCAGGATGAAACCTGAAACCCCAGTGCCCAAGGACAGTGCAGGGTAGTCCCATGTCAGCAAGGCTATGTTGCAGCTCTCTCCTTAATCTTTGGAAGAGGGGCTGTCACTCTTCATGCCCAGCCCCAAAAGAATTAAATAGCTATCAGCCCCTGGACTGTCCGCAGCGAAGTAAACCCTGAAATTTAGTTAACTGGGTTCTTCAGGAGTCTTTGGAAAGCAAAGCATCATAGGACAAGTAAGTAATATCTACTGTCTCTGCATCCTGTCCTACACTCTCAGTGCTCGGGGAGAGCCCGGGTGGTCTCTGGGTCTGAGATGTTCCTGTCTCAGTTTTGTTCACGGTCCAGATCCCATTGAGGTCAGTGGGAAAACTCCTGCTGAGAGCAGAGGGTTTGGGGTCAAGCACCGCAGGCTTGTGGTTAGGTGAGTAAGATGAATGCAGGGAGGGAAGCATCAGTGTCCACTCACCACTGGTGAGGACCACAGCACTTAGCTTAGTTGTTCGGTCACCATGTCCCTGAGAACCAGGAAGAAACACCAAATATACCCCACAAATGTGGGCACGACCTCTAGGTCTCTGGCATGGTCTGGGTCCTGGTGAAGGCTGGAGCTCAGTCCTTGAGCGCTGCCACTGGCTGTCCCCTCCACTACCTGAGCCTCCTGCCAATGTGAGGCCATGGAGATATTTCGTGGGCAGCATGGGGGACAAGCAGCAGTGGCGGCTTCTTGCTGCCTTCCTCCTGCCTCACAGATGCTCTGCTCGTAGGTGTGCCAGAAGGCAGGGGAGATCTCCCTGCTCAAGCAGCAGCTGAAGGACTCCCAAGCAGATGTCTCCCAGAAGCTGAACGAGATTGTGGGACTGCGGACACAGCTCAAGGAAGGTAAGAACTTCCTACGGGAGAAGGAGGAGCAGATCCTCACCCTGAAGGACTCCTACAGCTCCAAGAGCGTCAACCTGGAGATCTGCGAGAGCGAGCTGCAGCGGAAGATGAGTGAGGTCCAGGTGCTGAGGGAAAAACTGAACCACTGTGAGCTTGAGGTCTCTGGCCTGAAGCGGACACTTGCCACCATGGGACCTCCAGGACCTTTTGGTGGGGACCTCGGCGAGAAGCTGCGGGATCCGCTGGCCTGCGAGAGTGACGAAGCCAAGATGCAACGGCAGAGCGAGGACAGTGTCAACACACTGAGGAAGGAGGTGGAGCGGCTCCAGACGGAGCTGAAGCTGGAGCGGCAGCAGCGGGAGCAGCAGGTGATGGACTTTGAGGAAGAGCGGCGCACGTGGCAAGAAGAGAAGGAGAAAGTTATCAAGTACCAGAAGCAGCTGCAACTCAACTACGTGGAGATGTACCAGAAGAACCAGCTGCTGGAGCACAAGGTGAATGAGATGAATACGAAGGCCACCAGTCCCCCGCACACCGAGGAGAAAAAACCATGGACTCCCTCCAGACTTGAGCGAATAGAGTCCACTGAGATCTGAGGTGGGACCGAGACAATACAACATCATTTTTTATTGCTGTGCATGTACTACCTACTCAAGCCAGTGATCTTCCGAAGGATAATACGCTACCGTAGGAGTGGTGTGAGTCTGCTCGCACCAAGCTCCATCACCCTTACTCTATACTTCCGTGCTCTGTAGGTAAAATAACTGTGGATGTGCGTTGGTTTTCTATCGATAATGCAACAACTCCTTTGGTTTTCTTCCTAGTACAGCTGGTGAGGGTCAATTGGTTCTTTTGTAATCTGCCGTGACTGTTACTTCGCTAGAGGCTGCCATCCCCTCTCCTACAGTTCACCCCTCTCCAGCTGGTTGTTTTGGAGGGTTGTATTTGGTTTCTCTGGTTTTCCAAGCATTTACGTGTGGCAAAACAGTTCAAAGTGGCAGGGTTTTTTTCAGGGCATTTTTAGCCACATTGGCTAATGGAGCAAAGCTCTCGGGATCATGAGCAAACTCACTGTTCTGCATCAAGTACCCTGTCTAGACGGTGGTCTTAGCGAAGTCAGTGGGAGGTTGAACATTGATTTCAGTGAAACCAGACATATCTCCACCGGATGACTCCCTCTTGCCAGTCCATGGCTACCGTGGTTGCAAGAGGTTAGGACATCCTTGAGGAGCAGGATGAGCCTGTCCTGGTAACATAAGCCAACAAGGAACGATTGCCCAGCAGGAGCCTCTCTGGGGGCTTAGCAGAGCTTAACATATGATGCGTTTTCATTTTGTTGTGGTTTCCTCCTGCAGTTCCACTCCTCTCCTGGGTTGTGACCAACCCTGGGAGCAGAAACATCCTCCCACCGCTGCCTCGGTCCCCCTATTCTTACCATATTACTCAAACTGGCTACAGCAAGAAAAAAACTTGGAAATCCAAGCTATTTTCCCTTCCCAAGAGCCCTCTTACTTCCCAAAGTCAATGGAATCAAGGTTTGGAGAAGCCTCCAAACCTGCAGGATGTTTATGCAAACTGAAGCTTTAGCAATTTGCCTCAAGAGTGGGCAACTCTGCTAGCCCATTCCCAAACGAGTGACGATCCAGTGCACTCTTTTGGTCCAGGGTCTACTTAACAAATGGCATCCGAGCCTCACTCAGGAGTTGCAGTGAGCACATACAAGCGTTACCGCTAGATTGGAATGGGGTGAGCGTTAGCCTTCAGTACAGCCATTTCAAACAGCACCCACAGCGATCCCACGTGGCATCACATATTCAAGGGACAGAGAAAACACAGGCCTAGCTTAGGAAAATATTCAGCTACTAACTCTGAGCATGAAAGCAGTCATAAGAAGGGAAAATGCTTAAGATCACGCAAGTGCTTATGCCCTGGCAGAATAATAACCAAATCCTATATGCACACTCACCAGTAATGGTGCAGGCATCAAAAACCAGCATTCAACTCTGAAAGGTGGGCAAGGTGGGTCTGGCTCTCCCTTTCACAGATAGTTTTTTACCGTGACCCACAGCAAAGAGTAAAAAATGCTGCAAAGTGGAGTTTGCACTGACTGGGCAGTGGCCAAAGGACCAATGAAAGTGTGAATTTCGGCTCTTTGCCCTGGGGAGCAGCTAGAAGAATGAAGCTAGAATGAGTACTGGGACATCTTGGGATGTCTGTGTGAGGTGACTCCAGAAACAGTTTGGCCAGATCACGTTTCATCTGCATACCAAGGGAGAACCTCGGGGCATTGAGGGGCTGAAGACCTTCCAAACAAAAGCCCTGAGGCTACTCATTTTCCATGTTACTTTCCCCAAAAGCCCCTCCCTCCCCATCAGCAGGTCTGACATTTAGTTGGCATCAAATGTTGTTGCGGCGAGCTCCAGACTTGAGCAAAAAGGCTGAGCAGGAGAGAGGATACTTCAGTTAGTCCCACCAACCTCCAGCCAAGGTCAGCAGACAGCATTGCTGGGCAGGAACTGTTGGTGGCTGGCAGTGATCCTTGGAGCTGTAGAAAACGGAGACGTGCGATGAGACCAGGACATTTCAAGATCCCAGTTGACGGTACCTGTCTTTTCCCACCGCTTCTGTCTGCGCCTTTGGAGCTGGAGGAAGACACAACTCACCAGTCTGGAAAACACCAGGGCAGCTCAAACTAAGCCCCTCTCCCAGGACCAGCCATAGAAAGGGGGACTAGGTCAGGTCTGACCCCTGAAGGGTGTGGAGTTGCCTCCCACTATGAATCCTGCAGATGCTCCGGTGCTCTTGGATGTCATCCCGCACATCCCACCGAGGAAGGAGTGCAGCTGCCTGCCAGTGCCACCCAGCAGCAGACTTTGCCATGCCAAGGGAGTCACCCTCGTGCACTGCATAAACTTACACTTGGCCAGGCAAAATCCTAGAGCTTACTCCATTTCATACACTGGGCCTTCAAGATGGAGTCAAACATCCCACAGTGTCAGGGCTGGAGATCTGGTGTTCTGTGTCATCTCAGCTTTCTGTGCCTCTCTTTCAGAAAAACCCATGCTGTCTTCCTTCGCAAAGCAGTTGGGAGGCATCTGTGCTTGTGAAGGGTTTTGCAGTCCTTGGGCAAAAGGGCAAAGCATAGAGAAATTGCAAGAGGCTTAGTCTCAGATGGTCGTATGGTGTTTTTGAGGCCACCACATGAAAAGCAAACTGAGGAGCAAGTGCCCTCACCAGAAGATGGGTCTGATAACCCGGAGGGTCATTTCCACTTTTCCTCCTTCTGGCCTCACTGATGTTGAGGTTGGTTTCCCACTAAGCACCGCAGAAACCAGTGTTTCAGTTGGTGGCTCAAGAACACCCAGAGTGATTGAGTTTCAAGGATCTGCTGTTGAGGAGGTGTACACTGCAATTCCCCGCTGCGTTAACGCTCAAGAGGAATGGACACTGGCATCACCTTGTGGGACACCTTCTCACCAGAGCTCCTTGCTAATCCACAGGCAGGAGAAGCAGGGGCTTGTCTGGCCTCCCTACACACCTGGATCCAGTCAGCAGCAGTCAGCCAAGTCCTCCAGCATGCCAGGTTTGCTCCATCACCTTTTCCCTAGATCTTTTTTGCAGTGGTGCCAGGAGTGAGTGTGTCTTGATGGACCCAGTGAAACCTGGAGGCATATGAGATTGTCTGACTGCTGGAGGGTGCCGGAATTGCCAGGGACTCAATGACCTCACAGTGCATCCATAAGGGACTGCAGAGCTCCTTGGGATGGAGCAGGAGCGTCAAGGAGAGATTTTTTACCTTGGAGGAGGAAAGGTACACTCCCTTCACCTTCTTCTGCACTGCATCAACTTTGATCTAGAGTTTCAGTCCAGATCCGAGCAACCTTGATTGTGGCCAATCCCTGGATGACAGAGAGCTTTGCAGACACCCATTAAGATGCTGTGCTGCTGGTGGTGGTTTTCCCTCTCTCGGGACTTGCCCAGCATCCCCCAAGCACCCAGCTGTCCTGCAGAAACCACCCCACTATGTTACGGTGTTATAAAACACAGATTTCTTTTGCAAGTGCCCCAACGAAACTGCCACAAAGGATTCCTGTTCTTCAAAATTCCTCCCCACAACTGGATGCACTGCTCCCTCCCCATCACATCCACTCCCATGTGCTAGCACTGTGTGGCTACACGGTGATAACCAGTCTCTCTTGGAGGTGACTGCCCTTTGCTCAGCAGAGATGGAGCAAAATGATGGTGGGACACCTGGGTTCCTGTTGTTTGTGCTCAGATCTGGCCCAGGTGGGAGCTCACCTAGCTCTTTCCAGATCTTAACACTTTTACCCACTGACTGGATGAAGTCTCCCATCACAAGCTAGGTCTGTGCTGAGGTGCTGGGGTCTTAGCCTTGGAGTAAGATAGCCAAGGGATGTCAGCCTGGTGTTTTGATGACATATCCTGGGAATGGCCAAGGAGGCTGACATCTTGTTTCTTGGAGGCTCAGGCAGGGCCAATAAAATGTTTCTGTCCCATGAAACTCAAGACAGAGTTTGGGCTTGACCATAAACCAGCTGTCTCCACCTTAGTACAGCTAGCTCTGGAGCTGTTAGGATTCGGCGTGATATACTGGCTCGTGTGTAATTCTCCAAGTACTGCCCTCAAAATCTTGCACGTGATTAGTGTCTCTCCTGAAACAAGAAGTCATCTCTGACTTGTCATTGGCCAACAGCAAAACCTATGGTCATGAGGCTCTCAGGTCAATTGCCCACACGTGGGGTCCAGAGACATCAGAGATGCTCTGGGATACCTGATACATGGGGCTGGCCAGTATCATCCAAGACCTATGGGAGAGGCTGGTCAGTGGTGGGAAGACCTGGAGCACCTCTAGAAGCACATCACCCACGTGTGAACAACTGAGTCATGATCCAGGCATGTCCACATGGCCATTATTTGAGCAAATAGAGGACACTAATAAGCTCCATCAATTTCCATCCATGAGGATTTGGGCGAAGAAGGCTACCCTGGTGCCAGGGAAGGTCATAACAGCCCCTTTTGCCCCTTGCTGTGAGTGCAGTTGCTTTGGTCCACCATCATTTTGAGGTTGGTTGCTATCACTGTAAGATGCCGACCCATCCGGGCTAGCTCCCCTCACGCAGCCAGCACTCCTGTCTCACTCTGAGGGTGAATGCTGCAACCATTGCATGTTGTTGTGCTTCACACAGTCCCACTTAGCTTCTGCCACTGCCTCGTGGCAACCGGCTGCACGGTTCCTGCTGTCGCTGGCATCATGCCGGAGGGAGATCACCTCCGGAATTCCACATTCAAAGTAGGAATCAAATTGTTGCTCTTATGCTGCTACATTATACGGAGACAAGTGTACTTGGATGTAAATAACAGCCCAGCTCTGTATATACAATTATTAAATGAAGAGATAAGAAAGCTCTGTGGCTTCTATATCGGTGAGTGGGATCAACAGTAGCAGCCGATGCTGCATTTGAGCACTGAGAGCTACACGGAAGGTGCTCAGCACCTCCCAGGAAGGCAATCCACTTGGGATTCCAACAGAGCAGCCTGGTGACACTCTGTCCCGTTTCGATGCTTGCTGTCACACAGAGCCAGGATTTCCAACTGTCCCCTGGTTAAGGCTAAAGTCCCCTCTGCCCATCCTTGTGTCCCCCCAAAATTCCTTGCAGACCGTGGCTCCCAGCAGTGTCCTCCTTGAGCCCTGCTGCCCGCGAGCTCTGTCCATGGAAAGGACCAACCCACAGTGGCACTTTATAGCTTGCTCAAGACAGCGAGCTCATGAGCAACATGACCAAAGATCTCTGGAGGGCATTGGACTGCATGCTTGGAGCTGCCTCCCAGCTTTTCTGGGAAGGGATGAGGCTGGTGTGGGCTGGAAAAGGGGAACAAGAGCTGGCAGGGGACAGGAGAGGGCTTGGATTTCCCTGTGTCCCAACTGGGAACATCTGCAAGTCCATGACGGGCCTTTCCTGTCCTAGATAGGACAGGGTAAAAAGGAGTTCCAGGGTGAGCAGATTGTCCCCAGTTGGTTACACCAGTATCCTCCATGGCTGTGCCAACTAGCTCCACACATTTCCCAGGGCGAGTGTGAGCCAGGAGCTGTTCCCAGGAGGCAGGATGGATGCAATTCCCCTTTTTTTAATGGGGAAAAGAGAGCATGCATGCTAAGCCATTACACTTGTCTTTGGGGCGACAAGTCTCCTATAGTTTAGCAGCAGATGTTGCTACAAGGTCCAGTCAAGGGCTTGTTCTGGCTCAGTGTGAATCGGCCAGGACAATGTGTATCCTGACAGCTGGTGGTCCTTCTGGCTGCCCCTTTGGTGTCCTTTCCCCAGCTCACCCCAGGTCATCTTCAGCACCCTCCTTACCAGGGAACCATCTTCCTAGATGAAGGCACCATGGTCTTTGCTTCTGAAGGCATCTCTGCCCACCTTAGCTCCATGAAGGCTCCTGAACCTTGGCAAGTGGAGCACAGCCCAGTGGGAGATCTGTGCTCCTCTGTGCACAGTGCTCCTGTGGATGGGTGCTCAGGTGGGTCTGGGCCTTGGGCACATGCCTCTTCACCGTGCCTCTGCTCTCCACCTGTGCTAAGCCTTCTCTACTCCATTTCTACCAAGACCATGAAAGCCTCCTGATGTGCAGTGACAGCCCTCACTTCTGTCTTGGATGGGAGCAGGTCTGATTTGCTGTTATTTGAACCCAACCCTTCGGCCTAAGCCTTGAAAGCTACTTTATTGGAGTTACTTTTCACCAAGACCCCTTGCTAAAGATCTGATCATCATGTTGCCTGGGCCCTGCTACTCCTCTGCTCCAGCTCTTCAGACTCTCCTGCCTCCTTTTAGATCATCACCATCCTCACTGTCCCACGAACAGCCAGTGCCTGTCCCAGTACTCTCCCAGATATATCTGAACAAGCCAGAGCTGAAGTCCAAAGCCCCAAGTGAGTGGCGTGTCCCCACCCTGCCCTCAGAGGACATTTCTAGACTACTGATTCTCACCTCTCTTCTCTGTCATTCCCATGTCAGCTAGATCTGCTCTGCTTTAGCTCCAAGAGAAATCTTGTTTCTTGCTAAAAGACATCCCCATGGCTTGCACATCACTTGAGATCATTGCATGGGGCTTCACACCATCGCAACACCACATCCAGCCAGCTTTGGGGCTTCCCTGGTCCTTCCACCCTCTGGAAAGACAGCGGGGTGAGGGGTGTATGAGTATTCCTGGTCTGTAGGGGCACGCAGCTCCCATGCCACCTGGTCCCAGTGTATCGAGGGCTTGGGATCACAGCCAGCTGCTTGCAGATGTTGGCTTCCCAATAGGATGCTCCATGCTGGCAGTGCAACTGCTGGCAACATCAGAAATGAGCTTCTGCATTTTCAGGATAAGCCTCCTCCCTGGTTCTCCCAATGAAGGGGATCCTGTCGGGTCTGGAGCCTGGGACAAGCTCTGACACGCAGGGTTGTGCTTTCACGGCTCTTTTGCAGACCTGTTTTCTCAGGCAGAAAGTCTTTGCTTTCTGTCACAAAGCAATAGGTTTTTCTAGAGAGATTTAAAAGGGACTATTCCCAACTCTGATACCTGCAGGCAAGCCAGCGTTCCCTTGAATACCTTCATAGCTCCAACCCTGGGCTCTCTCCTCCCTTCGGAAAGGGATGTGAGGTCCAGTCTGGCTCTAAATCATCACCAGTGGTTTGAGCTTGGTGGTCGCCATTCATCTGGAGAGCCCAAAGCTGCCCGTATCCAGCAGGCCACCAGTCTGTCCCCAGGAGGTGTGGGCCAGTCCCCTCTGGTGCCCATCCCACAACTGTTACTGGGTCCCCGCAGCAGGTTTTCTCCATTAGCTCACCCGTGTGGGAGCCGCTGGGTCCCCCGGGATGTCTGAGCTCACAGAGTCACATTTGGTGACAGCCAGACACCGGTGGGAGACCACGGCGCTGGCTCTGACGTTCCTGAGAGCCAGGCTGTCCTAGGAGACCTCTCAGAGGAGAAGGTCCCCTTTCTCCACGGGTGGCATGTGGGTTCCCTTCCAGTGGCTGAAGGGAGCAAAATGTGTGCGGGCAAAACTCCACCGCCGGTGCAAAAGCGTTCCGCCACCGGTGCAAAAAAATGCTGCACAACCGGCCAATGTGTCTATGCAGTCCCTTTCCACACAGCAGTGTCCCCGCAGAGCCCAGCTCAGGGCTGGAGCTCCTCCAAGGTGTCTTCGTTTGCACTCACTCGGACCTGGTAAATGCTGTGAGCCAAGAGGAATCCCTCTTGGTCTTTGCCTTGCACCGGGCAGTACGCTTGTGAGGGTTTCCTCATGCTAAATCGATGCACGTTGCTTAGTCGCCTGTCTTCTGCGTCTGTTCTCCAGCAGATCAATAGGTGTCCCCCCCCAAAACCCAGCTCCCCGACGGGAGAACGTCAGGTTGGGCCAGCCGGCGCCCTCGAGCAAGCCTGCTGTCTGATTTCACCAGCAATAAAAGCCCCGCAGAGGAGCGGCCGGAGCTCTTCGCTGCTGCTCCACTGCCGGGTGAGCTGCAGGCTGTGTCTGTGTGTAGGACCTCTGCATTAGACCCTTCGTCCAACGTTTTGGACCCACCCAACTGTAAATTCGATCCCAGCCTTGTGCTTTCTTTCCCTTTGTTTGTTTCTTGACGCCTCGATCTCTCTCTGCTCTTACTGTGAATTCAAACCAGAAGTGTTCTGAACTCGACTCCGTTACTGTTTTGTTTCTGCGTTGACTGTTGCTGGTTCTCCGAACTGCGTTTAATGAGACTTTGCAAAAAAAAAAAAAAAAAAAAAAAAAAAAATTTAAAAAATTAAAAAAAAATTATATATATATAAATATACTTAAAAAATAAACTATTTAAAGAACAACTCCATAAAGTTGGGTGTCTCTCCTGTCCACCAGTCACTTCCAAACACTGTTGTCTTGACTTTGCCTCTGATCAGTGTATTTAAAGACAAGAGGTTGAAAGAGATAAAACGCAGCTTTCTGGGATTTTTGTACAGCAAAGGTGTATCCGTTTAGGAAATTCTCGTTAAAACTACACCACACTTCCCAATCTACTGCTAGTCTGTTGTATGTTTCCATTGGGTTATCAAGATGTGAAGAGCTACTGCCTTTGCGATTTTCTACGGTGAATATATATATATGTACAGAGGTATGTATATATATAAATATATATGAAGATCTATATGTATACGTATCTCTCACTCTCCTATCTCTACCTGACTGTGAAGGATTTTTATTGGGCAAAATAAAATGGAGAAAGGCCCCCATTTTAAAAACCCAACTGTGTGGTTTGTCTGATTGTGTTGTGGGTGGGAGACGTGGCAAGACTCACAGGAGATTTTGGGAGGGACCCACAGCCGAGCTGAGGAACTGCAGGGAAGACCTCATCTTGGATACAGCGGCACCATCCAGTCAAGAGCTTCCTCACAGCTCCCACCCCAGAGGATGGAGAGCCACCTGGTTTGGTGGAGCAGGAGGGGAGTGGTGGAGGTTGCGGGGAGCAGAGCAGGGCGTCACACGTGTCCGTGTCTGGATGGGACACTCCCCAGTCCTGCTTTCCCGGGGCGCAAGGGCTGCTTGGGCTCTTCACCTTCCACAAGCCCATGGTGGCGGCAGCAGTGCTGGACAAGATGTCCATGTTTGAGGTCTCACCCCAGTCCGTAGCTCAGGTCCCTGTGGATGTGTCTGGAGCCGATGGGGGTGTCCCAGAGCTGACTAAGACAAGAGGCTTTCCACCAGTCCCACAACTGGTACCCAAGACCTCCCAACATCCATGCAGGTGACAGGATGGCTCCCAAACCTACCCCCACTGGCTGCCAAACCAGAATCAGACCTGAAGGATTTCCAGCTGGGGAAAACAAGACCCAGGTAGAGATGTCAGGAATGGCCCCGGAGCCAGCTGTAGCAGGAATCCAACATGAGCTAATTGCTCTACCCTCCCGTGCAAAACCTTGCTCGGAGCAGCCCCATCTCCCACTGCATCTCCCTGGGGTTTCCCCAGATCTGGGGCTCAGAGGCTGCCACCCTCTCAAAGAAACCTCCACCGTGCTGGGGTCCAGGCTGCAGGGAAGGGGGCGGGGAGGTATGGGATGTTCACCCATGGGCATCCCAACGCCGAGCTGAGGAACAGGGCTGATTCCCCAGTACAAGCCCTTCATGAAGCTGAAGGGAGTGGGAAACACACGCAGTTGAAATGCATCAAATTCGTGTTGGATCCCTGGACGGTTGGGGTGGGGAGGAGGATACTGCCAGGAAGGCGGTTTTGGAGGCTGACGGTCCATTTTGCCTTCCCTTTCAACCACGGAGTTAGCACAATGTCCAAAACCTCCTGCCAATTTGCAGGTTTTTTACTCAAATCAAGCTCGCCCCAGCTGCTTGGCCAGCGTCACATTAAGGTAACATTCAGACCAACAGCATCTTTCTAAAAAAAAAACAATGAATCCAGCACTTTTCCCAACACCAGCTTTGCTGGAGAGGTCTCCCATCCTCTCCTGACAAAGCTGATGCCTCGCAGGGCAGAGTATGTCATGGATTCGAGGATTCCCCTCAGACCAGGTTTCAGGTTGAGGTGCCATCAGCGCCACGAGGCTTTTCTTCCCGTTCACCACAGCCGCCTGTGTCTCTCCTCCGACCCCATTTGGTCCCCTGCGGATGGGATTTCCTCAGCGGCCAGAAGGCCGATATAAAGGAAGCAAGAAGGAAAACTCCACCGGTGGGAAAGATCACGGAGGGATGCTAAGCACGAAGCCGACCCACGTGCCAAGCCCTGCGGAGCGTACTCCCGCGCTCAAGGCTTTATTTAAGCACCGATTGCCAACGCTTAAAGCCCCCCCCCCGCGCTCTTCCTCACAGCCCCGACATGGCGGCCTGCTTCGTGCCACGTGACACACCCCTCCCCGCGTCACGTGGCGGGGGGGGGGGGGGTGTAGCGGAGCCGCCGCTGCGCGGCGCCGGCGCCCCCTGCCGGCCGGTTCTTTCCCGCACCGCCCCGCTCGGCGCCCGTACGGGCCGGAAGTGCGTCACCGTCAGGTGACCGGAAGGCGGCGGGAGCGGCCTGGGCGGCGGGGCGGGCGGCAGGGCCAGGAGCGGCGGCGGGTCGCCGGGCCCCGGTGAGTGCGAGCGGGGCAGCGCGGGTTGCCGCCGCCCCGTTTTCCCCCTCCTCCGCGCCGCCCCACTCAGCTGGGAAGGGGGGAGGACGGGACAACGGCTCATGCGCGAAACCCCCTTCTCCCCAGCGCCAGGCCCGGGCGCGTGTAGGTGTACGTATCCTATAGCTATAGGTACGGCCGTGGGGGTGAGCAGCGGGGCGGCAAACCTGTCAGCGTGCGCTTCCCGCTTCCCGGGCCGGCGGGGGCTTCGTGGGAGGGGAGGGAAAACAAAACAACAGCAGAAAGAAAAAAAAAAAAAAACCAGTTAAAAAAAAAAAACAAAACGCGACGGGTTCGCACTCTGACGTCACAAGCCGTCGAGGTGGGGGGAAAAGAGCTCATTTTGTTTTTCTCTGCAGCTTCAGGCACAGGTGGTACCTGCGGGGCTCTTGGCCAAAACGAGCTGGTTTGCCCCCAGCATCGCCCTGCGCGGATCCGAAGTCCCTGATGCCGAGATACCCGGGGGGGGGGAGCGGCCCGGCGCGCTGCCGGGGCGGGCGGTCTCTTAGCACTAACCCTCTCGAGAGTTTTCCAGTGCTGCTGAAAGTCCCTCGGAGCATTTCAGCGGGTCTGGGAGGACAGACAGCACTTCAGGGAGCACCGAGATCCCCTTTCGCGGAGCTGATACGCTGAAAGCGGGTGGCATCCCTCCAGGAATGTTGTTTTCCTGGGTGCTCAGCTCACGCTCAGCTGTGCAGTTGCGCTCTTGGCCGAGAGCTCGGCTGCAAGTGTGACACGCAGGCACGTCCACAAAGACGTTTCCATCCCAGAGGACCTCCGCAAAGTGCATTCACAGCCTGCAGGGCCCAGCTCCAAAAGTCGCTTTCTGGCTGGCTTTTTGGAGTCACTGGAAGTGAAATTTCTGGAGAGATTTGCCCAGAGGTGGGAAGGAATTTGGCTGTGTACAAATGAGAAGTGCAGTGGGAGGAGGAAGGAAGGCTGATTACTCAGGGTAGCGGGAAGAGAGGGAAATCAAGGAGAGGAGTTAGAAGAGAAATGCTGTAGAAACTTTAAAGATCACAAAGATTTAGAATGGGGGTGGAAAGTCCTGGGTAAAAGGCTACTTGGAGCCAGCCTGTTCCGTGAAGTATCTTCACCCATGCCAACCTTGCTCCCCTGTGCGTGGTCTTCTCTCTCTTTTTTTTGTTTTCTTTTCTGGCTTTAGAGCAAGGGAAGAGGGAAACATTCTCTTTACTGAATAGCTTCCTAAATGCGTCACAGTTTAACGCGAAACTACACAGGCAGTGTTCTTAGCAGCGGGCGATGTTCGCCTTCGGCGTGCGAACATTGCGACTCTGATTTTCTGTCTTGGAAGTGGGGCTGCCGTCGCTGAGAGGGGTGTTTCTGGTAACAGCAGGGTGCTGAATTTTGTAGGTAGTACCACCTTTCAGCAGCAAATAGAAGTTTTAAATGAACGGTCTATCTCGCGGCAGTGCTCGCCTGTTTCTCAATAATAGAAAAACAGAAGACATGCAAAGTAGAGTCAGACAAGCGAGTCTCGGAAAGACTAGGTCAGATAAACCTCCTCCTGTCTGAGATCGTCTTTGCAGCTTGAACCAGCCCCTCTAAGTGTTCTTTGGGACAAGCTCTGCAGGGTGCTAGGAGTGGAGATGACACCGGAGGAGATGAGGTCTCCTTCCCCTGGTCACCGTGCAGATCTGAGCCTTCCCCACTTCACAGCTGCCTGTCTCCAGCCCCGTGAAGACGGCATCTGTCACTTGCGGCTGGTTCAGGCTGGACATCACAGCCAGTAGAGCCAGAAATTATATTTTCACCGAATGTTTCTTTGTGCTAAATGAGAGAGCATTGAAATCCAGCTCCTGCTTGCTGCCGCTGACGGCTTTGTGAGGCTGAGGCCATGCTGCAGCATCACAGCTCTTGGCTTGGATTTTCCTGTCCAGGTTCTGAGGGTCCTTTTCCTCAGAAGGGATAGAACCTAATCTGCACCAGGGGACTGCCTTGTGGTGTGCTTTGAGATACAAATAAGGTGCCCAGCAAGCTCAGCAGCATCTCACAATATCTATCAGCCATTTGCTAGTCATCTTAAAAGCACATGGGCCTCTTTCTTCTACGCTCCTTGTGTGGCTGTCTCTGGAAATCTTAATTGCATTTTGCCTTCCCTGTTTTTCCCTCCAGAGCCTCACGTTCTCAACCCAGGTTGCTTTTTTCACCTCTCCTGCTGGGATGGCTGAGAGGGTTACTGCTCTGGCAGCTTCTCACCCACCAGCTGACAGCTGCTGCCCCCAAGCTCTGCCCGTGAGGCAGAGGAGGCGAGATCTCTTCAGCTGCCTCAGTGCGAGTCGATGCAGTTGATCCCAGAGGGCTGAATTGAACCACTTGACTTTGCACTGGAGCAGGTTGGGAGCGCTCCCATGCCAACTCTGTGCTGAGATCCTGGCCTCGGACAGAAGCTGAGCCCCAACAAGACAGAGGTAAAGCTACCTGGTGAGAGAACAGTCTGCAGAGAGCAGCAGGCTGCTTGTGCCTGTGCCAGATCAGAGCCATCTTGCCTGCCTGTCTGCTCCTCTTAGTGCTTTTGCTGCCATGAGAGAGTTCGGGGTGCACAAGAGACAGCCAAGGCGGCTGCAGGGAACCACCCCTGCGACGGGCAGCACCTCACCTCTGGCACCAAGAGGGAGCAAAGACCATCACTTTGACTCTCCCTGTCCTCCCTCCCTTCCCATCTCATCCTTCCTTGTGAGGAGCTGATGCTTCACCGTTGCAATGTAGGAATAGATCATCTAATGGGTCACAAGATGGGGGGATTCTTATACTCACAGAAAAAAAAAAAAATTCCACCTTATGTTCAGCTAGAGCTGCTTGCTCCCATCCTGCTGCAGCCCTCCCTCACTCAGGTATCCTGAAGCCACAGTGTTCACCCCCCCTCTTCTTCCCCCAAGGTATCCATTTTGCTGCTGCAAAACTGAGTTTGCCTGCACCACCAGGACATCTTGATCTAGCCCTAACCGGGAAGCTGCATGCATAAGCAGAGCTCAGAGGGATGCCTGTAAAGGATTTATTTCCCCCATGTGGGGAGCACAGAAGCTAATGCGTCTTGTAGTGGCAGCGTCTCTGCCAGGCTTTGGCTTTCCCGATTGCTCGGAGCCCCGTGGTAGTGAGAGCACAGGGGACTTTAAAGAATTTGAAAGTGGTTGGTATCGTGCATCTTTGGGGTTGGCCAGATGTGGTGGGATATGGGTGTGTTGCACAGAGAGCTGACCTGGTGCTTTTTTTAAATCAGCATCTGAATCATCGTAAACAGGCTCGTTTGGCAACTTGTGCAGGCTGGCAGCACGCAGCTTAACTCCTGACAAATTTCTCATTCTCACCCTCTGTGCTGTAAATGGTTTAGGCAGGAGTTAGGAAGGCAGGAGGCATTTTTAAGCTTTCTGTACCCTAAAACTATGGGAAACGCTCCCAAGTCTGAAGTGTAGAGTTCTGTTCCCTCTGGTTCTCAGCTCGGGATGTAGCATCTCACAATGATTTGTCTTACTCGTTCTCCCACTTTGTTCTAGGGCCGCATTTCACCTAATCTTTATCTTCAGGTTATGGGCCAGCTTTCGCTCTGTGGACTGGTTTTGCGGAGGCTTTGCTCGCAGCCTCCACGTACTGTTTCCAAGTGCAAAGAGCAGTGCGGCACCCTGGATATTTCAACTTCTCGGGTGGTGGTTGGTGTTTCAGATCATGGTGACCAAAGTAGCAGAATGCTCTGTTTTGGTACGTAAAGTTTCCTGAAGCTGCAGCTCTCCTGCAGAAATATGTTTTCATTGTTTAGAATGAAAGAAAAGCAGTTTGGGTCTCCTAAAAAAATGAAAGAGAGATTACTTTTTTCTTAACTCCTGTAGTCCCTGCCAGGTTACTTGTAGCTGCTGAGTAGCTGGTAATACCCAACTGCCACGTACCCCAACTTCGGGTATGGCAGGTCACCTGGGTGCTTGTCTTGAACTGCCTTTGCACGAGGTGATGTTCATTAGTGGCTGCCTTACGGCTTTGCAGGGAAACGGCTGCCCTGGCTAGGGGAAACACTGGCATCGCCTCACTTTCTGTAGCGTAAAGGATAGATTAAAAAGTGCTTCGTGTTAGGTGGAAGCCACTCATTCTTCGTCTGCCCTTTTTTCAGTACCTGGAAGCAGTTCTGACCCCAGTAAATTGTGATCCATGGCTACCGTGCTAATATGCCGAAGATTTCCAAGACTGAGCAGGGTGACTACGTTTTCGACTACAGCCAAGTACAAGGCCGAGAGCGGAAGCAGCGAAAGTAAGCAGAAAAAGGAAGAGAACCCAGAAACAGCCAACACCAGAACCGAATCTGCGGCTACAATCCAGCTGCTGAGTCCACTGGACTACAGAGTATTGTATAATCCATCTGCCTATACCAAAAGCAGAGCTGCGTCCCAGCAGCATGCTGCTAGGAACAGTGGCCAGGCTCTCGGTGACACTTTCACCAGCCCTGGCACCGCGCAGGTTCAGCATACATTCAGTTCTGCCTCTTCTCAAGCTTTGCCACCCCTCAGAAATGCTCTGCCAAAGCTCGTGTCCAAACCACTCCCTGAGCAGACCGTCTCGGCGCACCTCTCGGTGGCCCAAATCAAGGAGGAAGCAGAAATGGAAAAAACAGAGATGCATGACTCCAAGGAGGACCCTCGCATGTTTCAGAAGGGGAGGCCTGAATACAGATCTCTCAGCTATGACAAGTGTGAGCCAGTAGAGACCCTTCCTTTAGAAGAAGGTGACTTGATTTTACACAGTGTGGCTGTATGCAAGGGCAGCCAGAGCCCAGGAACTATCACAGATTATTTTCACAAGCTGAGTTGCTTGCCAGTGGAACAACATGCAGCACTGGTGTCGGAACCCAGGTTTAATACCTTGTGTCACTGGGCTGTCAAAAACATGGGGTTGTTCAGCACTTCAGATCTCATTGCTATTTTAAAGGCTTGCGTTCGTTTGGTTGTTCCACCCACCCACCCTCTGCTGAATGCGTGCGAGAACGAATTCTGCCGGCGGGTGTGGGACATGAACCTGGACCAGCTGCTGCTGGTGGCCGATTGCTGGCGCTGTCTGGAGCGTAGCGTGCCTTCCTACCTGAGCATTTTGTTCAGCTGTGTCAACGTGAAGTGGAAAGACCTGGCTTTGCCCCAGTTTGTCCAGCTCGTTTATATCATAGGTGAAGGCCGGCGGTCACCCATGGACTTGATGCAGAAGGTGGAGAGCATGATTTTGAAGTACTTGGACTCCTTCACCTTGGAGGAGGTGGGTGCTATCTGCTTAGGGCTTTTCAAGTCCCTCAGTGGTATCTCTCACCACGTCATGAAAAAAATTGCAGACAGAGTATACCTGCAGATGGGAGACATGAGCACTTATGCTCTGGTGAACGTGCTTAAAATACTCCGCTACACCCGCATAAACCACTTACCCCTCTTGAAGGAACTTGGGAAGGTTATTCCCGCTCGGATTCCTACAACAAACATCCAGGGCATCATGCACATCACTCTTACTTGTTCATCCCTACACTACTTTGACGAAGGCATTATGGCTGCTGTAGCCATGTCTTTGCCTTCCAAGGTGACTTTCTGCCGAAGCAAAGATGCTGCCAAGTTCTTGTGGTCGTTTGGATGCTTGGACTATGAACCTCCGAACGAGGAGGAGTTTTACTCCAGCCTGATAGAGCAGATGCATAGAAAACTCCATGAGTTTGGGAAGTTTCCGGAGCATCTCCTTACTGGTTTGCTTGGCCTGGCGTTTGTCAAACGCTTCCCAGAGGAGCTGATAGACTATGCTTTGAGGGATGAGTTTGTCCAGAAAACGAGAGATAGTAAATATGAGCTCAAAAAGGACCTGTTCACCCTTGGTAAGAGTGTTGAAATTGAGTGCCCGAGCTACCAAGGCAGCCACCTTTCCCCTCAGCTTTATCAGGAGATCACTGAGATGGTTTTGAATTTTGCGGAGCAAGAAATCTATGTCAGGCCTGAAATTGTGGAAGCCACGTCTCTTCTCAAGAGCATGTTAGGTGGCCCAGAGTATGTGAAGAGCCACATGATCCTGCCTCACACGAGATCGAGTGATCTGGAGGTTCATTTGGCCATGGATGGACGTCCCATCCCTTTCAACTTAAAAGACCCTATTGCAGATAAGTACCCAAAAGACATCGGGGTTAGTCTAACGGATGACTTAATGACTCAGCTTATAAAAGGGAGCTCTAATAGCCAGTCTCCTGTGAAAGTGGAAAATGAAGCCAGGACTCCCGGTCAGGAGGGAGGGGAAGAAGCACTAACACCACGTGCAGGGGATCACGCTGCACTTTCAGGTGGAGCTCCTACTGCAGGCGGCAGATCGCAAGCTGAGCCTAAATCGGGGCGCTGTCTTGAAACCCCGCCATCTCTTACACTTCATCCCCAGCCTTGGGGGGTGAAGCTGGCTATTCAGGTGTCCAACCGAAACCACTACTGCTACTGCTCCAAGCGGCTCTTGGGGCTGCACCGCTTGAAACGGCGGCAGCTGCAGCAGCTGGGGTACGTGGTGGTTGAGCTTCCCTTCTGGGAATGGTTCCCTCTGCTCAAACGCACGCGTTTGGAGAAACTGAGCTACCTCCACTACAAAGTGTTTGACCCAGCGCTGCTTAGCAGGGCTGGCTAGTCTGATGTAGTGCTTGCTCAGAGGCTGACACGGCCTCCCAGATGCATCTCTCTTTCTGGTTACTGATTAAAATGGCCTCCGAGTGTTGGTTAAGTTTTTGGCAGGTGCTCTGTGTGCTTGGGCTGCCTTGCTATGTTAGCCAGTTCTGCTCTGCTGACAGTCATATGTCCCGCGCTTTCCTTTTGTGTGTAGATCCTCAAATGCTTCCGCGACAAATAAAAACTACTGTCCTATTAATTTTTCTCCATGATTACTTTTTTTTCGCTGCCCTAAATGAAAGTGAATGGATTTGGTGACTCTTGAGAGCAGAACAGTGATATTTGGTAGAGAATTGGAATGATTTTCAGTCATGAAGCTGACCCGGGTTCCAGGATCACACATAACGTATTTCCTTACTCTTTCCATCACCGTCGAGCTGCGGCTGGTGGGCACGCAGTCTGAGTTTCTCCTTTAGGAGCTGTGCATGAGCAGGACAGAGCGTGGAAGCTGAGTGGTGAGATGGAACCTGGGGCTGAGGGTTGGGTTGCTCTGACCCTGACATGTTAATTTTGTGCTCAGCTCTCAGCAGTGCCTGGCAGAGAGGAGTAACATCCTGTTGACACTGTGGCTAATGTCTGGCGCCAAATGGGGCCAGCAAATCCCCCTCGAGGTGATTCCCCTGCCTGGGTGACCGAGTCCTGTGCAAACTCTGGCTGTGTGGAGCATCTGCTCTGGAGACTGCTGGTTTCACCCTCCGTCACGTCTCACCATGTTATTTTCTTGTTCGGGATGTGGCACAGCGTCTTGATTTCTACACGCCATTCCGAGGACAGAGTTGCTGGCTTCTTCCTGAGCTTCTAGGTGGTGGTTCTCTCCGAGAGGAGGAACGTTTCTTGAGGTGTGCAGGGGAGGCTCTGGATCTGACTGTAGCCAAAGGGATTCTTTCACATGGAGCAGCGAGTGAAACTCCTGGTCCTGCTGCAAAAGGAGCCGAACTGTTCTGGCTGTTCTGCAGTGCGGTGTTTCAGGGCGTACTGAGATGGAGGATGGGGAAGAGAGCTGGCAGTGAGCAGGTGGTTGTCCCAAGACACAGATACTGTATATTAGCTCATTTTGGCTGCCGGGTTTAAAATGTCTGGGTTGTTTTTTTTTCCTCTCCCTTAAATACTCAGCGTTATGGAGCCGCTTAGTTCGTTGTCCACTATGCATGTTCCTTATTGCAGCAGCTCTGTAGTCTGATGTAGGACACCAGGAAGGCCCTTAGACTAGCTCCAAAAACCTTGGGTTTAGATGATGTGTCCAAATCCACAGAAGATCTTGCCGGCATAGAAGAGTACAGTCCTTCAGATCTGCACTTCTCCACCTCAGTCAAAAGTTCTTCGTTCACCTTAGGGCAAGCACACACTCAAGAAGGATGGACACTTGTGTGACGTCCTGATGGCACTTCATAGTCTTTGAGTCGTTTGTGGTCTTTGAGTCGTTTGTTTTGACAAGTAATTACTTTAGTAACGCAGTTTTGCGGCTGTTGTCTTTTTAAAGTGTTTGCAAATTCAGCACCTCCTTCGTGCCACAGCCACGTGAGTTGTCGCTAGCACGGGACACCTCCGCACACGTTTGGGGTGTAATGGGAATAGTAGCCATGGGAAACCACATCTGCTGCCCTGTACCATTCTTTTTTTCCAGAGTTTTTTATAGTCCGTATTTCCCCAGCTCTTGCTTTAGCCCAGGCTCTTTGCTAGAGGGGTCTTGGGCTCCCTGTCCCCATCTGATCCTGGCTGCTCGTCTGAACTCTTTCTCTCACCTGCTTTTGCCTGTCCCTGCTGATTCTTGTTCTCAGTCTGCTTCACTGGCCTCAGCAGCCCCTTTGCTTTCCTTTCACAGCGTGTCCAGCCAGTTCTTGCTTTCCTTCTTTACACGGAATCGTATCTCCTAGTCCTGATCTCATTCCAATTTCTCATTTAATCTGTCCCTTCATCCCCACTGTCTGTCTCCTGAGTTGCGTTTTCATGGGAAGAGTAAAAAAAAATACATCCATGGGTAAAAGCAACTCAGTGACCAGCTTTTGCTGTGAGGCAAGTGTAGCAGAGCTTTTCAGGAGAAGGGAGAGCAGTGACTTGAACATGCAGAATAACACATTTTCTTGCTGACAAGTTGAACCTGGAAAAATCAGCCTGAGTTGTTGAAGTCCATCAGGGTCACAAACAGGAGAAAATCCTATAAAATATACCTGTGTTATACACATAGCTCCTCATGCTGCAAAACAAGGAGGAACCGAATTGAAAGCAAGTTTAGTGAGAGAATAAATTGTTTGTAATTAACCAGAGCTAATTGCCACAGACCATTAAAAGCACGGTAAAAGAAGGATGAAGATTTAGGATTTAACCTCAGTAACAGCCTTAGGCTTAAAAGAAGACATGATTCTGTCCTGATCTTGCACCCATCTGTGATTTGCCTAGCACGAGGCAGTGCTATGAGGTAGCATGCCTGCGAGGGCCATAGGAGAATTTGGCATCTGCTGTAGGTGGGATCTCAGTAGCCAGTGGCTCATGAGAGTGAGTTCTTAAAACGATGGGTTTGCAGGGATGCAGAGGTGAAGGTGCCTTTCCCCGCTCACCGTCACTCAGGGAGGGTCTCACCCAGACTTGCTGACTGCAGATGCGCCGGTTTGGTCAGGTTGGAATGAAGTCTTCAGCCCAGGAAAGAGACGGGAAGCGAAATAGAACAGAGGGTGAACCCTGAGTCATTCCAAGACAGGGAGCAAAGAGTGCTGATTTGCCATCTTTTGTAATGCCAGCTCTGAGGGCCAAGCTAATTACCAGGCAACAGGTTCACAATGAACCAGAAAGAGTAGTTTTGTCGCACAGCCTGTAGTTAAACAATCAATCTTATTCCCACAAGATGTGGGTGCCAAAAGTCGAGCCAGTTTAAAATCCTATTTGAACAATTCCTCGCTGGCAGCCCTGCACTGGAAGCCTCTCAGGCTCAGAAAGCCAAGAGAGTATTGGAGGAGTGTTGGTTTGTGCTTGCCCTGTTCCTTTGTTCCCTCTTGAGGAGCAGGAATTGCTCCTGGTGTCTGTCAGATCAAATCCTGGGCTAGAAGGGGTGCTAGTCTGGCCTGCTGCAACTCGTGGGTTCAGACCTGCTTCGGTCAAGTATTGGCGTAGCCTTCAAGCAGGCTCGACTCGTATTTTGCTGATTTTTAGATGCAGGATTTGTACTTTCTGTACCACATTTCTCATTTCAGGCTGTTGCGCTCGGTCACCAGTGGACTGGGCTGCACCTGCACGCTTAGCAGGCAGGCAGAGCGAGCTCCTTCATGCTCTGCGTTTCGGTGGCCGGACCAACGTGTCCCCAGAAGGCCGGTTTCATTTCGGCTGAGCTAACAGCCTCAGCTGAAAATCATTAAGAGGCCGCTGGTTCTTGAGGAAAGAGGCAGGTTCCTGATTTGCAAGGTTGCCCAAGGCAATGGCATATTCAAACTAAGGTTAACCTAAGGTTAAAGCTCTTACCTCGCTGATAATTTCATTCTTAAAAGGGATCTGATATAACCAATTCAAGTCACGTTTTTTTCAATGGAAGAGAAGGTTTGTTCACTTGAGTTTCTTTCATGAACGTTGTTAGAAGACTCAGCAGGGCTGGTGCTCAGAGCACAATCTCCCTCAGAGTTATTAAATACCCTCTGCTCCCTTGGAGCGGTTAAATACCGATTATTAATATTTGTGTTTAATCTTAGCTTACACCTGAGGCTCCCGAAGCCCTCAAGAAATTTTTCTCTTTGCGGCAGCGGCGTGTTCGTGCTGCCCGGTGTTACCCTTGTCCCAAGAGGCCCCATCCGAGCTCGTCATGTTGGGGTGTTGTCCAAGAGCACAGGCAGGTCCTGCCTCAAACTGCTGAAGGCAGCAGCTCGACGTGGCATGGGGGGGGGGAACCGGGCACAGAAACAAAACGGGCAGGTCCAGCCCTCACGGTGGGGACGGAGACCGGCTCGTGCCTCGCAGCGGTGAGGGGCTGCGGCGCGGGGTGCCCTGGTCAGATCACGGAGCAGTCCACGTCCTCCAGGTCCGACTGAGGCTGCTGAGAGCTCACACCGATTCCTTTAGCAACCTCACAGGATATTTTTGATGCTTTATGTGTAAAACCTCCTGCATCTTTGGTAAACTTTCAGATCTAATTGCTACTCTATCCATAGGTAAGACTTTTTTAGTTAAAATAGACATTTTCTCTTTGATGTTTCTTCGGGGGTTCACTAATTAATAAATTGTTTTCTCTCGTATCCATCTCTCCACCACAGTCATTTGGGTTTATATTGGCTTTGTCTCCTGGACTCACATCTGAGCTGCGTTTTAGGAACTACTGAGCTTGTAATTCATACAGCCTGTGAAACACAAGATCCTTTCACTGTTCACTCATGTTCACTTTCTTTATTTTGCCTTTTTTTTTTTTTTCCCACAAGCTGAATCTGATGCTCAGAAAGTGAGCTCTCTCCAACTGCCAAGATGGTAATAAATGTCTGTCTCCCACAATTCAAGCCAAGAATTCACTGCAACAAGGTAAAATAATGATTGGGGCCGTGGGGTGTGCTTAGGGAGATGGAGGGATGGAGGGGTTAGGTGTGAGTGGCATGCTGGGCTGGCTGGGGCTGGGGAGGGCTTGTTCACTGCTCGTTTGTGATAATTAGCAGTGTTTCTGGAAGACTGATTTTTGTCTGGCCACACCAGGCTTTCCTGAGAAAACAAAGCAAAGGCAACTCACAGCAAACTCCCATCATTTTGTCTGGTCTGGCTGGTTCAGAGAGGGATTTTAACGTGGGAGGCTGGCTGTGTCCACTGGCAGCAGAAGCACTGAGGACAGATGCAATCCCAACTTAGACAAGGTGTAGGCTCATTAGTCTGCAGACCTGAGAGCATTTTTGTCAATTAAAATCATTTTCCAGTGATGTGGGAGGGTTGTGATTTGGGTGGGTTTGCTCTGTCTCCTGTCATTCTCAGCAAGGAGGTTTTGTGAACTGATGTGGGGAATTTGTCCTCCTGGTTCCCCTTCCCCTGTTGTGCTTCTGTCTTGAGAGTCACTGATGCGCGAGCACTATGAGAACCAGTGTCTGGGTGCTTGGAATCTGCAGCTTATGTGAAGATAAAGTGGAGCTGAAGGCTCAGTACTTTGAAAAATCAGTATTGAGAGGTTTTCCAGAAGTTACTCTTAAAAATTTGTTTGGTCCTGTCTGTTCTTTGGCCAGCATCTGCCATGTGGTGTTACAACACCATATACCCTCGTGTGACTGCTCAGATGTGAGACAGACTAATTGTTGGAGGGGAAAAGCCCTAATTTTGCAGGTTCTCATAACAAGACAATGTTATGTGCTTACCGGTATGTGTGCTTTGATTTGAGATACCTTTTTCCCTCCAGTATTACAGCTTTCCCTTTGTCCAGTGGAATACACAGCTCTTGACAATGTTTCCTGAAGTTACAAGTACTTATGTTTTCACTCAGCATCATCAGAATCTCTTAGGAACTAACTCAGTTTTCAAAGCCATTTTTTAATTGTTAAGTCTCCCCACCAACTCACACCCCGAAATCTAAGACAGCCTTGGATTTGTAAGTATTTTGTGTTGTAAAAACAGGTGTGACCATCCAGCTGGGTGGTGTGCTGGGAGACCCGGCCATGCTACTGAGGTTTGGTGTGCCTGTTGTGATCAGGAGGGTGCAGAGTGACCCTATTAACCAGGCGGAATAACTAGATATGCCTTGCTGTTATTTATTCATTTAGCAAGTGCTGCAGGATTTTTTTAGGCCCCGGGGCTTCCAGGAAAGGGAATGGGGTAGAGCCTGTCTGCTTGGGAGCAGACCAGAGGGTGGGATTGCGTCTTCTGGGAGACACGAGGTGGGGCCCGGGCTGGTTAGATGGATCTCCCACAGCGATGGGTAGGGTTGATCCCAGAGCAGAAGGCAGTCAGCTAGCTGACCTCCAGAGGTTTCCCTAGGATCCTGGAACCGCGTGGTTTGGAGCCTGTTTCCACATGGCAGGATAAGCTGACGTAATATTTCACCGCTGCCGAAGGAGAGGAGGCTCCTGTCTCCTCCATGCTCTGCTCCCAGCCCCACCCTCCCACTTGATTTAGTTCACTGACCGAGCCAAAACCACAAACTGTCCATAATTTTCCACTCTTTTAGCAGTTAAATCAGCTCTGCAAATGGCTGGCCAGGTAGCAGAGGTCGCAGAGAAGAGCGGATGGGGACCGTGTGGCTGGAGGAGGGTGGGAGTGGGTCTGCTCTGCCTCCGCAGCCAGGATCTCCTGTGTTGTCTCAGCTCCACATGAAACCGCAGTCTTGGTTGCTAGTTGATGTCATCTTGTGAATCTGCATAAATGCTTGTGAGATCGGTTTCCTTTTCTTGCTTCAAATTAAATCCGTTTTTTTTCCCCGAAACACAGATCTCTGCTGATGGTTATGAAGTGGAGAATCTGATCTCCGAAGACCTGGCCAGGAGAAATCGTGGTTTCCGCAGCGAATACTTCATCAAACCTCCAGTCCACGTCACGATCTCTTTTCCCTTCAACATCGAGATCTGCAGGATTAATATCGACATCTCATCCGGGGGATACCAAACCTTCTCTGGGCTCGAAGTTTACACCTCTACCTCATGCAATAAAACCTCTTGGCAGAGCCCTGAGGGTCAGTTCTCAGGTCTGGCTGGTCAGCCTGTGTCAGACAAAGACACTTTCACACTGGTGGGCAAAGCTGTCTTAAAAAATCAAAGCAAAGTGACGTTCGGCCACAGAGGCTTCAAGCCGAGGCCTCCCTTTCAACAGATGGAAAATGTCTTCTCCTACCCTGGCTCTGCATCTCAAGACCTCTGGAACAAAGGGCCTGCCTCGCTGAGCAACGTGTCGCACTTAAAAATCTGCATCACCCACGTGGCCGGGGGCGGCCTGCCTTGCATTAAGAGGCTGGAGGTGTGGGGACAGCCTGCCAAATCCTGCCCGCAGGAGGTGATCGAGGGTGTCTTTCAGGTGGCCTCCCAGTTCTTCGCCCAGGATGCCGGCAGCCTCAAGCCGGAGCTTTGGACGCCGATGGAGAGCGACTGCGTGCCCTTCAGCGCCAACGACAGCGAGCAGCAGACCCTCCGCAAGCTGGTGGATGTCGTCCAAGACATCCCCGAAGAATTCCTGGATCCCATCACTCTGGAGATCATGACCTTCCCCATGCTCCTGCCCTCCGGGAAGGTGATCGACCAAACCACCTTGGAAAAATGCAACCGGAGTGAGGCGTCTTGGGGCAGGGTTCCCAGCGATCCTTTCACTGGGGTGGCCTTCAGCCAGCACTCGCAGCCCCTACCTCACCCTACCCTCAAGGCCAGGATAGACCACTTCCTCCTGCAGCACAGCATCCCTGGCACCAACCTGCTCGGGAGGGCTCACGCCTCCGAAACGCTCGTACCTTCTTCCATAACAATGTCTTCTCTGAAAAGGAAAATGGACTGTATGGATCAGAGCTCCGTGCAGCCACCTTATTTTTCTTCTACTCACTTACTTGTCACGTCTACCTCAGAGAATAGTGCTAAAAAAATGAAAACTGACAATGACTCGCACTTGATCCAGATGGACTGTTCGACAGGTATCGTGGCTTCCTAAAGTCACTTGTGTTTCTGGAGTGTCTTGACAGCCTGGGGCCAGGTTTTCAAGTCAGGAGGGCCCAGTACGGATCCCCATCCTGCCTCTGGAAAGCTTTAAGGCTGTTGTATTTTGCTCTGGGTAGATGTTGTAGAAGTCAGGTCATCGTCTCATTCACCTCCCCTCTCCTCAGCACAACCTGCCATCTCTGGATGGCGCCTGTTCCCATTTGTTTCACCTTTTCCTCATCTCTAGGCTCGTCGTTCTCATTGTGTTACCTGTGCAGGCTGTTTCAGAGCCCTCTGGTTTGCTCAGGCCACTGTGTTTCCCTCTTAGTTTGTATTTCTTCTTCATCCTTGCTTTCAAGCCACTGCCCGTGTGGAGACAACGTTTTTATCACACTGTGCTGGTTTGAAGTTTCTTTATCGCGGGTGATTTATTATCTCAGCCATCCACCATGTTCTTCCATCAGCCAGAAAATAAGCAACAGCAGGAAAGGAAATGTCTGGTGATGCAGTGGTGATGGCACGGGGAGCCCGGGCTGGTGTGGATCTTATCAGCAAGGAGTGAGCTGGGGAGGAAAGCGGAAACGGGGCACTAATCCTGCTCCCGGATTTCCCTGGCCAGGCAGTGCCAGCCTGGGCTGCTGGTGCAGCTGGTTCCCTGCACCCTCGGCGTCGTTGCAGGGGTTGTGTCCCCAGGAGCTTCTCACGGGGCTGCCCTTGCTGTGGCAGAGGCTGGGCTCGGGGAGCGTGCGGCTGCACGGCCTCCGGTCTACGCTAATCTTAGCGCAGCGGCGCGAGGGCTTGGAACAAACGGCAGCAAGGGGGTTGCAGGCAGTGCTGCCTTTGGGGCGGGGAGGAGAGGGCAGCACAGGCTGCGAGAGACTTGTACAGGGATGGCAGTTAATGCAGAAAACCAGGTAGAGACATCAGACGAGGGACGTGGCTTACGTCTACAGGGGAGGGAAATGGGCACTGGTTTCCTTCCATCCTTGCTTTTCTCAGTGATCTGGTAGCAGCGCTGCTGGACGTGAGCTCCAGGAGGCAGGCAAACAGTCCAGACTTGCAGGCCTGAGATAAATTCCCTGAAAAGCTGAGTGCTTTCCCCCACCTCGGTTGCCAGCCATACCACAGCTACCGACCGGGCAGCGCAGACACACCGAGGGATCCCCCGAGCGCTGGGAGTGTGGGATACTCTGTAGGTCCAGCAGCGTTCATGTGGTGGGGCAGGCAGGGCTGCTGAAGAGGGGACAGCCTTTAGAAAGCAAAGGTGATCTGTAGGTTAAATACCGAGGAGATTCACATCTCTCTCCCCAAAATCTGTTCGCTCTTTGCAGTTTATTCTCTAATGACTGGGACCTTCAGCCTCCAGTCTGTGGCGAAGAGCCTCCCAGGCAATTGCTTCTCTTAACTCTCTCGCCCAAATCCACATCTATTTTGCCGTTGTTTGCTTTCTCCCTTGTTGGCACAGGAATTCCTGAAGCGAATTGGAGTTGCTGGCAGTGCAGCTGTTCTGTGGCTGTAACTGTGCTGCACACAGCAACGCTTCTATCTTCTCTCTGGTACCGTTAAACTGAGTTACTGCTTTAGGTAATAATCCCACTGGGGGAGGAAGGTAAACTTAAGCTGGGAGGTGGGAAGGAGATGTCTTTAGCAGTCTTGGATTTAGATGAGCTTGAAGAGAGCAGGCGTGTCTGAGGCTGTTGCAAACAGTCTGGTCTGAGTAGGGCGGTACAAACACACGGTGCACAGGTATCTTCTGGCCACGTAAGGGCTGTGTCTCTAGGCAGGTAAGTCGAGTTTTCTTGTGTTCTTTAGTGGTCTGTAACATGTCAAAAGGTGCCCCACAGCTTCTGACTGCTGTTCATGCCTGCTGGTACCTGTCGCTCCCTTAATTTTTCTCCCCAAATTGCTCAAAAAATGTTTTGAGGAAAAAGCTTAGGCAGTCATTTGATTTCAAACAAATTCTTTAAAGACTGGGTTGAAAATAATTGCTGTTTGGTGGTATTGGGAAGAGTAGAAAGAAGTCAGACTGCACATTTCTGCTCTGATTTCTCAGTCTAGACCTCGTGCCATGTTTTAGGAGGAATCATTAGTTAGTTTTATCGCGGAGGCGTGTAACAGCCCCCGCTGGGGATGTGCCCTGGCCCCAGAGGAGCAGGGACTGCCCTGCGGGGTCCCGCAGCTCCCAGGGGAGCCATGCCAGTACATAAATAAAAGCACAGTGCTCAGCCCAGGGAGCTGGTGCTTCAGTATTTCATCAGCCTCGATTCCTGTAGCAAATGTGCAGCGCTAATTCAAAGGTCTTCCTCTGGGAGATGGATTTAACAGAATTAGTGATGCAGACAACGTTTCCTTAATGCACAGTCTTAATTAACGCCTTCAGTATCGCACAGGACAGAACGCTGCGGGGAAGGGTCCGACCCTGTGCCTTTGGCTTTATCCCTCGACTCAGAACTGGAACAGAGAGAAAAAAAAAAAAGAAGTCCCTCAGATTTTATTAGCATCTTAAAATGTTCCTGGTTAGCTGCACTAAGCAAACCTGGGAGCGCTGGGCTGGGACCTTCGGTGGAGCAGGCTGAGGGAGAGAAACAGGTTTCTGGATTATTTGGTGTTTTGCCCTTTTTCAGACCTGCAGATAGAAGCTGGCACCTGAATGTTTGTTGACACTGGGGCATGACATGAATAGCTGACAGTAACCTGTGGGACTTTTCATCTTTAGGACCCAGAGGAGATGAGGCACTACGTCCCCATCCTGGCACCCTCAGGGGGGAAAACAGACCTGTCAAGGCAACAAAAAACTCCTAAAATCCCGAGTGTTGTCCCAGAGGTTCAGAGGCAAAGCAGCATTTCTGTTGCCTCTTCTTTTTTTCCTGGCATCTGCTTCTTCGAGCTTGTGCTTCTCTTTGCAGACCTGGTCTCTCACGAACAAAAACTGTCGGCGAGTTTGGACACTGCCTTGAACTCGGCGCTCAGCTCAATGCCCTCGTTTACGGCCAAGCTGATGAAAAGCCAGCAGCAGGCGCAGAGCGAGGGAGGCTGCAGCAGTTCCTGGGGCGTGGGCACCCTCCTCGGTAAGCAGCCTCTGGGTCGCCTTTGAGAGCGAGAGACAACTCAGACTGGGTTAACAGGGAGGGTTGTGCTGCTGCTCGGCATCTTTGTATGCCCCTTCAGACCCCAAAATATTGTATATTCGATAGAAAAATACTATGCTGTCTCCCAGCAAGTTTTGCATAGCAATCCCTAACTCCTGCTTTTTTATCTCAGCGGTTTTAATGCTTTATTCTCCCGGTGAGGCAGGTTAAACCTTGTTGGCCCCCAGAAAGTGAGGTGTATTGTCTGTGTCCGCAGTCAGAGCAAGCTGGAGCGTGAGCCCTGGGATTTGCCGGTGGTGGTGGTGGTTGTCCCTTGTCTGCCCTGGATGTGTCACGCTGGGACGGGGTTGGTTCAGGCTGAGGGGGTGGCCCCGCGTCAAGGCCTGGGCTGTTCCCACCACTCTGTGATTTGGGCCGAGTGGCTTAAACGTTGGCCGGGGGCTGCCCAGAGCAAACTGGGGGAGCTGCCACCTGCGCGGAGAGCGAGCCTGGTGTGGAGGCGCAAGCTGAAGGGGTGTAAACCAAGCAAATACCATGCAGCATGCTGACCCTTAGCAGGAACGGGTCCCGGTGCCCCACCTCACCGGCCGGCCAGCCAAGCGCGTGCCCAGAATCCCATCAGATTTGAATATATCCAGGCCAGGCTGTTGAGTCCTTGCAGCTTTACATCCCACCCGATGCTTAATCCAGCCGCGTACACGTTCCCAAAATTCTTTCTTCGGGGTTGCAAGGAATCGTTGAACCTTCCTACGTCCCTCCGCAGGCTGATGCCTGAACTTCTGGCTTGCTCCTCTCCCCTGCGCGAGGATCTGCCCGCTCGTGGCAAAGAGGGTTCAGAGAGACCCTGAGGAAGGGCCGGGGCCGTGCAGCTCTCGGCGGCTGTCTCTCTCTCTCTCTCTCTCTCCAAATAGCTTACGCTGTTTCGCAGCGACATTAAGCTATTAAGCTTTTTCCTGTCCCCTTTAAAATTGCTGCTGCTGAAGAGTCGACCGAGCAGCCATGGATAGGTAGCGTGTGACAGGAATGCAAAGCGATCCCTAAAGCGCTCCACTCGGGAATCAGTTTTAATCCGAGCGTTGGAAAAGCGGAAAGGGAGGCCCGGTTTAATCTCGGTAAAAGTGAAAAAAGCCCTTTACAGTCATCTGGCCTCGATGAAAAGCCTGATGTGGTGCGAGTGCTGCCGTGATCCAGCCCCTTCCGAGCACCCCCCTGCCCCAGAAGCCGGGCCGGGCCCCCCCCTTTCCCTTAGGGTAGCGACAGAGCAAAAGAGCCACGGTCCTGAGCCACGAGCGGCTGCGGAAAGCGGGGCCCTCGGCTCGTAGGCAGGATCAGGCCCGTAAGGGGTGGCCTTGTCACCCCCCCCCACCCCCCCCACCCCCTCCTCCTCCTCCTCCTCCTCCCCCCGAACCGCTTCTCCTGTCGCCTTTGCAGAGCACGGCAGGAGCAGCCAGACCCAAGGATGCGCTTCGTGCGGCAAAACCTTCTCGTCTTATTTCAAAACGGAGCCCGTTTACCAGCTCCCCTGCGGCCACCTGGCGTGCCGCCCCTGCTTGGCCGAGAAGCAGAAGCCCCTGGTGCCGTGCGGGAGTTGTAAAAGGCCGGCGGCCACGCAGGACGTCAGGCGGGTGCACTTCTGAGGCCGCGGCTGCCGGGAGGGCCGAGAAGAAGGAGCTGCTGCCGTTCCCCGCGTCTGCCTTGGGCCGCAGGAGGACGAGAGCTTTGCCGGCGGAGAGGGCTTGGTCTTCTCGTGCTTACAGAGTAGTTGGGGGGGGGGTGGGGGGGGGTGGGGGGTGGGGGGTTTAGAGCATCGCGCCAGAGCAAAGCGATCCGAGGATAATAAAAGCCATAGCTTCTTTAACAAGGAATATGTATTTATACAGAACTGATTCCCACCTGTCGCACCCGCCCTCTTACCGCCCTCCCAGTGGCTCAGTGGTTTTAGCATAGGTGCCTTTCGGACTGCGAGTTTAGCTTCCCCGTGGGTTAAAACCGTTTACGTGTTTGACGAGCAGCCGTTCGGGTCGCGGACCAGGCGAAGTCCTTGTGACGGACAACACGCGAGCTACCCGACTTCTCCCCTGCCCCGCCTCGCCCCCCTCCTCCCCGCGGGAGCACGTCGTCCATCCCGGAGTCCAGGCAGCCACGAGGAGAGGCCGTGGTTAATGCGTGGGTAACCGGCAGGGATCTCGCCCCGCTCGCACGAACCCCTGCAGAAAAGCCATCGCGTTACACCAAACGTCGCTCTCGGTTGATGTCGTGTGACTGGACCAGGCCCCCGTCTGGCTGATAGACATTTAAGCCTTAATAAAATTATGTTCAAAGTCAGGTTCTCTTTCTGACTCGTAATTGGTCTCGTCGTGCGGCTTAATGGTGTCGTGGAGTGAATCTCTTTGCGGAGTACTGAATAAATGGGCTGGAAAAAGCTAAGGCGACACAAAGGAGCTGCAGGGCGGCAGGGTTCGGCGGCGTTAGCAGCTGCGGGGACTGTCGCAGGCTTGAGACTCAGAGCCCTAAACCCGAGGAGGTCTGGCCTTCAACGAGCTGTTCAGGAGAAAGCCACAAGGAAAATCACGTTCTGTCACCAGCGTGTGGACGCGCCGAGGGTGAGGCGACAGCAGAGGGGTTTGTCACCCGTACAGCCCCCTGCTGTTGCCACTTAATTGGTAATTTCTCCGCGGAGCAGATGTCACTCGCTGATGTTCTGTGCCAGTTTCTCTGGGGTAACGAGCCTCCAGCTGACTCAACTCACCTTTGCCTGTAATACCTTTCTTCTCTCTTCAAAGGCACCTGCGTGCTGAGCAACCCATAATGTTCGTGGCTTTTTGGTCAGGGGAAATAGCAGTGTCTCATCAAGCAGCGGAAACATGGCTTCGTATCAGCACCCTGCTCTTTGTCTGCGTCAGCGGGAGTTTATAATCCACCTCCATTTGCAGCAGAAGTAGGAAGTCCCCCATCTTTAAATAATAAACTGTTAGGGAATAGGCAAAAAAAAAAAAAATCTTAAAAATCCCACGGTTCAGAGGCAGCAAAAATCCTCCTCATCCTGCGGTGGTGTCGCGTTTGCAGTGAACCAGCCCGCTGTGATTCAGCTCTCCCACCTCCTCCGGGCAGCGATCGCTGCCGCCGGAGCTCCCCAGCCGCGCGCCCATCTCGTCCTTCCCCTGGCGCTAACGAAACCCACCCCCCCACCCCGGCATCCTCCAACCCCAAGCCGCTGCCTCAGCCAAAAGCCTCTCCTGCCCCCCCCCAAAAAAAAAAAAAAAAAAACAAAATAAAGTTCTGCGTGATATCCTGCCGGTGGGCAGCGGCTCAGGGCTCGAGGGCGAGTTCGCTCTCCGGAGAGGGACGGGGAGCGAGCGCGGAGCAGGGGTTGGGGTGGCATCTGATCCGACCCCCTGCTCAGACGAGGGCTCATCTCCACCTTCCATCACGTTTCTCAGAGCCTTCATCCACCCAATCCTCCTCCTCAATCCTCCAGGACCCTTTAGCAGCAAGTTTTGACCCCCCCTCCCCCCCGTGGCCCCTCTCGCTGATGGCCCAGGGCGGGCGAAGGGACGGACGGACGTCCCTCTGCGCCCACCTGGTTGCTTAGGGAAGGAGTGTGCAGCCCCCCCGGCTGGGTGTGAGCCCTCCCGATACCTCCCCTTGCACACGAGCGGGGCACCAACGCCTCTGTGGGCAGCCCAGACCCTCTCTGCACCCCGAGAAGACGGGCTCGGGGCGGGGTGACACGTTCCCGTGGGGTCTTCTGCCAGGACCCACGGCAATTCCCCCGAAGCTCCCACGCAGCTGCCAACCAGCGAGTTTATTTCCCGGCCCTGAGCCCGGCTTCAGTTCGGGAGGTGGGGGGGGGGAACGGCCTTTGATTGAAGGCCTGAGCAATTTCCTCTCACGCTCTCCTTCAAGCGCTTTTAGGAGGACAAATCCATCATCCCTTGTTGGTCGGTGACCTCCCGACCGTGACGTCTGCGCCCCGGCGGGACGGATTTGGGTGGGCAAGTCACCAAGGCAGCGGCCTCAGCGAATCTCGACGTTCGCGCTTCCTTTTAAACGAGCAACAAAGCTGTTTTCCACCGCGTCATGGAAGCAGAGGAGCCTCTTTAGCCCTGACGCGAAAAAAGAAGGTGCTGTGCTCAGCCAGGAGGTGCAGAATCCCCCCCCCTTTCCCCACACCCCCCACACCCCCCGCGGCCTCCAGCCATTAACCCCCTGTCAGCCACAAGTTCACGGTGAGTGGGTGAAACTCTTGTGACGAGGCTCCCCGCCGCGAAATGCCACCGAGCCAGGCCCGTTTGAGGAGCATCAGGTCACGCAGCCGGGAGGGGAGAGCGCGCCTTTGCCAGCCTGACCTGCTCTAACCCACCTGCTTAAGAACTTTCTCCTCCTCTGCCGCATCCCCGCTCCGGCCGCCACAAAGGCAAGAAGATGCACCGGTCGGGGAAAAACATCCAGTTTCCCACGCGGCACCCGTCGCCCTCCGATTTTTTCCGGTTCGAATTTGTCACTTCGACCCCTGTGGCGGAGCGCCGCGACCTCCAGCCTTCCTCCTGCCTCTGGAGGGGCTCCCCAAAACCTCGGTGGGGGCTTCAAAGCTAACGAAGCTCCTGCTGTTAATGAAGGGAGGGGGGGAGTGTGTGTGTGTGTGTGTGTGTGTGTATTTGTGGCTTGCCCCTGACCACGCACAAGGGCGCGATCGCTCGAGGGTTGGAAAATCGTCGCCGATTTTCGAAAATTTGCAGCGAAGATGCTTTGCAGCCACGGGTGTAGCCGGCGGGTGTTTTACCTGCGACACAGCGCGGGGGCATGGCCGGGCGCTGCCGGACACCCCGTTTCCCATCATCTGGGTTATTCCCCGTTGGGAGAAGCGAAAGGGGAAGGGGACGAGCGGCGGAGAGCCGCGGCCGAGCCTCTCCGACAGCCCCCCCAGCCCCTTTTGCTGGTGCCGAGGAAGAGCTGGGGGGGCTTGGGGCGGGGAGGGGGGGGCTGGATTTGAGGCTGCTGCCCGGCTCCCCGCCCCGTGGCAGGTCTTTGGGGCTTTCCTCCGCCAGCCCAGGCGAGGTGGGTTAGAGATAGCAGGCAGCTAACGCCGGCGATTAATGCCGAGGCGCCTGCAGCGCCCGCCTCGCATGTCGTTAGGAGATCAGCGCTAACGAAGGGGGCTCCTCTGGGGCCCCGGGAAGAGCCTGGGGGGAGAGCAAGGACAGGCAGAATAAATCCGCTCCTGGGGGGGATGCAGAGAAGGGACCCCCCCCCCCAATCCCTCCCCTTGGCTGATGTCGGGGGATTTGGAGCAGGGATTCGAGTAGCCCCAAAGCCTCAGGCAGGAGCTGGAAGCGGGTTGGGGGGGCCCAGAATCGCCCCCCAGGGCCGCGGCCGAGCACCAGTGAGCCCAGCAAAGATCTTCCCAGCTGGATCTGCCCGGCCCCATGAAACCCTGAGCTCACCCCAGCTGACTCGCCCCAGGTGACCCGAATATTTTCATCCCTCAAAACACTCTTTTTTAATCTTTTCCACACATTTTCTTGCCTCCCCCCCTTCCCACCTCATCCTCCCCTTGATTCCCGTAAGTGATTCTGCGTTGTGGCTGCAGAGCCTCTGCAACTTGGAAAAAACATTTTATTAACCTTCCTTGACTTTAAAGAGCATAATTACATTTTAATCTCATATTCCCGCGTTATCATTCCAGACACAGAGTCATTTGAATGCAGATCGGTCGTGGCTAATGTAATTTTACGATACAGTAATGAAGAGACGGAGCATGAGCGTGTAACACCCAATTTAGAGCTGACATTTGGGTTTCTTTTAAAAAGTTTTCTCAGCCGAGGGCTTTTGCGTCCTCCTTGGTCCTGCAACGCAAGTGGGTTTCGGCTCCCGCTGTGCAGGGATGGGTTTGGATGGGGAAACGTGGCCGGTGCTCGTAATGTTGGGCATTAAATCTGCCCACGGCCGTCCCACGTGGGTGATTCAGCGTCTCTGATGGTGGGCACGGGGCAAATTTGGGAACTTGCTGCTCCCCTGGTCCCGGGGAGACCTGACTCGGGGGCTGCAGTCACCTTCACCCCTCTTTTTTTTTTTTTTTTTTTTTTTTTTTTGGAGGGGGGTTGGGGATATCACCTTCATTTTACCCATCAAAAAACCCAGGCACGCCCCAAAAATCAGGACTGTCACACCCCCACACCCCCCCCCCCCCCCCTCAGATTGATGCATCCCTTCAAAACTCACAGGGCAAGAGTTGGCAGCAGGTTGGGACACACACACACCCCCCCCAGCATCACCCCAGAATAAATGCCCTTACCCTGCGTGACTCAGTTTCCCCTGGGCAGTGAAACGATGCTCTGGGGTGTGTGTCCCCCCCCCCCCAGCCCCCCGACATCCCTCCCTGATGCCTGCGAAGCCCAGCCACTCCAGGTGATCCCCAGGCTGGTTTTTATGGTTCTTTGCCTCAATTCCCCCGTCTTCAGTGAAGATGAGGGACAGGGTGGGCTGAAGGGTAGGAAAAAAAAAAAGTCACACCAGAGGCAGCACCCCCCCCAGCCCACATCACCCACCCCCATCCCTGCCAGCACCCCCGAACGAGCCGCTCCTAATCACCACGAGCCAGCCCCAACAGTTTTTTTTTGGGGGGGGGGACAGACAGACGGATCCTTCTTGGGTGCCTGGTTCCCCTCTGCATATTAATTTCCCGTTGCTGAGGTCCCTCTCGGCGCTGCTGAAAAGGGGATCTGGGACCGGCAGGAATATTCGGGGGGGGGGGGGGGGGGGGGGGGGGCATTGCTGCCATTTTCCCTGTGCTGCTGTTTCTGACCACCCTTCAGTGTCACGAGCGTGTTGGGGCTCAGCACGGGCTCCCACTGGGTGCCAAAAGGCAGCTCAAAGCCAGTCCCAAAGGTGTTCTTTTTTATTTTTCTTTTTTTTTTTTTCTTTCTCTTCTTTTTCATTTTTTTCTTTTCCTTTCTCTTCTTTTTCTTTTTCTTTTTCTTTTTCTTTTTCTTTTTCTTTTTCTTTTTCTTTTTCTTTTTCTTTTTCTTTTTATTTTTATTTTTATTTTTATTTTTTTTCTTTTTCTTTTTCTTTTTCTTTTTCTTTTTCTTTTTCTTTTTCTTTTTCTTTTTCTTTTTCTTTTTCTTTTTCTTTTTCTTTTTCTTTCTTTTTATTTTTATTTTTATTTTTATTTTTATTTTTATTTTTATTTTTATTTTTATTTTTTTTCTTTTTCTTTCTTTTTATTTTTCTTTTTCTGTCTCTTTTTCTTTCTCTGTCTCTTTTTCTTCCTTTTCCTTTTCCTTTTCCTTTTCCTTTTCCATTTCCTTTTCCTTTTCCTTTTCCTTTTCCTTTTCCTTTTCCTTTTCCTTTTCCTTTTCCTTTTCCTTTTCCTTTTCCTTTTCCTTTTCCTTTTCCTTTTCCTTTTCCTTTTCCTTTCTCTCCCTCTGCTGTTGGTTTCTCTGCCACCTCCTTTCTTGGAGAAAAAGAGGTGGAAGAGCCGGGTGGCAGCTCCAGATTCCTTCAGGCCCGGGTTGGGCCAGGCTCCCTCTCTGTGGTCCGGCACTGCGGCCGAGCCCCTTGGTTTAGGCACACCTTTGTGCACCCCAGCTTTCCCCCCAAGCCCCGACCCCGCTATCACCCCCCTCCAGCACCCCCTCCCAGACCAGCACCATTCAAACCAGCACCCCCTCCCCAAACCCGCACCCTCCAAACCACCAACCCTCCTCGAACCAACATCTGCCTGAGCATCCTGCCCCAAACCCGCATCCCACCGGGCCCAGCGCCTTCAGGAGGAGCACACCTCCCCAAACCCCTGCCCTCCCAGTCCAGCACCCCCTCCCCATCAACTGGCCACCCTGGGGGGGGGTGGGGGGGTGGCCTGCGCCCCTCAGAGCAGCCAAAGCTTGGGGGGGGGGGGGGGGGGTGGGGTGGGATTCACCAGCCCTGAGCGCTGCTGCTGCTTGCGCTCCTGCACTGAATCACCTCAATTACAGATTCACTTGGATGCGATTTGGGGAAAAAAAAAAAAAAAAAAAACAACAAAAAAAACAGAAGGGAGGAAAAAAAAAAAAGAAAAAAGGGAAAAACAACAAAAAAACAACCCAGCCCTCTTCTTCTTCCTCCTCCTCCTCCCCTGGGAAGGGGCGACAGCAGCATAAATAGCAGCTGGTGCAGCACGGGGCCAGATGCAAAGCGAGCAGCAGGGCGCGTGGCTTCCCCTGGCACGGCTGCCGGCGCCCCCCAGCATGGCAGAGCCTTCGCTGCCCCTCTCCTTCCTCTGCCTCCTCGCCTTGTCCTCCGCCTGCTACATCCAGAACTGCCCCCGGGGTGGCAAGAGGGCCCTGGCCGACACAGCCCTCCGACAGGTATGGGATGGCTGGGGAGGGGGGCAGGATGGGGTTTTTTTTGGGGGGGGGGGAGGAAGGGGGGGGTGTAGTGGCTCTGTGGGGTGCAGAGGCTTCTGGCTATCTGCGGGCTGTGCCACGCACCCCCCCATTGCGAGCAGCGTGGGGCACCTCGTTTTATTTTTTGGGGGGGGGGGGGGGGGGGAGGAGGACTAGGAGACATGCCCGAGGGCGCGCAGTGGTGGAGGGATGAGCGACACACCCCCACACCACCCCCAAAAGACGACGCTGGTTGTCACCTGAGGGAAGAAGCCAAAGCCAAGCGTCCCCTCCACCATGGCAAGGGGGGGGGGGATGAGACAGGGCACCCCCGTGGGGCAGGGAGCAGCAGGGAGCCCCCCCCCCAAGATTGGGGCCAGCGCCCCAGCACGAGGCCGCGCTGCTGGGGATGGGGACAAGACAGGTCACCCCATGCCGGCGTGGCACCCCGAGAGCTGACAAAGTTGTTGTTGGGGTGGGGGGGGGGGCCTTTAAGCAGGGTGTGCCCCCTCTTTTTTTTTTTTTTTTTTTTTGGGGGGGGTGGGGTTTGGTTTCAAGGGACTCAAGCGGCTCCTTCCCCCAGTGCATGCCCTGCGGCCCCGGGAACAGAGGCAACTGCTTCGGCCCCGGCATCTGCTGCGGCGCCGAGCTGGGCTGTTACCTGGGCACGGCGGAGACGCAGCGCTGCGCCGAGGAAGACTACCTGCCTTCACCCTGCCAGGCCGGGGGGCAGCCCTGCGGCTCCGGGGGCCGCTGCGCCGCGGCCGGCATCTGCTGCACCGCCGGTAATATTTGGGGGGGGGGGGGGTGGAGGGGGGTGGAATTTGGGGTCAGCAGGAGAAGGGGATGGAGAGTTTGGGGTGTGTTGGGACCGCGGGGGCATCGCAGTGGCATGGGTCGGTCATAGACTTCACTTGACGAAGGGGAAACTGAGGCACGGAGGAGCGGCAGCGGTGTTTTTCTTATTTTGGGATAATTTGGGGATGGTCAGATTCTGATTAGACAGAAGGCGGAAATTTTTTAGGATGAGGGCGGTGGGGCGCTGGCCCAGAGCGGCTGTGGCTGCCCCCTCCCTGGAAGGGTTCAAGGCCAGGTTGGACGGGGCTGGGAGCCCCCTGGGCTGGGGGAAGGGGGCCCTGCCCGGGGCAGGGGGGTGGCACTGGGTGATTTTTAAGGTCCCTTCCCACCCAAACCGGTCTGTGATTCTCCAGTAAGCACCGTGCTGGGAATTTCCCAGCCGGGCACACGCCGCCTCCCCGACGTGCGGGAAGGTGCCCAGCCAGCCCCGCTCCCCGGTTATCAGGAGGGACCAAAGCCGGAGGGCGAGCTGTGCGGTCACCCCCCAGCTGCCACCAACCCCTTTTCCCCCCCACCCCCCCCCCTCCCCAAAACTAACACCCTCGCCATCCTAAATAACCCATCCCGTGCCGCCGGTTTGCTTTTTGTTGAAGAAACCTGCGCGATGGACGCGGGCTGCCTGGACGAGGGCAGTGACGGGGCTCAGGAGACGGCGGAGAAGAACCTGACGGTGCTGGACGGTTCGGCCGGGGATCTGCTCCTCAAGCTGATGCACTTGGCGAACCGGCAGCAGCAGGGCAAGCACCCCCTCCTCTGAGCTGGGGCGCCGGGCGTCCCCCCCCCTCCCCACCTTGGCAACGCCACCGATCCCCCAACCCCAACTTTGTAAATACAAAACCCAATAAAAGTCCTCATGCACTGTGGTGGCTTCGTCCGGGGCGTTGGGGACGGGGCACGGCGGGACCCATCCGGGGCTTGAGGATGGCGGGGGGGAGGTGGGGAGGTTTTGGGGGGGTTCCTCCCCAAATCCCCATCGGCCCCGTGCGGTTTGGCTCGCGGCCGCATGGGTTTTGCTGGGCTGGGGGCAGGATTTGGCCCCGTCCTTGCAGCGCTGAGGGCAGAGCTTTGGGATCCGGCCATCGAGTTCCACCCCGGGAGCCCTGGCAGCACCCATGGGTGCTGAGCCTCCCAGCACCCACCCCCCCCTCCTCCCCCAAGCCTGGGAGATTGGGGACGGCTGCGATGGGCCACCATCATGTTACCTCTTGGCCAAGACCCCTCTTTGGGGCAGATTCGGGGCCTTGTCGCCTTCAGGAACCAGCAGCTTCAAGCCACGTCTATTAAAAATGTTAAAAACTAAGGAAAACCACCCCAAAACCCCGCAAGAATGGAAAGGTTGGAGTTCCCAGCTTCATACAACCCCCCCACCCCGGGGCTGGTCTTATCTTTCCCTCCCTTCGCTCACCAAACTGGTCCCCTCCAGACACGGATGGGCAGGATCAGCCCCCCCCCGGGTTGTTCCACCATCACCCCTCAAATTTGGGGTACCGTTACCCCAACGCTCTTACCCCCTCCCCGAGTCTCTTACCCCGCCGGGGTCCCTGCTCCGGGCTGGGATCTGGTCACGGCGCCGGGGACAGCTCGTCCTTTATAATGTCCCCGAGGGCGGTGGCACCTCCGGGGAGGTGGAGCTCCTCACCAGTGGGACCCATCCTGCCCACGGCAGCTCCCCGCACCTCGAAGCTGGGGGGTGCGGGATGAGCCCAGCGCCTGCTCCCCCACAACGAGCCTTTTAGCCCAGCCCTGGGGAGGGGGGGGGGGACCCGAAATCACCCCCAAATCAATCGGGAAAGGGGCCGTGCCTATATGGATGGGTGACCCCGAGCTGGACACCCGTGGGATGAAGAAATCGGGTTGTTAAGCCCAGCCCCGGCGCTCAGCCTGTCCTGGGGTGCAGGATGCGAACCCCAACACCTCCTGCCGCAGTGGGGACGTGTCACTGAGCGGGGAAGATGCTCCAAGGTGACAGGAGCCCCCGCATCGGGGTGTCGGGGTCCCAAAATGCACCAGGAGCTGACAGTTTTGGGGGTTTGTTTGTTTTTTTTTGTTTTTTCCCACACATCTCCCCAAGACGCACCCCAACCCCACCCAGAGGGGGGGAGGTCCAAGCACCCCAAAACCGACCATAGGGGCTGCAGGAAGGCGATTTTCACCTCCACCCCCCTCCCGCAGCGGGACGGCAGCCGGGGCTGAGCCGCCGGGATGTCACAGGGGCGATGCTGAACCCCGTTTCCAACCCCAGCGCCCCGGCTTGTCCCCAGGGACCAGGACTCGCCGGCCGCCCGACCCCCCGGGGGGGGGGGGGTGTGTGTGTGGGACAGGGACTCGCCCCCCCGAAGTGACAGATTCCGAAGCGGAGGCGGAAGGGGCGAGAAGAGGTCACGGCTCTCCGGGTCTGGGCTGCCTAATTCCCAATTAAGCAGGAGCGGGGAGGGACCGGGGTAATGACCCCGGCAGCCGTAACACTTGTCTGCGGCGGAGGAATTTATTCAAGGTGGAAGCTCTTAATTGCGGTAACGAAGGCGAGGGCTCGGGGCGAGCAGGACTCTGAGATCCCTGGTTTCTCCGCTGACGACGCGGTTTGGGGGCATCAGCTCCAGGGGTAGAAGCCACGGGGGGAATTGGGGTTTCCAGGCTGCCTCGGTGCCCAGAGATGAAATCGGGCAGGGGGGTGTGGGGGGGTTCTGGGTCACTGTTACCCCAGAGCGGGACAAGCCCAGGGGTTGAGCATCCCCCGCAGGCCGGGCAGGACCGAACGCCGCGATCCCCCCCTTCAAATCAAAAGGGATTTGGAAGGCAAAAGCCTGCTCGCCCCGTTCCTGGGGAGGACACAGCCCACGGGGCCGTGGAGACGCCCGCTGCCGTCCCTTCCCAACCCCTGGCAGCGGGTGGGACGAGCCCCAAAGCCGGGACGGGGGGGGGGGGGGGGGGGGAAGAAGGGACCTGAGCCCCCTCCCAGCACCCGCCGCCTCGGTCGGAATCGTCACCGAGGAGGAAAAAAAACCAAGCCCTTGGCCTTGACCTCACGTCCTCGACCCCGCCGGCTATTAGCAGAGCCCTCCGGTGTGGAAAGCAATGCCTTGTGGTTTTTAAGGGAAAAAAGGGGTGACGCCGGTGCCGGCACGCGTCAGGAGGAGCCGGCGTTATATATATGTACACGCGCGACCGCTCGGCCGGGCTGAGACGCCGGGAAGCTCGCCGCCCCGCAGCCATGCCCTGCAAGGCGCTCGCCCTCTGCCTCCTGGGGCTCCTGGCTCTTTCCTCCGCTTGCTACATCCAAAACTGCCCCATCGGGGGCAAACGGGCCGTCCTGGATGTGGAGATCAGGAAGGTATGTCCCAGCGGGCTGGGAGAGCCCTCCTGCCAACCTCCCCGGGGCTCCAACGGGAGGAAAGGACGAGGGAGGGGAAAAAAAAAAACCAAAAAGCCTCGATGCCATCCCTAACTCTTCCCCCTCCACTTTTTTTTTTTTTTTTTTTTCCCCCCCTCAGTGCCTGCCCTGCGGTCCCAGGGACAAAGGCCGCTGCTTCGGTCCCAACATCTGCTGCGGGGAGGAGCTGGGCTGTTACCTGGGCACCTCGGAAGCGCTGCGGTGCCAGGAGGAGAACTTCTTGCCGACGCCCTGCGAGCCGGGGCGCAAACCCTGCGGGGGCAGCGGCGGGAGCTGCGCGGCCCCCGGGCTCTGCTGCGGCAGCGGTGAGGACCCCCCCGGGGGGAAAAAAAAAAACCTCACCCCGGGGTGGAAATTGAGGGTTACTGCATGGGAGAGGGGACTTTGCCCAAGGGACCTTCTCGGCCCTGTCCGTCCGTCCGTCTCCCCAGCAGCCGGGGCCAACCCGCTCGGGGTAAATTTGATCCCAACCCCAAAGAAGAGGAAAACAGACCGTGAGGTTTCGGGGGGGAAAAAGCGAGCAGCAGGACGCAGGGAAGCCCATCCACCCCCCCCCCCCCAATTTCATTAGGGTTTTCCCTAAATCCCAACCTCTTCCCCCAAATCAGACGCTACCAGAGATCCCGCTACAAACCCCGGGGAGCTGCAGGGCACGAGGGGAAGGCGACCTGGCTCCATGTCATTAAAAACCAGCGGCGGTGGAGGGGGGTGTGTGTGTGTGTGTGTGTCTGAGGGCTGGTCCGTGATGTTTAATTTCACACAGCGTTCTCTCCCCGCACAGAGGGCTGCGTGGTCGACTCGTCCTGCGACCCAGAAATGTTGTTTGCCTAGGAGAGAAAAACCTCCAGGATCCCTTCGCTGCCGGGCTGGGAACAGATGAGCCACGGGGCCGCGACTCAGATTTAAGTGATGCTCTTAACTAGAAATAAAACTTGTACAGGAAAAAAAAAAAATAATAATAATAATAATAATAAAAAAAATACGTGTCTTGAGTTTTTTGCGCGCTTGCCTGGTTTAGGTGCAGACTGGCTGGAGAGAAAACACCATTTTTGGGAAAGCGTGGATAAAAAGCAAGGATTTAAGGTGGATTTTGGGGGCAGAGGGACCCGTGGTCGGGCTGGCTGCAAACTCCAGGCTGGTTTTGGGGCAAAGCTCAGAGCGCAGCTCGGTCTGCAAGACCACAATAAGCCGCAACCACCAAAGAGGACCCGGAGTAACTGCAGTACTATCGACAAGTGAAGCCCCAGGGGACGAGTAAAATAAGGCTGAAGGGCAGGAGAGAGACACATAAAAGCTGCTATTTAGGAGATCTCGGCACATTTTCTCGTTTATCCACAGCAAGAGGTGTGCAAAGGAGGGTTTAAAGCGCGGACGGGACGCCAGGTCCCTCCAGCACAGCAAGAACCAGGAGGAACCACCAATTCCTTTCCTCCCCCCCCCCACCAAAAAGCGGAGGGGCAGGGGTTCCTCCAAAGCCCTTCCCACCCCCTTTGCTTCCAAAAGCACCTAGAGGGGTCGACAGGCTGCCCGGGGAGCTCAGAGCCAGGACCTGCCCCGGACCCTTCCTGCCCCTTTTTTTTTTTTTTTTTTTTAAATTTCCACCACCACCCCCCCGGCAGCAGGAGGGCTCCACACCCGACCACCAGCAGCTTCTCCTTGGCCGGGACAGGAGGCGGGCGGCCGCCTCTGCCCAAGTTTTCCCCTCAAAACCCTTCGGAGGAAGCACAGCCAGCCCGGCAGGTTCGCTCCACCCATTCTGTGGCAGCTTTTATACATTCCAAAGGAAGAAACCGGCTCCCAAGAGGAGCCTCCGGGAAAAAAACCAGACCGGCGCCGCCCCCCCCCCCCCCCGCTAAGCCACCACCGTCCGTTTGACGACCCGCCCGTCCTTGTCGATGGCGAAGTTGTAGTTGCGGGGGTTGTCCAGGCACTCCTCGATCCGCGCATCCAGGTTCTCGGGGGTGATGAAGGTTTTCACTTCCTCCTGAACGAAGGGGCAAGCGCCGGCGATTAAAGCGGAGCTCGGGGGATCCCCCGAGGTGCCGCCAGCATCGCCGGCGCCTCGACCGGAGCCGAGTCCGGAAGGAGAAAAAAAAAAAAAAAAAAAAAAACCCTTTATTCTCTCACTCAGGGTCCGTTCCACCCTGTTTTCAGAGCTCTGCCTCAACCTCTAGCCCATCCACACGCTGTCAACACTCCTGGGAGGCGCGAACACGCGCGTTCCCAGCTACCAACGTAAAAAAAAAAAAATATATCTGGAAAATAAGCCCCCGGTTTCCACGGGCTGCCAGCAAATCCCTGGCAGGGCGGGCTGGCAGCGCGCTCCCCAGCTGCTCTCACCTGCAGCTGCAGAACCTCCTTCTCCTTCTCCTTCAGGAAAGCCTCCATCATCCTGGCCCTGGTCTCCGCAGCCTGCAGCTTCTGCTGCTTCCGTTCTTCTGCTTCTCTCCGAATTCTTTCCTCCCTGCCACAGGGAAAGGAAAAGAAAAGAAGGGTTTGGGCGAAGGCTCAGGGTCTGCAGGGGGGCGCTTCGGCGAGGCAGACGGGCCCCTCGGGACGCCGAGCTTTTCGGCAGAGCCAGAGCAAACGGGGGACGGAGCAAACGCGCCGGATTTATTTTTTACAAGGTCCAAACTCGGGTCGAGTGTCTGGGTGCAAAGGAAGGGTGGCGGGGCCGGGTGTTGAACTGAGAGCTGCACAAGGTGAAACCGCGAAGCCCCCCTTGCCCCCCCGGGGGGGCTGACCTGCGCGCCCGCTGCCGGGCGTTCTCCGCCTCGTTCCAGGCCATGAGGAGCCGGTGCTGCTCCGTCAGCTCCGCCACGTCCTCCCGGGACAGCGACGCCTCCCGCTTCTTCTGCAGCACCTCGGCCCGGAACTCGGCCCTGCGGGGAGGGCAGGGGAGGTCGCTGGGGCTTCTCTGCCCCACGGCACAGCCAGCACTCCCCCCACCCCGCCCCGGGGTCCGGCTGCCCCTGCTCCGAAGTGGCCCCAAGCCCCCCCCCCCCCCCCCCCCCAACCTTCTCCTGCCTCACAGAGCCCCAGCCAGCCCCCGAAAAAAACCCCCAGCCAGCCCCAAAACCTCCCCCGCCCCACAGCAACCCCAGAACCAGCCCCAAAACCTCCCCTGCCCCACAGCAACCCCACAGCCCCGTAACCAGCCCCACAGCCAGAGCCACAGCCAGCCCCACAACCCTCCCCCGCCCCACAGCAGCCCCATAACCAGCCCCAAAACACTCCCCTGCCCCACAGCAACCCCACAGCCCCATAACCAGCCCCACAGCCAGAGCCACAGCCGGCCCCACAACCCTCCCCCACCCCAATGCAGCCCGATAACCAGCCCCAAAACACTCCCCTGCCCCACAGCAACCCCACAGCCCCATAACCAGCCTCACAACCCTCCCCCGCCCTACAGCAGCCCCAGAACCAGCCCCACAGCAACCCCAGAACCAGCCCCAAAACCTCCCCTGCTCCACAGCAACCCCACAGCCCCATAACCAGCCCCACAGCCAGAGCCACAGCCAGCCCCACAACCCTCCCCCGCCCCACAGCAGCCCCACAACCCTCCCCCGCCCCACAGCAGCCCCACAACCAGCCCCAAAACACTCCCCTGCCCCACAGCAACCCCACAGCCCCATAACCAGCCCCACAGCCAGAGCCACAGCCAGCCCCACAACCCTCCCCCACCCCAATGCAGCCCGATAACCAGCCCCAAAACACTCCCCTGCCCCACAGCAACCCCACAGCCCCATAACCAGCCCCACAGCCAGAGCCACAGCCAGCCCCACAACCCTCCCCCGCCCCACAGCAGCCCCACAACCCTCCCCCGCCCCACAGCAGCCCCACAACCAGCCCCAAAACACTCCCCTGCCCCACAGCAACCCCACAGCCCCATAACCAGCCCCACAGCCAGAGCCACAGCCAGCCCCACAACCCTCCCCCACCCCAATGCAGCCCGATAACCAGCCCCAAAACACTCCCCTGCCCCACAGCAACCCCACAGCCCCATAACCAGCCTCGCAACCCTCCCCTATCCCACAGCAACCCCATAAGCAGCCCCAAAACGCTCCCCCGCCCCACAGCAACCCCACAGACCCATAATCAGCCTCACACCCAGAGCCACAGCCAGCCCCAAAACCTCCCCTGTCCCACAGCAACCCCATAACCCAACACCCAGCCCCCAAACCCTCCCCTGCCCCACAGCAACCCCACAGCACTATAACCAACGCTCTCCTGCCCCACAGCAACCCATACACCCAGAGCCACAGCTAGCCCCACAACCCTCCCCTGCCCCACAGCAAGCCCATAACACTATGCCTAGCCCCATAACCAGCCCCAAAACCCTCCCCCGACCCGCGGCAGCCCCACAACCCTTCCCCTCCCCACAGCAACTCCACAGCCCCACAGCCAGCCCCATAACCATCCCCCAAACCCTCCTCTGCCCCACAGCCAGCCCCATAACCATCCCCAAAACCCTCCTCTGCCCCACAGCCCCACACCCAGCCCCATAACCATCCCCAAAACCCTCCTCTGCCCCACAGCCCCAGCCCCATAACCATCCCCAAAACCCTCCCCTGCCCCACAGCAATCCCATAACCCTACACCTAACCCCATAACCAGCCCCAAAGCCTTCCCCCGCCCCACCGCGGCCCTAGGCCCGTCACCCCCCGCCCCAGCCGCCGGGCGGGTACCGGAGGGCGCCGAGGACCAGCCGGTGCTGCCGGTACCGCTCGGTGACCACCAGCAGCTCCTCGGGGTCGACGGGCGGCGGCAGCTTCAGCCGCGACGCCTTGGACTTGGCGGGGGGGTCGTGCCGCGTCTTGCGGCCCCGCGCCGGGACCCGCCGCGGCCCCCAGGCGAGCCCGGGGCACAGCTCGGGGCCGGGGCCGGGTCCCGGTCCCGGGGGGGCGGCGGGGCCGGGTCCCGGGGGGGCGGCGGGGCCGAGCGCGGCCCCCAGGAACGGGCCCCGCAGGCAGCGCCTCAGCGCCGGGAACATGGCGGGGCGGGCGGCGGGAGCGGGAGGGGCGGCCGCGGGGCACCACGGGAAAGGGGGCGCGGGGCCTGATGGGAAATGTAGTGCGGGGGGGGGGGGCGGCCCCGCGGGACACGGACACGGGACCCCACGGGACACGGGACACCGAGGGACACGGGACCCCGAGGGACCCCGAGGGACACGGGACACCGAGGGACACGGGACACCGAGGGACACGGGACCCCACGGGACCCCGAGGGACACGGGACACCGAGGGACACGGGACACCGAGGGACACGGGACACCGAGGGACCCCGAGGGACACGGGACACCGAGGGACACGGGACCCACGGGACCCCGAGGGACACCGAGGGACACGGGACCCCGAGGGACACGGGACCCCAAGGGACACCGAGGGACACGGGACCCACGGGACCCCCGGCACGGGATCTCGAGGTACAAGGGACCCCCCACAGGGGACACGGGACACTGAGGGACACGGGACCCCACACGGGACACGGACACACTCCGCGGGACACAGACACGGGACCCCACGGGACCCCGAGGGACACGGGACCCCGAGGGACCCCACGGGACCCCGAGGGACACGGGACACCGAGGGACACGGGACCCCACGGGACCCCGAGGGACACGGGACCCCGAGGGACACGGGACCCCAAGGGACACGGGACCCCGAGGGACACGGGACACCGAGGGACACGGGACACCGAGGGACCCCGAGGGACACGGGACCCCACGGGACCCCACGGGACACTGAGGGACACGGGACCCCACGGGACCCCGAGGAACACGGGACCCCACGGGACCCCGAGGGACACCGAGGGACACAGGACCCACGGGACCCCGAGGGACACCGAGGGACACGGGACCCCACGGGACCCCAAGGGACACGGGACACCAAGGGACACGGGACCCCACGGGACCCCCGGCACAGGACCTCGAGGTACAAGGGACCCCCCACAGGGGACAGGGGACACCGAGGGACACGGGACCCCACACGGGACACAGACACACTCCGCGGGACACGGGACCCCACGGGACACGGGACCCACGGAACACCACACGGGACACCGAGGGACATGGACACAGGACACGGGATCCACGGGACCCCCCACACGGGACACGGGACCCACAGGACACGGACACGGGACACCGAGGAACACGGGACATGGACACACTCCGTGGGACACGGGACCCACGGGACTCCCGATGCGGGACACGGGACCTCACACGGGACATGGACACCCCCATGGGACATGGGAACCCCCACGGCACCTCCTCCACGGGAAACAGGACCCCACGGGAGATGGATACAGACACTCCACAGGACACAGACACACTCCACGGGACCCCACGGGTCCCTCTCCACGGGACACGGAACCCCACAGCACCTCCTCCACCGGACACAGGACCCCACGGGACCCATTCCACAGGACATGGGACCCCACACGGGACATGGGCAGAGACGCCCCACGGGGCACGGACACCCGTGGGACAGGGGGGCCCCCCGTGGACTCCACAAGACATGGAACCCCCCCCCCACTGGACATGGACACAGACACCCCACGGGTCACGGACACAGGACCCCACAGGGCACAGCCCTGCGAGACACACCCCCCCACGGGAAACACTTCCCTCCTTCCCCACCCCCACCCCCCGGAGCACCACAGCCCCCCATGAAACACAGCCCCCCGCCCACGGGACACGCCCCTCCCTCACTCCAGACAGCCTCCCCCACATTCGCTTGCATCCCCCACGAAACACCCCCCCATCCCCCCCTCAGCACACACCCACGCGGGACACCCTCCACGGGACCCCCCCGGCAGCCGCCATCACTCAGGACAAGCTCCCCCCGCACCTCCAGTCCCTTTATTGCCCGCGAGGACCCGCCGGTGGGTCCCGGGGAGGGGGGGGGGGGGCGTGTGGGGTGTGTCCCACGTGGGTGCCGGGTGGGGGGAATCCCGCGTGGGTGCCGCTCACCGGCGGCGCAGCGCAGCCCCCTGCGGGGAGCGGGGCCGGGATCAGCGGGGGGCCGGGGCCGGGTACCGCCCCCCCCCCCATCCCCGGTGCCCCCCCCCCACCCCCGGACCCCCTCGTGCTCCTCGGGTCCCCGCAGCCTCCCCCGACCCCACTCGTGTCCCCCCACCGGTGCCCCCTCGGACCCCCTCTCGGTCCCCCCCCACCCCGACCCACGCACCCCCCCGTGCCCCCCTCTCACCAGCAGCGGCTCCTCCCGCCGCGGGGCGGGCGGGGGGGGGGCGGCAGCGGCAGAGCGGGGCCGGGACCTGGGGGGGGGGGGGGGGGTGTAATTTGGGGGGGGCTGTAATTTGGGGGGGGGGGTGTAACACAGCGGAGATAATCGGGGGAAGGGGAATCCGGGGGGGGGTAATTCGGGGGGGGGGGAGAGATAATGGCGGGGGGGGGGCGGGATAATCCGAGGGGGGGGTAATCCAGGGAGGATAATTTGGGGATGTGTAACCCGGGGGGGGGGGGAAAGGGGGGTAAATCCGAGGGGGGGTAATTAGTGGGGGAGAGATAATGGCGGGGGGGGGGATAAATCTGGGGAGGGGGTGTAATTTCGGGTGGGGGGTTAAATCGGAAGAGAATCACGGGAAGGGGGGATAATTGGGGGAGGGATAACGTGGGGGGGGGGAATAATCTCGAGGGGATAATTTAGTGGGGGGGGATAATTGAGGGGGGGATAACCCCGGGAGCGGGGGGGGAATAAAATTCTGGGAGGGGGCGGGGTATAAACCATGGGGCAAGGGGATGCAATCCGGGTGGGCATCACCCTGGAGGGGGGATCACCCGTGTGTGTGTGGGGGGGTCACCCGTGGGGCGCGCGGGGCCCTACCTGCGGGGCCGGGGGGGGGCCGAGGTCCCGCTTTCCCCCCGGGTACCAGCCGTGGGACCAGTGCTGGCCGCGGGTGGGGGGCACCAGCAGCAGCAGCGCCAGCAGCAGCAGGGACCCACGGGGGGCCATGGCCGCGGGTGGGGGCGCTGTGGGGGCAGAGGGGACCCTGTCCCACCGGCACGACCCCGGGGGGGGTGGGGGTGGGGGGGATTCTGGAGGGGTGAGCACCCGTGGGTGCTGCCCGGGGTGGGTTAGGGGGTGAAGATGACGGGACGAGCACCCGTGGGTGCTGCCCGGGGTGGGTTTGGGGGTGAAGATGACAGGACGAGCACCCATGGGTGCTGCCCGGGGTGGGTTTGGGGGTGAAGATGACAGGACGAGCACCCGTGGGTGCTGCCCGGGGTGGGTTTGGGGGTGAAGATGATGAGATGAGCACCCATGGGTGCTCCCTGGGGTGGGTTAGGGGGTGAAGGTGACGGGATGAGCACCCGTGGGTGCTCCCTGGGGTGGGTTAGGGGGTGAAGGTGACGGGATGAGCACCCACGGGTGCTGCCCGGGGTGGGTTTGGGGGGTGAAGATGACAGGCTGAGCACCCATGGGTGCTGCCCGGGGTTTGGGGGTCCAGCACAGGCAGACCACCCCCCCCCCCACCCCCCCCCCCCCCCCCGGGGGCTGCCGTTAGCCTCTGCTTTGGGACGAGCAAACCCACCCACCCGGGGGTCCCACCGGCACCCACCCACCCACCCACCCACGCGCCCAGCACCCCTCACCTGGCCGGGCGGGCGGCGGGGGCCGCGGCGGTGGCCGCCCCGGGCTGGGCACGGGCATTTGTAGGGTCGGTGCCGGTGACGTCGGCCCCGACGTCGCTCCCACGGGGGACCGTGACCTCGCCGATGGCGTCGGCCTCCCCCGCCTCCTTCCCCCCCCAAATCCCCTTGGCACCCCCTTTTTTTTTTTTTTTTTTTTAAAGGGGGGGTGTCTGCCCCGCTGCCTCCGCTCTGGCTCATCACCCAAACCTGAGGGAGGAGGTGGAGGGGGGGGGGGGGGAGGCTCATGATGAAGCCAAGAGGACACCCCAAACCCTCTGTGCCTCAGTTTCCCCCCCCGCCTCCAGCCCCGATTTCACCGCTTTTCCCCCAATTTAACTTCATCGCCTCCACGTGGGGGGTGGGCGCTGGCAATGGCCATGCAGGACGGGATTTAGGCAGGATCCAGCCCCGGATTATCTCCCACAGCCACTCAGATGCGGTGGCAGGATGAGGCCACGGCAGATGAAAGGTTGGGGGAACTCACCCGGACACCCCCCCCCCACCCCCCCCACCCCCCAAATTCTCCCGGCCTTGCAGCGATCCCGGGAAGGAAGGGTCCAAAAAAAAAAAAAAAAAAAAAAAAAAAAAATCCAAACTCACACCAGGGAGCAGCTGTGGCGGGCGGAGGGACCGAGGCGCTCGGGGGGGGCATCTGTGGTGGGTGAGCGTGGCCCCCCCCAATCCCGGGGGGGGTCCCTGTTATTTTTGGGGATCAGCACCTTTATTTCTGAGAGTGATTTGGCCAAAAGCCTTCCCGCCCCGCCCCCCCCCCCCCCAAATTCAGGAGTTTATTAATGATGATGTTGGGGTTCATGAGGGGGGGTGGCAGGTGATGGAGCTGGGATGATGGCAGCAGTGAGGTCATTTGGGGGGGGGGGGGCTTTTTGGGTTGTGTGGGTGGGGGTGTCCCTTCGCCTGGGTGCCCCTCACTGAGCCACCCCAGGAAATCGCCCCTGGATGGAAAAGCTACGCTGGAAAAGTCGGGATATCCCCACTCGTGGGGGTGGCTTTTCCTATGGTTTCCTAGATTTCAACCCCATGTCCCCTGAGTCAATCCGTCCCTGAGCTCTGACCCCCCCCCAACCCCCCCCCCCCCCCCCCCCCAAATCCTTGGGGTAAAACCTCCGCTCCAAACCCAGTTCTCCCAGTGCCTGCAGCCAGTTAACCAGGGCACGGTCCCCCCCAGCTGCAGGAGGAACAGGGAAGGCATTTCATGAGACACCTCTTTGTAACGACAACAACAAAAAAAAACCCCTATTAAATTCAACCATATTAACCTATTTTTTTTTAATAAAAAAGTGCTGCACCCATGGGGCACCAGGACTTTTCTTGACCCTTCAGACTTTTCTTGTGCCCTGGCCCACCACCACCATTAAGGTTTCCTTGTATTCTTCTGGGAGGGGAACGGTAAAAATCCTGCAGTTACTTTTTGCCCTCTTCTCCGACAACCCAAATTCATCCCCATGACGGAGCCTCCACTGAAAAAAAAAAAAAAAAAAAAATGAGGAAAAACCTCTAAACTTGTCAGGAGGGCGGCAAGAACATCCCTCAGGCTGGAGAAGGGTCTCCCCCTGCTTTAAAAACCCGTGAGTGCTTCAGCAGCGACCATTTGGAGACATTCTTGAGGTTTTAAACTGCAAGATGGTAGGTTGAGATTGGACACGAGGAGGAAATTCTTTACCACGAGGGTGGTGGGACACTGGACGGGGTTGCCCGGAGCAGCTGTGGCTGCCCCATCCCTCAAACCGCCCCAGGTCAGGTTGGACGGGGCTGGGAGCGCCCTTGGTGAGATGATGCAGGTGATGTTTGAAGGTACCTCCCCACCCAACCCACGGTGGGATTCCGTGCTTCAGGGCTGCAGCCGTTTTGGAGGAGCCGCACCCAACCAAGAGCAGCAGGTCACCTGGATCCCGTTTCGTTTCTGGCAGGAGCTCAGAGCCCCCCTCGCCTCGCCGACGAGTCTCTCGTTCAAGCTCTGCTCCTGCCCTCCCCGTGTTTAGGACCGCGCACGCCCTTCCCGAGAAGCAGAAACACAGAAACGTTGTTGGCCGGGACCTCTGAGGTCTCTGATCCAACCTCCCGCGCAGAGAAGGGACAAAGCCAAAGCTGGATCAGGCTGCTTGGAGCAACCAGCTGAGATTTTAACGTGTCCACGGACACAGATTGTGCCCGGGGCTGCAGCCAGAGCAGGGGGGGCAGCAGGGCCAGGGAGGGGATTGTCCCCCTCTGCTCCGCTCTGGGGAGACCCCCCTGCAGTGCTGGGGCCAGCTCGGGGGCCCCCAACAGCAGAAGGACACGGAGCTGCTCGAGCGGGGCCAGAGGAGGCCACGGAGATGCTGGGGGGGCTGGAGCAGCTCCCCTGGGGGGCCGGGCTGAGAGAGTTGGGGGGGTTCAGCCTGGAGAAGAGAAGGCTCCGGGGAGCCCTTCGAGCGGCCTCCCAGGGCTTAAAGGGGGGGCAGGAGAGGGGGGGAGGGACTCTGGGTCAGGGGGTGGGGGTAGGACGAGGGGGGACGGTTTTAAGGTGAAAGAGAGTAGGTTTAGGTTATATATAAGGCAGAAATTGTTCCCTGTGCGGGGGGTGAGGCGCTGGCCCAGGGTGCCCAGAGCAGCTGTGGCTGCCCCCTCCCTGGAAGGGTTCAAGGCCAGGTTGGACGGGGCTGGGAGCCCCCTGGGCTGGGGGCAGGGGGCCCTGCCCGGGGCAGGGGGGGGCACTGGGTGATCTTTAGGGTCCTTCCCACCCAAACCATGCCGTGGTGCTGTGATCTCTTGAGACACTTGGAGAAATAATCTGAAACCTCCTCCAGCATCTCGGGACGGAGGTCCCCTGGTCCAAGGCTGGAGGCAAAAACCCGCAGCACGTCGTCAAGTCGAGGTGGCTCCAAAATTTCTCTCGAGCTGCTGTTCCGGACCGAGAAGAGGGCAGGCTCTGGGAGGAGACACGACGGGCGAGGACACGGGGCTCGGGCCATGTGGAGCCACGTTCTTCCCCAGGCAGAGCCCCCAGGGCCCCGGCAGCACCCGCGGCTCACATCCCACCCTCACCCCCATCCCTGCGCCAGGTCTAAAATCCAGCACCAAACACCCCGGCGTTTCCTTCAGGGAGCAAAAATCCTTTTGTGTGTTTTTTTTTGTTTTTTTTTTTTTGGTTTTTTTTTTGTTTTTTGTTGTTTTTTGTTGTTTGTTTGTTGGTTTTTGTTTTCTGGAGATTGGGTTTTTGGGGTTGAAATCCCAACGGTCGCTGCTACGGTCAGTATGGTTTGCAAAGCAGCAGCGCGTGGTGGCCTGACCCTGAAGGAGGAAACTTTTTCCTTTTGATACAAAAATTAGGATATTTATATATATACACACACACAGAATAAGCTTTTTTTTTTTTTTTTTTTCTCCTTTTTTTTTTTAAAGAGCTGGCCAGCAGAAAAATGTGAAACCATTTCCCTGCAGGTTTGGAAAAGCTTTATGCTTGTGGGACTGTGGGTGGGTTTGTTTTTTTTTTTGTTTTTTTTCTTTCAGATGAGACCCAGGATATCTTTTTTTTTTTTTTTTTTTTTAAAAAAAAAAAGGCTTTACTCCCTCAAGAAAAAAAAAAAAAAAAAGATTTACAAACAAAATAACAGCCTGTATCAACTCTCCAGAAGAGAGATGGTATGACAATATTAATCCAAACATCACGCTATTTAATTCCCCAATAAAACATTGGAAAAAAAGGAGCCAACAGTATCTGCACTAACACTTTGCTACATATAAAATCTCCAGCTAATATGAAGCTTATGGTACCAACCTCTAAAACAGTTAAGATATATACACATATTTTTTGGGGGGGTATATTAACAAACAGAATATTACAAAATATTAAAGAAGGCAACTCTTCTGTCATGTGTTTTCGGGGTGTGGATTTTTTTTTTTTTTTTTTTTTTTTTTTTTTTCTTCACTTGAAGTTGGCGTAGTCTGAGAAGGCGTCGATATATTCCTGCACCACCTTGTAGCAGAATTCGTACTGTTCCTGCGGGATTCGGGGAAAGCACGGGGTTAGGCCAAGAAACTTCCCACCTGAGATGCAACTCGACGCTTCGTGGTCCGCGCCAAAGCCGGGACCAGGCGTGGCTGGGTGTCCTGAGCCCACACCGAGGGCGGGGACTGGATTCCCACCCGCGAGCAGCTCCCACTTCCTTCGCGTCCCCCCCAAATCGAGCCGCCCACCCTCCTCGCTGAGGTGCCAACAGCAAAAGAAACTCTGCTTTTCCCTTCCTCTTTGAGGTCCTATTTCGCCTCCAAAAGATTTTTTTTTTTTTTTTTTTTTTTTTTTAAAAATCCCAGAGCAGCCTCGCAAACCCTCTGTGCAAGACCTCCTCTAGTCCTGCCTGCTCCTCCCCTCCCTGCCAGGCTGCGTGCCCCAGCCCGTGCCACAGCCACTCCAGGACAGGTTTCCATTCTCCTGGAGCCCAAAAATGCGTGGGCCGTGGCTGAGGATGCCTCCAAGGAGGCTCCTTGGGGCCCGATGCCTTCAGGAGCCAAGCTCCCCTCTTCCAGATGTCCTAACGCGAGGAAGGGGAAGGACCTCCTGACCCACCTCCACCCCTGACTCTTTCCTGGAGACAGAAAAACTTCACCCGAGGAAGTTTTTGCTCAACACTGAGTCCCCCAGCCCGTTCTTGCTGAGGTGTGGGGTGGCAGGAGGGGCGTGGGGTGTGCTCAGCTGCGCTTACCAGTGTCTGCACCATATGCGGCCTCTGTAGTCTTAAACTCTTCACCGTCTGAAAGACGTCGAGAATCCCTTCTGCCTTCACCCTTTCCAGGACAGTGCTCAGCGCACAGAAGGTGCCCGTTCTCCCTGCTCCAGCACTGGCAAAGAGAAACCAGAAGGTAAAGAAAACCGCCTGCCCTGACCGCGTTGGCTTTGCTCGGGGGACAATCCACCGAGGGAACCACCGGAGAACTGGAGGAGCCCACGGTCCTGCCCCAGCCTCTCTCCTTTTAGCTGAGGACACGCTCTACACGACTGAAGCCTCTCTGCTCAGCCAAGCGGGAAAACCCAGCGCCACGTCTGACCCAGCCTGCTCCCGCTCAGCCCGAGTCTCCCCAGGGAGCTCTGACCGTCTCCCAAGCCCCTCGGAGAGCAGGTCCCCCCGGAGGGGTGGCCAAGCCCTGCTCCACCCGGGTGGTACCTGCAGTGCACAGTGATCGGGTGGTTGCCAGACTGCTGCTGCTGCTTCTGCACCGCCGCGATGATGTTGATCATTCCCTTCCCGTCCCCGGGGATCCCAACCTCTGGCCAGCCGTGGAAGTGAAACTGCCGAATCTGTCGGCTCTTGTTTTCCTGGTGGCAGAGCACAGCTCGACGTCAGTGAGCTGGTTGGGAAGGCCGGTACGAAGAAACCCACCGGCTCCGGGGAAACCATCCGTTTAGGAAAGCTGTCTGCTGGTGGAGGGGAGGTATTCCCGTGGCACGGAGCAGGGGAACGGGGAGTAGGAAGGAGGCTGGGTGGGGGGACAAGGCAGAAGGAGGGTGAGGGCTCCGGGGTGGCAGCAGGGCAGAGGGGCTGGATGGGAAGCGATCAGCAGGACAGGAGCCCTCGGGGGGGGTGGTGGTGGTGGTGGGGGGGGGAAGCACAGGGAACACGCTGGGACTGCAGGGGATGGGGGCTGCTTTTGGGATGACGGGGAGATGATGGGGGTGAAGATGCCGGAGGGAAGGTCCAGCGCTTGGGAGAGGAATCCCAAAGCACCATCAACATCACTGAGGGTTAATGACAACCAAACCCAGGAGTGCCCAGAGCTCCTCGCAGGGAGCAGGCCGGACTCTTACCCGGGTGTTCGTTACCAGCAGGTCCCGCACCGTATAGCTCTCACACTCCTCCTCTTTCTTCAGCTCCACAGTGATGTCTCCATAGGACACGGAGCCGTCAGACGGCCAGTACTGGGCACACTTTTCCTGAGAAAGCATTACAGCACGAGACAGGGTGAAGGCCCCGTATTTTTCCCATGGGCTTGAATCGAAGAAGTCTTCTCCTGGGGCTGGGAGCTGCCCAAAACCTTGTGGGATCCCACGGGCTTGCTTTGGAGAGGAGCTGCCCACCGCACCCAAAGGTGCTTTGAGAACTAAGGGTCTAGAGTTGGTTTATTGAACATTTCCCCCACCTCGGGTCTACAAACAACTGTGTTTTTTTTTTTTTTATTTTTTGCATTAGAATTAGAGGCTGAAATATATTTTCTGCCAGAGAAGGGGTGAAGAGCACCCAACTCGTGTGGCGGTGCCGGGGCCATCAGGAGATTTTAAGGGGTTATGTTTTTATGATTTATTTTGCTGGTGCTTAAATGCAGTTATCCCTGGGTGTTTACCTGGCCTCTCTCCTCCAGCTCCGTTAGCATCACTATGGAGCAGGATTTCCACTCCCAGATCATCCTCCAGAAGTCCTCTATTGTGTGCTGCAGCGGTCCTTGGCTGGCGATATAGGAGTCCTTCTGGCGATAACCCTGCGATGTGAAAAGAGGGTTGAACTGGAAGCACCTGGATGCTGGGAGCAGTGGGAGGAACGCTCTTGGCCCCGGCCGGGTTCCCAAGCTCCGTTAAATTTTGGGAGTGCTGTGACTGTGTGAGTGACCCCAGCGGGGGCAGAGGAACCCGCGCTCGCGGCGGGCCACGTCCCCACGGGCGGGCGTCCCCACACCGCTGCTCGACAGCTGAGGTGCCATCAGCCAGCACTTTAACGTGGTAAGGCCTCTGTTTTTAAAGAAATGCGGCTCGAGGAGCATCACATCCCCCACGTGTGAGTGGCCTTATCCATTTGGTGAAGAAAGATTTGGGTTCCCAGCGCTCCTAAGAGACGTTGCAAAGTCCGAGTGCTGGAGAAGAGCCTTGCCTAAGCGCCAAGTATTTCAGGTATGATTTTTACTGGGGGTTTTTGGAAGAAGCAAGCAAAACTACATGGAACTAGATGATCTTTCAAAGGTCCCTTCCAACGCAAACCATTCTATGAGCTATGATCTATGAAAACCACCAGTAAGTCTGGTTGACTCTGGCTCTTCCACAACCACAAAGTGCTTCTGTTTCCAAACCCCCTCTGACGTTCCCCTGTGCCCTCGCTGCAGACTGTGACTAAAGATGCTTCGTCATCTGGAGCTTATAATTTAAGCAAAGTTCAGCAGAGGCAGGAAATTGAATTCTCAACAAAAAATTGCCTATGTGACATTTAAGCTTTCTGATCTTGATGCTGAACAAGGCGGCTGCCAGATGCTCATGCAGGCAGAGCAACCCATGGGGACCTAGCAAAGGAGATTTCAGGGAGTAATTAATTTGGGATGTTATGACTGGGAATGTGCTGGTTTTACTGGTTCGACCCATGGCAGTAATCATCCTCTGGGGGGGAAAAAAAACCCCAAACCTGCCATTAGGAAAGAGAAATTGGGATAGAAAAGAGCAGGGCTCTGTCACTTAGCCAGCGCTGGCATCACGGCATGAAGATAAATACTCCTATGAGATGTCCCCCTGAAGTCAACAGGATTACTCATGAGAAAAGGATGTGCAATCACTTACCTCCTCCTCGGAGCGAGGAAAGCACTTAACCTCTCTGCCTCGCCTCCCCCTGTCACCCAGACAGGTATAATGGGATTGACCTGTTTTTTCTCAAGGGTTTTGGGATCCGTATATTGCTCCATTACCTAATCTAGTGGATGTTTTCTGACCAAATCAGCAGTGCCACATAGCAATCATTTCCATGGCTACGGGCATTCGCTTCTCCAGAGCCATCATCAGAACCCGGAGTTGCAGACGTGAGACCAGGATTTGGAGGCTCTGCTCAAGCTCCAATCCCTCCTCTCCCAACGTCCGTGGCTCACAAGGGAACTGCACACAGAGAGGGGTTCCTTGGAGAACGAAACTAGCACCATCCCATGACACAAAGCAAAGTCAAGTGGAAGGAGTCGCACAAAACCCAGAGAAGAAGTGTCTTGGGACAAATCCTTTCCACAGGAAGCAGCGTGAGGTGAAGAGTTTCCACTGTGAGAAGAGGGAAAGGAGATTAAAGAAGACTCACGTCAATGAAGGAAGCGTTTACGTAGTCTGTGTTCTCTTCACCTCTCTTCACTGGAATGATTACTCGGTTGAACTCATCTGAAACAGAAGCAAAACGATCTGGGTTTTGGGGAACACCTTCAAAGCGTGACTCCTTGATACCCATGCATGGCCTTTAGCTGGGAAGTCACCAAGCCCTAGGTGAGAGGACAGAGATGTGGGAAGGGGAGTCACAGCACCCAAATGGGACAAGGAGACTCAGTTCTGCCTTCCGCCATGCCCTGGCCTGGGGAAGGAGAAGGGGATGATGAGGACTCCAGGAGCAGGACCTGCTCAACACAGGGACTCCCTTCTCCCTCAAGGCAGAAAGCCTTGGCGGCATAAACCTGCTGAGAAGAAAGTCATGGCAAGGACAGAGCAGAATGAAAACAAGAAAGTCCTGGGGACCGTGTTATACTTGGCCATGAAAAATCACCTGCCCTTGACTCTGCCCCATCCCTTCATGCTACCTCTGCCCGGGCAGGGGCTTGGACAGGTGACCTCCAGGGGCCCCTTCCAACCTCAGCCAGTCCGTGGCTCTATGAGTGCTCCAGAGATGTTGAGACAGAAACATTTGTGCCCACAGGAGTGGAGTCACAGACTGGATGAGGTTGGCAGGGACCTCGGGGGGTCATCTGGCCCAAGCCCCTGCCCAGGCAGGGCCACACAGAGCTGGTTGCCCACGGCTGTGTCCAGATAGATTTTAAATACCTCCAAGGATGGAGACCCCACAACCTCCCCGGGCAACCTCTGGCAGTGCTCGCTCACCCTCACGGTCCAAAAGCGTTCCCTGGTGTTCAGAGGGACCCTCCTGCCTCTCACTCTGTGCCCGTTGCCCCTCGTCCTGTCACTGGGCACCACTGGAAGGAGCCTGGCTCCGTCCCCTCTGCACCCTCCCTTCAGGTATTTATCGACATTGATGAGACCCCCCCTGAGCCTCCTCTTCCCCGGGCTGAACAGTCCCAGCTCTCTCAGCCTCTCCTCAGAGCAGAGATGCTCCAGTCCCTTTGCTGGGCTCTCTCCAGTCTGTCCGTGTCCCTCTCGTCCTGGGGAGCCCAGCACTGGACACAGCACTCCAGGTGTGGCCTCACCAGCGCTGAGCCGAGCAGCAGGATCCCCTCCCTGGCCCTGCTGGCAATGCTTTGTCTAACACAGCCCAGGACACCACCTTTGCCTCAAGGGCACGCTGCTGGATCAAGCTCAACTTGGTGTCTACCAGGACCTCCAGGGTCTTTCCTGACGAGCTGCTTTCCAGCTGGGTGGCCCCCAGCACATACTGGTGCCTGGGCTTGTTCCTCCCCAGGAGCAGGGCTTTGAACTTCTCCTTGTTGAACTCCCTGAGGTTCCTGCTGGCCCATTTCTCCAGCCCAAATCTTGTCCCTGCAACCACCCAAATGGTCCCCACTCCCCCCCCCCGGCTGTGCTTTCCCCAGACAAACAAATCTTACATGGAATTATTTGAAGCACCCTGTTCTTCTTCATGTTTGCCGGCAAGTTGCCCGTTCGCATCTTGTCGTTCTGAATTTTGATTGAAGTGAGCTTCTGCAGAGGAAGGAATGAAAGCAGGGACAGCTTTCAGAGCCACCCAGCACCAGGCAAGCGCGTGGTGGTCCCCACAGCCCAGCACCAGACCCCACCAGGAGAAGAACCACGCTCACCTTGAACTCCTCTTCCAGCCCATTGCTGCTGGTCCCTGGCACTTTGTTGTAGATCTTCTGAAGGTGGATCTCTAACGAGGTCACCTCCAGCTCTGTGTCACCGTAGAGATAGTGCTCCAGAAGTGCTTGGTATATAAACACATACTGCATCTGCAAGGGGTGCAGGGAGAAGCCATCAGTCTCCGCTCCACGCTCAGCAAGCGCATCCCGGTGCCCCACGCACAGGCTGGCTGCAAACCCCACCACCCCACGGCCCACCCACGCTCGCTGGGCCTGTGGCACCCCTCTGAGACCCCGGAAAAGTGGGGAACAACCTTTCTGGTGCTGTACTGGGGACTGGGACCTTATTTGCTACACCACACAAAGCTGACGTGACACAAAACTTTCGCCAAGGATGGAGAAAAGGAGGCTGAGGGGAGACCTTGTTGCTCTCTACTACTCCCTGAAAGGAGGGTGAGCGAGGTGGGGGTTGGTCTCTTCTCTCAAGTAATGAGCGATGGGACAAGAGGAAACGGCCTCAAGTTGTGCCAGAGGAAAGTTTAGGTTGGACATTAGGAAAAATTTCTTCACCAGAAGGGTTGTCAAGCACTGGAACAGGCTGCCCGGGGAAGTGGTGGAGTCACCACCCCTGGAGGTATTTAAAAAACGTGTAGACGTGGTGCTGAGGGACATGGTTTAGTGGTGGCCTTGGCAGTGCTGGGTTAACGGTTGGACTCGATGATCTCAAGGGTCCTTTCCAACCTGACTGATTCTGTGATTCTATGAAGGGCATTAAAAAAAGAGCAGGACCCAGCGAAAGGCTCGCCTGCTGCAACACCCTTCCAAAATGAGGGACGATGCTCAAGCCTCACGGAGGCTTCGCTGCAGGCCGGGGCCTGGCTGCATGAAGGAAATGGAACTCCAGCGAGCAAAACCCAAAATAAACAGCAGCAACACACTTACATCTGTCTGTACCATCTGGCAGCGCTGAGCCCGGATCCGGCTCACGAAGCCGTAAACGTCCACCTTCCTCTCGGCGTGCATCATGTCCAGCATGGCATCGATGACGATAAAAGTGCCCGTGCGTCCTACCCCGGCGCTGAAAGAGCAGAGGGGACAAGCGTCAGTGCAGCAGCGTTGGCATTGGGGTCCCTTGTAGAGCAGCCAGGAGTGAGGCAGACTGTTGTGGATTAAGCCTGGTGGGCAGCCAACCACAATGCAGCAGCTCTCTCTCCCTTCCCCTCCGGCAATGAGAAGGGACAGAGAGCCAGGCTTGGGGTTCGAGATAGGACTGGGATGGGGAGAAAATTCCCCTTTATGGTCACGAGCAAAAGGCAGACTCGTTAGGGGAAGAAAAAAAAGAACATACATTTATTACAGACACTAACAACACCTAACAGAGTAGGACAGTGAGAAGCATTGCCACATCTTGAGAACACCTTCCCCCCACCCCTCCCTTCTTCCCGGGCTCAGCTCTGCTCCCGATATCTCTACCTCCTCCCCCAGCGGCGCAGGGGCAGGGAATGGGGGGGTGCAGTCAGTGCTGCCACTTCCTTCATGTTCAGTGAGGGGAGTGTCCGGAACTTGTTCCTCCTGCTCCATCGTGGTCCCCCTCTCACAGGAGACAGTCCTCCACAAACTTTCTCCAACTTGAATTCCTCCCATGGGCTGCAGCGTTCCCCACACTGCTCCGTCATGGGTCACTAACTTCCTCCGACTGGATTCCCTCCCACGGCTGCAGCCCTTCCCGAGCTGCTCCGGCGTGGGACTCCCCCGCATGCTGCAATCCTCCCAGCGCTGAATTACAGCAGCGGGGCTGCCTTTTCCCATGAGACCCTGGCCTTCTTCGGGCACAGCACCTTGATTATGTCAAGCAGAAGCCACAGGCCATAAATCAGTGTCTGCTCCACCGTAGATCTTCATGGGTGGCAGGGGGGGGCCGCCCTGCCGTCTCACCACAGGATACAGGGGGGTCTCTGCTCCGGCACACCTCCCCCCTCCTTTCTTCCTCTGTTCCTCCACTGACCTTGGTGTTCATGCAGCTGCAGCAACTCCTCCTCACCAGTCCCACTGCCCGTCACCACGTCCCTTCTTAAATACGTTATCGCAGAGGCGCAGCCGATTGGCTCAATTTCCCAAACAGAAGTGGAGCTGACGTGGAGCTGGGGGAGCTTCGAGAAGCTTCTCACAGGGGGCCACCCCGATAGCCCCCTCCCCTGCCACCAAAAAACTCCACCACTCACTCAACCCAGGACACAGACGCTTCCCAGCAGTGAGTAAATAGCAAAATCTGTTCTGAAGATGAGAGAGGTCCTCAGCCTGGTTGCTCAGTGCCGCCTGGGTTTTGCAGAGAGGTGCTCACAGAATCTCTCTGCATCAAAAGCGCCGCGACCGGAGTGCACGGAGGCACCAAGAAAGGTGAGCCAAAGCAAAACCTGAGCCAGCTACAGCTTCCAGAGCCTCCCGGGCTGCCTGTTCCTACCAGTTGCCTGCTGCTCCTTCCAGCCACCCTCCATCACGTGAAGGTGAACACAAGGGGAAGCCTTGTTGCTGCGCTGGGAACTCAACCATTAAGGAGAAGAAGAAAGATGAGGCCAGCAGACGTTATGGAAAGACAAAGCTTTTTTTGTCAGCTGCCTCCTGAGAAGAAAGCTGGAAAGCTGGATTTGGGAGGTTGCAGATGTGATCATCACCTCTGCCTTTAACCACGGGGCTTTCCCTTATTGAAACATGGGCAGCCTCCGTGGTTCTCCCAGGCTTGCTGTTGTGCCTGAAACCACTCCACGTGAGGTCCAACATCGTGGTCCCCGCTCCCAGGCACGCTGTCAGCTGAGTACTGCCTTCTCACACCAAGGGATATTGCCCTCTCGTGCCCGGGACAGCGCAGAGCCAAGGGAGATGCCACCAAGGCTCAGCAATGGTTAGGCTTGGCTTACTCAGCCTCCAGCTAACCCAAACGACTGCTCAACACGAGCTGCAACACCATCACATCACCGATTCCAAGAAGTTTCTTCAGTTCAGAGGCGATTTTTTCTAACGTTTCCATGTGGTACATTCACACTTAACACAGGAAAGTCAAATAAAAATAACAAAAAAAGGCCTAACAAAAAAAAAAATAAATCCTTTTACTATTAAGTAAGAGATGCTTTCCAAGTGACCCCGGAGAGGCAGAGGGTGGCCGTGACCAGGACATACCTGCAGTGCACTACTATTGCCCCTGCGTATTGGGGGTTACACGTCTTCACCTTCTTCAAGAACTTCAGCATCCCGATGGGGGTGAAGGGGACCCCGAAGTCGGGCCAGCTGGTGAAGTGGAACTGAGTCACCAGGCGCTGAGGCTTCTTGTTCGTGACGTCGCCGACCTGAAGGGGAAACGTGTATTCAGATGAATGATGAATACTCAGATTTCCCTTCTTTCCCCAAAAGCAAGGGCAGAGAGGGAGCAGCAGCCCCAGGACTGGATGGCTTAAGAAAAGGCAGCTGGATGGCTTAAGAAGAGGCTTACGAAGCACTAGCATCCACAAGCTGAAAGGTCACGGACCCAGGCTCCCGGGCCAAATTAGTCTCTAAAATCATGGCATTTTCATCGCCCAGCATCCCATTCTGCATCCCAGGGGTAAGAGATGCCAGCCCGGCCTTGGCTGTAGCTCTGGCCTGGCAGGAGCTGATGTATTTTATTTCCAGTGAGCTCAAACAGCAGCTGCCGCTCCATCCTTTCCCACACCTCGGCCCACAGCGTCCACAGCTAAAGGCAGGGGAGGAAACCACCCACATCCAGGCCGTTGGGAGTGAAGGATGAAGCTCAGGAGACCCCCACTCAGGGTCCAGACAGGTTTTCAATCGCCAGCTCTTCCTTGCCTGCTTCCGAGAGCAGCAGGAAAACAAACAGAGCGGCTAAAGCACCCAGAGCCTCCTTGGAGGACAAGAATTTTCTAGTGACAGATGGGAAAGCAATCGAAACCAACGCATATGGTGCTGGTGTTTGTCTCAGCTCATGGGATAAATCTGATTATTTGCAGGCATTAAGTATCTGTGGGTGAGAGCACAAACCAATATGGGTAACAGCAAATGCTGAAGTATTACAGGACTGAATTTCAGCCGTGGGATCCATCAGCTTCCCTGCTCTCAGCCACGCTGGTACCCGCTGGGAACAGGCTCCCAGGTGTTTAATGTGAGTAAATTCTTAATAGGTCTGGTTAAAAATGGGTGCTGGGGTCACTTCATCCCACCTCTGCTCTCACAGCACCTCGGAGGAGTCGAGGAGCTCTCCAGCACTGGTTGGATGACCAGTGTGGAGAGGGGAGGGATGGGATGGGACAGGGTGGGGTGGGATGGGATGGGGTGGGATGGGGTGGGATGAGACAGGGTGGGGTGGGATGGGATGGGACAGGGTGAGGTGGGATGGGATGGGGTGGGATGGGGCGGGATGGGATGGGGTGGGATGGGATGGGACAGGGTGGGGTGGGATGGGATGGGACAGGGTGAGGTGGGATGGGATGGGACAGGGTGAGGTGGGATGGGACGGGGTGGGATGGGGCGGGATGGGATGGGGTGGGATGGGATGGGACAGGGTGGGGTGGGATGGGGTGGGATGGGATGGGGTGGGATGGGATGGGACAGGGTGAGGTGGGATGGGATGGGACAGGGTGGGGTGGGATGGGGCGGGATGGGATGGGGTGGGATGGGATGGGACAGGGTGAGGTGGGATGGGATGGGACAGGGTGAGGTGGGATGGGATGGGACAGGGTGGGGTGGGATGGGATGGGGTGGGATGGGGTGGGATGGGATGGGACAGGGTGGGGTGGGATGGGATGGGGTGGGATGGGGCGGGATGGGATGGGACAGGGTGGGGTGGGATGGGACGGGGTGGGATGGGGTGGGATGGGATGGGACAGGGTGGGGTGGGATGGGATGGGGTGGGATGGGTGCCATGGGTGCCATGAGCCCCGGTACCTGCTGGATGCAGAACTTCCTCACGGTGTAATCCACCAGGACGGTCACATCCTCCACGGACACTCGGATGTTCCCGTAGGTCCAGCAGCCCTGATCCGGCCAGTACTGAGCACACTTACACTGTGGGGAGAGAAAACGGGCGCAGGTGAGCTCTGGTCCCTCACAAGCCTGGGACTGGCTCCCAGACATGTCCATGGTTATGAGAGGAGCCGGGTTCGGATGAAGCTGGGTTAGATACCAGCTCATGAAGCCTTCTGGCACCTACCTCCTTCCTCTCTTTCAGGTTGGTCACCATGACAATTGTCGCGGTGTTTTGCTCCCAAATCATCCTCCAAAAATCGTTCACGGTTTCTTCCTTTGGTCCTAAGGGGAAGGTAAAAAGAAAAGTGGTCTTTGGGATCAACCCCTCAAGCTCTGAGACCAAAACCCAAAGTGGGAAGTCACACATCGTGGATGATGGCAGCACATTTTTTGCCAACAGATGTCAGCACAGGAGGTGTTTTGGAGTCCGGGAGTGCCGGCAAACTCAAGGAACAATCCTATCAAACAAGAGTTGGGCCTTTTTGGATATGTTTTATGATGAGGAATTCCGTTTTTAGCCCACAAAGGGGCAAGTGGACAAATGGAGCATGGAAATGACTCGCCCGAGGTCACTCGGGGAAACTGTGGCTGTCGCAAGTAGCTCGCAGAAGTCCTGTCCCCAAGCTTTGTGTTTTAACCACGGGATCCCATTTCAATATAGCACAAGAATAGTTACCTGCTGCCTGCCAGACAAGGAGCTGACTCAACCTAGACCTCCTTTGCCAAGGCTGAGGCTGAGGGCGAGCCAAGAGAACAGCAGAGCCAAAGCTTTACCCCAGCCCGATACCGCTCCTGGACCTGATCCAGCCTTCCTTCTCCAGCAAGAGCCAGGCAAACTGGCAGGCGACGTCCTCACCCACTTGCAAGTCATGAGAGGGGATGCAAGCCACCTCCCGTGGTCAGATAACCCCCTTTTGCTGACATGAACCTCCCCGCGAGTGAGCATCTTAGTTTTAGGGATGTGTTTGGACTGATACAAGGAAAACAAGAGAGCTGGAGGACTATGGATGGTGCGTGGGCAGCTGAGCTTGCTGCTCTCAATAACTGACAGTTCTGCCTCCCCTCTGAAGACCACAGAGAAATTTCTCTCCAAGGGCACAACCCCATGCTCTTGTCTGCTGAGGTTCAAAAAGGAGCAGAAATGCAAGCATGGTGCTCTCCGCAATAACCGATTTGGGGAATTTAATTAAGCAGCTCACTGGCAGTGTTTCCAGAGATCACGACCACCTGCAGCTGTGGGCCAGGGTGGAAGGACGTGGTTCAGGGAAGAATGGCTTTGCCACCCTCCAGCAATCAGTATTGCACAGGTAGGGCTTCTATTCCTCCCCCCGATGCATCCAGCACTGGACTTTGACTGGTAAAATCATTCTGGGAACAAACTGTGCACCAGCTGAGCCTCCTTTTGACCAGGGGAACCCCACAAGGCACTGAGCTGTGGTTAGACCAGCACAGCTTCGCAGAGCAGAAGGACTCCAGCCCAAATGCCACCAGACAGAGCTACAGGAATAACCCAGTGTTTACCTTGTGCAGCGATGAACTTGTTTTTCTCTTGGTACCCCTATAGAGAGAGAAAAGGGAAAAAAGGAAGACAAATGAAAGATGAGTATTTGTCTAACACAACAATCATGAAATGCATCTCCATCATTAATAAACAGAGCCATCACCTGCTCTGTTGCTCTCTCCTCCCTGTGCAGAGAAGGGGACGCAGCCTCCGAGGGGAGAAACAGCAGTGATAGAGGGGCAGAAATAACTGAAAATCCCTGCACAAAGGGTCCCTGCCCCGGAGCAACACTCCCTATGCTCACGTTACGTGGGAATGAACCCACTTGTTGGCACAGAACACTCATGAAGTGGTACCTGACAGCTCTTCTGCTGCGACCAGGCCCTGCACCCGGAGCATCATGTGAAAATCAGGATTAATCTTCAGGAGATTGGGTGGTTGAACTCATGGGAACTGATTTATTTATTGGTGGAGAAAGTAAAATGCTCTTTTGGGTCCTGCTTTTCTTCACGTGGCTCCATCTCTCTCAAAATCTATTTCTTCATACTACTGAATCATTTGAGCTATATGGTGATAATCATACAGGACCCACTTCCTTCTAGGAGCAGTGGAGGGCAGTGTTGCTTCTATTTTAGCTGGGTTGCTTGATTTCTTTTTCGTCCCCTTCCCACATCCAGCCCTGCAAACTGGGAAGTACTGATGAATAACCGGCCACACCATTCATCAGCTGTTAGTCAGAAATCCCCAATTCCTGCAGGAATGGTTCCCAAAGCCCTTCTAAACCAGCTGGCTTGGCTTTGCAGCACCCGAAGGAGTGTAAGTTGGGAAAAGAGAGGTGGGAAGAGATGTGACTACAGCGAAACAGCTGAGCAGGGCAGAGACACAGCCAGGATTTCAGAGTCCCAGCTCTCAGCCTCTTATTCCAACCACTTTTGTCTGGGGTCACAACAAGGAGCGGAGCACAGTGAGCTCTACCACGGCCACACAAAGGTTACAAGATCAAAAACCAGCGTAATTTATTGCTCTGGAGGAGCTGGGGAGATGTTAAGGTAGGAAGTATTCTCCTAACCATCCTCTCCTGTGCACAAGTCACACCCCATAAAAGCCTCACACTCCCGGCAGCTGGTGGGGGTTTCCCTTTCAAATCACAAAACTCACATTAATGAAGGAGGCGTTGATGTAGTCGGAGTCAGGGACCCCCTCAACAGGCGTCAGATGAACCCTGGAATGATCATCTGGAGGGAAGTTAAAACTCTGCATTAAAAACAAACCCCTCCACGTAGCTGGCATCTGCTGTAGCTGGCCCCCCTGCACACACAAACACCTTCATACCCCCATATTCTTCTTGCTTAAGCCTGGAGAGGTGATAGACCTTGCCCAAGGAAGTTTTTCTTCTGTAGAGCACACATACTCGAGGAAGCCCCTGAGCCAGCCCACTGCCCCACGCCACCTGGCCAGAGTTTTGGCATTTCCTATCCATTTTATTTTCCGTGGCATCCTGGCTGCTGGCAGCTCCAGGGAGCTCCTCCTTCTAGGTATCTAAAGCCAAAGCAGATGCAGCCACCCATCTGGGTTGTGAAATGACCTCAACCATGTCCTCACCCATCCCAAAACCAGGAACAGGGATCCCTAGCAGCAGCAGCCCCCCCAGCCAGCTCTGATACCTACAGGGCAAAATGTTGACGTATCTGTTCTTCTCCTTGTTCTCCTCCTTGGAAGCAGCTTCGCACGTGGCCTGTATGGGACACGCTGGGAGAGCCTGCAGTGGCAGAAAAAAAAAGGGGTTTCCATGATGTTCTCACGGCACGGAAGTAACCACAACACAACTGGCGCGTTGGCGCACGCTGCATCTGAGCATCCTGCCCCTTTGGACGTGTCCCCACCACCCCCACCCCTCACCCCCACCCCAGCTCCTTGTCTCGTCCCCACCCAGCTCAAGGGGAGCATTTAAATGGCCCCGGGCTGGACCTGAGAGAGCAAATCCCTTCCGAAAAATGGTATCTGGAACCTGGGGACTCACGAACACGAGGTGGCAGCAAAGCCTCCGACACCAAACCCACCAGCCCAGAGATCCAGGAGCTCATTTCTGTCCACCAAGGCTCCTGCTGAGGTTTCCCCTGCTAGCAGTGGTGTTAACAGTGACCCGATTAAAGCCCCCATCGCCCAAGCACACCCAGCGATGGGAAGGAGCACCCGTGCAGGGAGTTATTCTCCCTCCAGCAGCACCGGGGACCTTTGGGCTGGCGGGTGCTGGGGTCACCGGCGATGCCGTCCCAGTCGCGGTGGCCAGGTTTCACGCTCGAGCAGAGGAGGTGCTTCCCCAGCACCGTTATTCCACACCCTTTTTTGAACAGCGAAGAGGATGAGAACATACTGGAGGGATTCGCCATCCCCTCCTCCAGCTGACAGGCCAGACGTCCTTCGCAACGGAAGTCTTCAAGGCAATTGAGTATTTATAACCCCAAAAATCCCCCTCCCCGGGCATTCATTGCACCTATTTAGTTTCATCGAAGCGCAGCCAGGAAGGGTATCAAGTTGTGCAACAGCTGGAGAAAGTCGAGTGGCTTTTTTTTTTTTTTTTTTTTTTTTTTTAATCTTCTCATCGTTGTCATATTGCCATATCGCGCCTTGGACTTAAGGCTTTATGGATTTGCAGATGACACCTTTGCAGTGCAGACAACCAGATCAACGGTGGATTTTCTTCCGTTAATCAGGCTGATGGAGAATCCAGATAGTTCAGCAGCTCCTACGTTACACACCGCGATACTCCAGTTTGTTATTTAACTTTGCCTCCTACCTCAGTACTGTTCTGCCTATTTTTTTATTGCCAGGGTGAAACAGGTTTATCGTCACAATAAGCTGAAGAGTTCAGCAATGTCAAGAAGAGGTTGTAGACATCTCAGAAGAGAGGTTCTGGCATTGTGGGATAAGCACAATACCTGAATTATTACTCACTGCTGAAGGCCAACTGTTGTCCCATAAACTGTCATCATTCTGTTTCAGGATTAACAGCTCATTGAAATAGATGAAGTAATTTCTGTTTCTCTGTCAAAGCTTTTATTTTGGCTGTCTGTGGATTTAAGCCATGAGGACTGGGAGGAGGGAGGCAGAGCTTGGAAGGAAACCAGCAAGCAGGGGAGCTCTGGAAGACCCCAAGACATCCGGGACATCTCCTGAACGCAGAGAAACGTAACCCCGTAGTGCTGCTTGCTAGAAACCCTCTGCTTTCTGCGGTGAATGCGAGAGGTAGCAGCTTGCCCACCCTCACAACAGATTCAGGGACAGAATCGGTTCTCCAACCTTGCAGCCCTTTGAGAAAACCCCCGAGGACTGGGCAGACCATCAACCCCTTCTGTGAAGCTCCCAGATAAGCTCTTCTGAAGCACAGCATCCTGCACTGGTATCAACTCGACCACCCCCCGGGCTGATGTGCCGTCCCCCAGCTAGGCACCACCGCACGCTGCAGCTCCTCTCTGGTTTACCAGCCATTCTCTCCCTGCTCCACGAAGTAACACCACGTTTTCCCCCGCCGCGTGTTGTAAGCCCAATGCCGAGAGCGGCCCGAGGGATTTAAGGGCAAGAAGCGAAGGGCAACTCACGTTGAACTCCTCCCGAAAGAGCTTGTTGTCATCTGCCATCCGGCGGTTGATCTCCTCTTCCAGCTTATCCACGGGCAGAGGCGGGTATTTGCGGTTGGTGCTGGGGGAGCGGGCGAGCAGCGGCATGCTCTGAGGCTCTGCAATGACACCCGTGCATCAGAGGTGCCCCCCGTGCCCAGCACTCATCCCTGCCCCGGGTGGGCGCAGGGACCTCGCCCACCCCGGGCTGCCCGCTTGGAGGGTCGCGTATTTTCACAGAATCATGGTGGTTTGGGCGGGAAGGGACCTTAAAGATCACCCAGTCCAACTCCCCTGCCCCGGGCAGGGACACCTTCCACTAGAGGAGGTTGCTCCAAGCCCCATCCAACCCGGCCTCGAACCCTTCCAGGTCTTTTGCTCTTCCTACAGACGGTGCACAATAATTCGGGGATGTTGTGATAACATGAAACTTTCAGTACCGTATTTTTCGAGCGTTACGCTGTCCTGGATAGGACAAGTAGGGCCAAGCCTAAAAACCCCGCACAGCGCTTGGGTTTGGGCAAGAGGGGCTGGAAAGCTGCCCGGCAGAAAAGGACCCGGGGGTGTTGGTGGACAGCCGGCTGCATACGAGCCAGCAGTGTGCCCAGGTGGCCAAGAAAGCCAACAGCACCCTGGCTTGTGTCAGCAATAGCGTGGCCAGCAGGACCAGCGCAGGGATCGCCCCCCTGTACTGGGCACTGGTGGGGCTGCACCTCGAATACTGGGTTCAGGTTTGGGCCCCTCACTCCAGGAAAGACCTTGAGGTGCTGGAGCGTGTCCAGAGAACAGAAACGGAGCTGGGGAAGGGTCTGGAGCACGAGTGCTGTGAGGAGCAGCTGAGGGAACTGGGGGGTTCAGCCTGGAGAAAAGGAGGCTGAGGGGAGCCCTGGTGGCTCTCGACAGCTCCCTGGAAGGAGGTTGGAGCGAAGGGGGTCGGTCTCTTTTCCTGAGTAACAAGCAATAGGATGAGAGAAAACAGCCTCAGGTTGTGCCAGGGGAGGTTTAGGTTGGATATTGGGAAAAATTTCTTCACCAAAAGGGATGCCAAGCACTGGAACAGGCTGCCCAGGGGAGTGGTGGAGTCACCACCCCTGGAGATATTTAAAAGACGTGCAGATGTCTTGCTGAGGGACATGGTTTAGTGGTGGCCTTGGCAGTGGGAGGTTAACGGTTGGACTTGATGATCTTAAAGGTCTTTTCCACCCTAAATGATTCTATGATTCTGTGATAATGTGAAACTCTTTCAACACCCTGGGATCAAACATTACGCTATTGTAGAGGCAGGATAAGGCAATAAGGACTAAATCATCAATATTGGGGGATGGAGACCACCTTGCTTTGGATTCAGACTTCACCCTTGCTCACATGGAAAGTCTGGCACCATCTCTGTGACATAACTCCCAGGTGAACACAACAAAGGTAGCTGTTGCTTGTGGCTCCTTAGTGAAGCCAAGAAAGGCCACGTGAGGGTTATACCAACACAACTGATGGTTGATGAAGTTCACACCTTCATTTACAGCAATGTAAAATGGGTAGGGAAGGTCTTAGCTGTTAACGTAAAAAAAAAAAAAAAAGGTGCTGATTTTCAGTCAGCACTTGCTCTGAAGGCGTTTGGTTTATGCTGAAGGAGCTCAGAAAAAGGATCTGAACTGAGTTTACGAGGTGGTGGCTCCTCTTCAGCTCTTACTTTGGTGCCTCCATACGGATGGAGATGCCCAACTTCAGACCCTCAATGGGCAGTTCTGGCTCAAAGCCAGAAAGCTCAGGGAGAGGCAAGTTTAGACATTACAGCAGGCTTGCACAAGACTTTAAAATTGCATTTATGCATCTTTAAGAGGTTCAAAAAGTTTTTTTTATAAAGGGAAAATAATGTATTCCCTGCTTTCTCTTAGAAATGTTAGTTTGCTGTCTTCAGTTAGAGTGAAGATCTGAGCTTTAATCAGCCGCCATCCTAATTTAAAAGGGTAGAAGGATATTTAATTATTTCCTAAAGATGTGCTTTTTCAGAAAAGGTTATTATTTGAGTCAAAGAGATACTGTGAAAACTGAAGAGGAACTGTGAGCAGTTCAGTATTGAAAGTGATCACCCATTTTAATATTAACCCCTTGAAGGCAAGCAATTTGTGGCTGGAATGAAAGTTGGAAAATAAATTTTCATTCTATAAAAGCTTGTCAAAATCATGGAAAACAGAAAGGTCAGAACAAGAAGCAAATGAAAATGTAAATGAAAAGATACTTTCCTGCAAAAATATGAGGTGGGAGAACAATGAGAACAAAGTCCCCAAGCACGGTCATTGCACCGGGCTCAGGCTGTGACAGTGCCGTATCTACGGGCTTTCCTGGCCTTTTACAGAGGCCTGTCTTCTGTTGTACATATTTATATTATTCTGGTGTATTTATATTTATTCTGCTGCATATTTATTTATATTATACTGTATTTCTATTGTATATTTATTTATATTTATTCTGCTGTATATTCCCACCAGGAACAATATAAATCCATTCCCAGGACCGCCTTCATAAGCCCTTTGAAGACCATACTCAAACAAGAACACAATCTTCATTTTCCTTTTTACCCATTTCCAGCAAATCACTTCCCCCAAAACCAGTATTTGGCGCGCGTTTTCCCACTGCTGTTTGAGCCAGCCAGGAAAAGGTGCCACCGGGTATGACGTTGGCAATATGCCCCTCAAGTTGCACGTGTCTCACTGCTGTGCTGTGAGGGGAAAGGCGCTGTACGGTCAGCAGATGAACCAGGGAAGCTCTGCGCTGCCCAGAGAGCTGCCCTGGCTGCTACAAACCAACCCTGCTTTGGCCACTTTTAGGGTTTTTTATGATATTTTTGTAAGTTTTGCAATTTTTTTTTTAGGAAAACTGCTGGTTATTTCCCCAGTTCACTTTGGCCGCTTCGAAATGAGAGGGGAGAGGGAAAAACTTCCCGAACCACGCTGTTGTTACTCTGAAGAATGCTTGCCCTGACCACCTGAACACCGCTCGTTCCTTCTGCGAGGTGCATTTCTGCTCCCCGGGTCGCACCGACGTGGGCCTCACCTGCGTCATCCGTCCGGCCGTTGGACAATCGAAAGGAGTTGGAGTGACTCCCTGCTTGCTTGTATTTCTTGAACCTACCGAAGACAAGGGAGCGGAGAACATCAGTGGATACCCCCCAAGAAGCCCGGGTTACCTTCTGCATGAGAGACGTAGTCACGAAGGGCGTTCCGCACTTTCTTAGGGCTTGGTGAACCAGCTGGTGGGTCCAAGAGGCTACGGGACCTCTAAAACCCTGCCTACGGGCAACTTTTAACTGAGCACATCTGGAAAGGCTGCAAGGTGAAAGCCAGGAGGAGAGGTTTTAAGGCTGATTTTTACGGGGGACACCCCGAGGAGCTCCTGCTCCACCGGCTGATTCAGCAAAGCACACAAACCCCAGGCTGATCCGTCCTTCTGCAGCGCAGCCCTTCGCCACGTGCTTTTAACTGGAAGCAGATGCTTGTGCTCCGTCTGCCTGAAGTTGAGGGTTTTGCTGAATCACCGGGCAGGCGGCAACGAACAGAAACTCTTTTTTTTTAGGGGCAGGAAGCCAGGTGGGGAGGACTCAAACTCTGCCGCTGCTGAGCTCTCAAGGCAAAAGTCTCATCAGGTTCGCTGCCTCGAGGGCAGGCTCGGAGCCAGGAGACAGAGGGAATTTTTCCACTGCTGAGGAGATGGGTTTTTTTCTTTTTTTCTTTCTTTTTTTTTTTTTTTTAATTATTTAATCACCAGAATGTCGAGTAAATGAAAAAGTTTACTGCAAGCGAATAAACGCCCTTTTCTAGCTGAGTAGATACGCACTCAGGAGCTGGGAATGCTACATTTGAGCAGCCCAGATGCTTGGATTTGTTAAAAGTGGGCCTAAAAAGGCTTTGTTCTGTTACAGTTCCAGCTACAGCATCACCTAACAAGATCTGGTCGTGTGCCACCTTGCAGCAGAAGATGCCCAGGCACAATGCGCGTGTTTGGTACCCCTGGCTGAGCTTGGCTCTGGACGCTGGATCACGTTCGGTATCGAGATGGGAATCCAGGAATAACACCCCTGGTTATACATGCAAAGGACTTTCCAGCTTGAGCACTGTGTCCAGCTTCCCCGGATCGCTCATCCTAACGCCCTTCGCCTTGCAAAGAAATCTTACCTGATTTTTAACTGCACTGATAGGACTTTAGTTTAATCTACCCTACTAAATATGACATTTTCAGTAGCAGAACAGGCACTACCCCACACAAGGATCCGCTTTATAGAGAAAAGAATAAGCATCATTTACTAGACAACCCCAAACATAATTTTAATTATCTCTACAGGTTTCTTTTTAAAACACCAGCCGTGTCAGCCTTTAGCTTCGGAAACAGCACAAAAGGCTTATTCCTGTTCATTCAGTAATTAATTTATGTCAAATAAGGGAAGTCAGCATTAAAGCATTTCTTACCTTAACATGTACAGCACAATAATAATAAATACTATGACTAGAAGGGAAGACAGGGCCACCATCACAGCTATAATTGGAGTCTCATCTGCAATAGGGAAAGAAAGGTGTGATTATCAACACTGGAAAACATCCAGCACCATCATTTAACAGGGAAGAGCTCTACAATTTCTGCTTAAAAATAATAATAACAACAACAATATTAATAATATTATTAACAACATCAACAACAACAACAATAATGATAATAATAGAGTTAGGTTATAATAATAATAATAATAATAATAATAATAATAATAATAATAATAATAATAATAATAATAATAGAGTTAGGTTATGTTTCTCCAGTCTGACAGTGAAGACAGATACACGAGCTGAGCGAGCACCACGTATCTCAGCTCCTCTGAGGTTGGATTAAAACCTGTAACCACTATTCAGAGCACCTCAATCTCCTCTAAGAGTTGTTCACTGTGGACCCCTGACCTTGCGGATGAAAACAGTGACTGAGAAAGGTGTGAGCGGGCTATTTTAGGGGTTTCTTCTGCACGACTGAATGTACCCATGGTGGCCCACCAGTCACCGGTAGAAGTTCCTGCTCTGTCACCTGGGGACCTACAAAATCTTCTACCTGAGGTGTAAGGACCCATGGAAGAAGTTTCTAAGCAGGTCCAAGAGTTTGGTATAACGTCATAAAGAACCTTACATTAAAACAGGTGAAAACTGTGGGCTTTTTAAGACCCCACAGATGCTACATTTGTAAAACCGCCACGATTTCCTTCAAGTTCCTTGTCAAATAGGACAGGAGGGCAGAGCTTCACGCCGCACTTGGTCTCTGAACACTTTCAGGCTGAGGTTTGCTGGGGAGGTTCAGGGCTGCTGAGCTACTTATCATCCGTCTGGCTCGTCGCTTGCTTGTTTGCTCCCTCACAGAGGCTTCTCAAGGGTGGGCACTATGCAATTCCCTTGCCAACACACTTGGATTAGCCATGTCTGAAGCGTTCCCATCCTCCAGGACCCTCAATAGATTTTTTTTTTTTTTTTTGAATAAGCTATTTGTAACTTGTCCCGGAGGTCAGTGGTCAGCACAAGCAAATTACCCAGATTGGGTTGAAAGCCAAGCAATGCTAACCAGGCAGGAAAATGGTCCTGAAGGGCATTTTTCTGGATAAATGTGGATGCCAGCAACGTCAGCTGGGGGGGTATTTTCATTTTCCAGCAGCTCTCTCAATCTGTATGGGCCACCACACTGTGTCTACACACCTTGGACCCCCAAGACTGCAGGCCAGGACCCCCCTTTCCACCTTCTGCGCATCCATTTCCCTGCCAGAGCAGATTCCTGCTCCGTGTGTCAGCAATTTCAGCCAGCAGATTTTCTTAGGTGGGATTTAGTTTGTCCACCTTTGACTACCGAGCTACCAAGGGGCACTCTGGTTATATTTCCGCATTTGTCCCTCTGCAGTCGTGAGGTCTAGAAATGTTATTCTGACCAAAAGATACGATTTTTGTGTAATGATTTGAAGGCAATGACCTGGTATGGCAAATAAACCCACGAAACCCTCCCGGTCTTGCATGTCTTTGCTCTTTCCATCTACTGTGCTCATGTGTCGGCGTCTCCTCCAGACCAGCAGCAAAAAGCCAAGGAATTTACCGGGAGGCATTTCTGCCTCCTGCACGCTCAGTAGCTGCTGGAGCCTCAGCATTACCCACCATGAGGCTTTCCAAAAGCAAGACCAGGAAGGCAAAGCAACCACGGAGCGTCTTAGCCCAGCTCCAGCCAGCCCTTGCCTCTCCTCTAACGTGCTCCTTGTTGAGACCTCCGACCGTAACCACCGTCACCACCCTGGCTGCAGGAGAAGAAGGCCAGCTGCCTTGCCAAAGCCCCCGCTGCTGTGCCCCCACTACGCATCGTCGGACCATTTCTCCTGCCTTGGCTGGAGTTAAGCTCAGCCTAACCGCTGCCGAGCCAGGGAGGGGCTGCTGCGGCCGTGCCGGTTGGCAGGAGGTGTGATTTACGGGCAGGGGTGCAGGATGCAGGGAGCCTGGGGGGTGTGGGGGGGTTGTTGTTTTTCTTTTTTCGCAGACGTTCTTTCGACACATCTGGCTGGATGAGTTAGAGCTTTTCCACCACAGCCGCTAACCGCCAGCCTGCTGCCCGGCCCACCCAGCAAAGCCCAGGCAGGAAACAAGCTGGAGGGTCCCCAGTTGGTCCCTCGTTCCCCAGCCAGCCCCCCCTTGCAGCTCCCATCCCACTCGAGCCTCGGTCCACGGAGGCATCACGCTTGTGGTTTGCTTGGAGAAGGGACAAGGGCTCGACCCTCTGCTTCCACCACAGCCCAGACCCCGGGAGGCACTGGGATGCTTAAATCTCGTCCCAGTACCTCTGAGGGGCCAGCAAACCATCTCCTGGTGCTCGACATCATGTCTCCAATGGTAGGCAGAGGTGCTATATAGCAGTCTATAGGTCGTCCCCTTTACATCATGCAGGCCCGGGTGCAGCTGTACAGCAGAAAGGTCCTTGCTCATCGCCCTCAACGCCTGCCCACAAAATGTGAGTCAAATTGAGCAGACGAAGAATTATGGGATCACGAGCCAAAAAAAAAAAAAAAAAAGAGGGTAAAAGAAACAGAAGCAAAGATGTAGGGTCAGTATTTCTTAAATAACCCCCCCCCAGGACACGAGATGCAGAGCTCCTGGAAAAGCAAATCCTGCAAAATGGTCGCAGAGGGGGAGCGGAGCAGAAGAAAGAGTTTAAATCCTATCTCTGAGATCCCAAGTAGGGTTTAAATCTATGTTCCCTGCAAACATCGCCGAGCCTGCAGGAGCGGATCCACGCTGCAACCTTTATTCATTTTCCTGCACTATTTCCTCCCCAGTTGTGTTTGGGAGGTGGGAGAAGCCACCCCAGGCACAGGAGCTCAGGAGGAATCAGCGAGCGTGGTCACGAACCATCTGAAATCCCTCCCTTGGGTCCAGATTGCCCACATGAACATGATTTGCTTGGGACAAGGCCAGATTGACGTTGTACACCGCTTGGCACAGCTGTCCTCCAGCCCCACCTCCCGCAAGGTGCTACCACGGCAGTGAGGAGCACTGGGAGAGGTGCGCAACGAGCAGGGCAATGCTTCAAAGCCAGAGGATCCTCTTGAGCTCCAGGTCTCCCTGATGCTTTCTGTGCATCCTGGTGGGATATGGATGCATTATTTCAAGCCATCCATAGGGAAATGTGAGAGGGTTGGTTGCCTGCTTTTTTCAAACCAAGCCTGGGTGATTTTCTGAAAGGTAGGAAATGGCCATTTCCGTGCCCATGTGAACTTCAAGAAGTTCAACAAAGCCAAGTGCAAGGTCCTGCCCGTGGGTCAGGGTAATCCCCAGTATCAACGCTGGCTGGGAATGAGAGCAGCCCTGAGGAGAAGGACCTGGGGGTATTAGTGGCTGGAAAACTGCCTGTGAGCCATCCCCGTGTGCTGGCAGCCCAGAACCCCCCCGTGCCCTGGGCTGCAGCCAGAGCAGGGGGGGCAGCAGGGCCAGGGGGGGGATTGTCCCCCTCTGCTCCGCTCTGGGGAGACCCCCCTGCAGTGCTGGGGCCAGCTCGGGGGCCCCCAACAGCAGAAGGACACGGAGCTGCTCGAGCGGGGCCAGAGGAGGCCACGGAGATGCTGGGGGGGCTGGAGCAGCTCCCCTGGGGGGCCGGGCTGAGAGAGTTGGGGGGGTTCAGCCTGGAGAAGAGAAGGCTCCGGGGAGCCCTTCGAGCGGCCTCCCAGGGCTTAAAGGGGGGGCAGGAGAGGTGGGGGGGGACTCTGGGTCAGGGGTGGGGGTAGGACGAGGCGGGACGGTTTTAAGCTGAAAGAGAGTAGGTTTAGGTTATATATAAGGCAGAAATTGTTCCCTGTGCGGGGGGTGAGGCGCTGGCCCAGGGTGCCCAGAGCAGCTGTGGCTGCCCCCTCCCTGGAAGGGTTCAAGGCCAGGTTGGACGGGGCTGGGAGCCCCCTGGGCTGGGGGCAGGGGGCCCTGCCCGGGGCAGGGGGGGGCACTGGGTGACTTTTAAAGGTCTTTTCCAACCCAAACCATGCCATGATTCTATGGTGCAACCATCACTTGATCCCTTCAGGAGGCATTAGCGTCTCTCCCGCCAAGGAGCAGGGTGTTCCACTTACTGAGATGACTACTTCATCCATCACACCTACTCCAGGCATGGAGCAGGAGAAGGCAGGGCACTTCTCCTCCCTATAGCCCCATTGGGAAGGGCTCTGTCTTTCTGATACATCCCTACGGCTGTCTGAGATGTGGAGCTTGATCCCGGAGCGTGGCATCACCCCTTGAGAAAGTAAAGTCATAAATATTTGTGCAGCTTTACTTCTCCTACCCTTGAGGAAAGCAGGCAAGACTTTTCAGTGAGCCTGCCAAGGACACCTGGCACAGCCTCTCCCTTCCAGGCCTGTGAAGGATTCAACCATCTCTTGTAGCATAAAAAGATGCCCTAAAAGGCCACGGTCGCTAAAAGGGGATGGAGAAGGACTTGCAGCATCTGCAAGAGTTGGGTGCTGCTGGGCAAGGCAAACCACTAATTTCCATCAGGCTGACTTCATGAAAATTCCCCTTCGGACCCCAAATCAGAAGACCAGGGTGAGCAGAGCCATCTGCAAATGTCCTCCCACGCTGCCCTGCTCAGCACTGATGCTCCAGCACAGGCAGCTCCATCACTCAACAACCCCAAAGCTTGCAGACATCTTCTGGTGATGCTGTTGTGGGAGGGGGGCCAGAATAAAAGGGCTACTCAATTCCTCCGAGAGTCATATAATAATTGTCAAAGTGGACTTGGGTCTGAGATACAGCACTGGGGATGGTTTTACATGACAGTACGAGTGCAAGCAATAAGAGGCAGAAGATTTTCACTAATCTGGATAAAAATCACTTCTCTGCTCCTCATCATCAAAATAACCCTCAATCAGTAATTTGTTAGGAAAGCTTTTAATTTTGGAATAATGTGAAGGTTATTACTGTAACTTTCCTGATAAGAAAACTACCTATTTCTCTGCTTTCCAGTGTTAGGGATTAAAAACCTCCCAGCAATTCCTAGGGACACACACACTTGAAACGAGACAAGACACACATTTCCATGGCCCACCTTGCTGTAAACCATCGCTCAAAATCCTCCTGAGGTTTAAAGAAAAACTCCAGCACAAGTTCAAAGGCCTTCAGCTCCGAGCAGAGCTTATCCTGGGCTGGTTAGTCCCGCAGAAGTCAGTGTAGCTGGATTTAACCTGCTATGGTTTCACAGATTTGCCGAATCTTAAAAGGGTTTAGTGGCAAAGCCCCCTTAATCTGGCAGAGATTCACCTTTTAAGTGGAAAACCCACGTAAGCTGATGGGAGGCTGGCTCTTGCTGTAACCTCCATCAATTTTCTCCATGACGTGCCATGTTCTATAGATGATGTGATATATTCTACACATGATGTGATATACTCCATAGTGGTTAGGGGGTATAATTTGGGAAGGATGTACTTAGGTCAGAAAAACACACGTGTTAGCTAATCCTGCATCTAACTAATCCCGCATCTAGATGAAACAATAAATCAAAACAATTATTTTTCGTGTCCTTTACACATCCAGGAATGATTACAACATCAGAGAAGATTGTTTTCTGGAATAAATCAGAATAGAGGCACTGACTGAAACTCCATCATCTTAAAGCAGGAGAAAAATGACCTGCAGAGACAGAATTAGTCCCTTTGGAGTCACTGGGAAGACAACACACTCACAGCATGACCCAAGCCAAGTTTTACTGACAGCTCTACTTAACATTAACAGCAGCCTCTCCACTTCTGGCTGTCACAATTCTGCTCCCAGTGCTGCTTCCTGGTGTCAGGGAGCCAGGAATACCAATACCCCTAGAATAACCCTCCAAGTCACAGGACTTGGAAATATTAATTATTTTATTAGTATCAACATTATTAATATTAATATTGTTAGGAAGTCAGATTTTTTTTCCCTTTTTTCGTTTCTTTGCTCCCAGGAGCAGGGATCAACAATGACAGAGAGATTGCAAAAAGGCATGTCAGAACCAAGGGAATTACAATGAACATTTCTATGGGGGCTTAGCCATTATTTTAAAAGAATTCACTCGGACCTGCGTCCCTTCTATTTCCTCTGTGCAAATGTGTATTGACAGTAACTATGGCAGAGCATCTGCCTCTTCCTGTATACCATCAGCGGGACAGTGTGGGTTTGGCACACCAAGCAGCAGAAAGCAGATTGCCGTGGAGTTTACAAAGCTGAAACAGCCATCAGAGCAATGATGAAAACACCCAGAGGAAGCGTGTTTCTGTAGGGAGCAACCAGACTGGCTGCACCTCCGTCCTACCCACCCCTGTATGGCTAAAGCAATGAGTAATTGCAAATATTCTGGTAGTGGTGCCAGTTCTCAGAACTAAGAGATGGAAAAATGCGCCTAGAGTGCATTTATTACAAGAAATGGATGTGTGTTACGGCTTGCCAACAGAATTAAGAATAATAATTATTCACGTCATTTGCAGAATGGGTCTGGATCAAATAGGGTAAGGCACAGTCAATAAAGAAGGAAATCTGCTGAATGGCTTCTTAGACTTTGGTCATCCAACTCTAGGGAGGGAAATGCTGATATTTTCAGAGCGTTCAGCAGGAACTCTCTGCATCTAACAGGACATGTGCAAATTGGTACGGGATTGTTTATTTCTAAAAAGAAGAGCTCAACACAAATTAAGATATCAGTGTGTCACCCGCTCTTCTGAAGAGCTTGACAGGCTTTGTAAAAGCAACTTTGGCATAAGGAGAGCTATCTAATAGCAGAATACTTCTGGAAATGTTTTTACTGAGGGCTTGACTAAAGAGTAACGATATATAAAATTCTTACCTCTTCTGTCAGAGTTACCTGCAGAAAAAGAAAACAAAAGTCTCTTAGCAACAAAGAAATATACATTTTAATAAGTCAGGAAGGATCAAAGACCAAGGCAATAACAAATTTAGTAATTCTCATCATCTTCTTGTACATCTTTCCTTTAAAACACCAGCTACAATCCAGGATGTAAAAACGAATTTCAGCCTTCACATAGTAACAAGGAAGAATGAAGAAAAAGCAACTTTTTATCAGCAGAGCAGGGAGCTGAAGCCGAGCTATAACATCAGTAAACACAACCTACAGCTCTTAATCAATAACAGAGTCTGTTTAAGCTTATAACCAGCAAGTCACTGGTGTAATTCATTAGCACTTAAATGTTAAGAGATAACACTTATGCATAATTTTAAAGGAGTGGCTGAGCCAAGAGTTCAATTAAGAGCAGCTGGGCTCAGGGATGGGGATGAGGAGCATCCAAGGAAAGCCTCTACTTGCTGTTTTGGCTGTTTCATCTAGAGCAAGACAGAAGAAGCCCGTGCCAACGAGAGCACAGCCCAGCTCTTCTGCTTCAACGGCGCTGGCGCGGGCACCCCACGCCCGTTTTATGTGTGAAGAGCTGCAGCACGGGGCTGAGGAGCATCCTGGCAGGTCTGGAGATGTCTGGCCTGTCCAACATTTAATTCATGCGGTGCCTTTTACCCCTATCCTTCTCTTGAGCGTCATTTAATTTTTCCATGACTGATATCCAAATTTCCCATTAAGATGAATGGCAAAGGCAGCCCTAAAACTCATCTTGCTCCTCGACAAATTACTTGTAATACAGAAAGAATCAGGTTTGGTCATTTGTTCTTGGGACTGACATCAAGTGAGAAGTGACATCTGGCCTTGCTGGTGCAATGGCCAACGTGTCACAGCGTACACCAAGGGAGTTCACCAAAAACGGTAACCCAAGTCATAAAAAAAGTAGAAAAGACACAAAAATGATAAATTCAGTCCCCCGCTAGCAGACATTGGATTATAAAATCCAGATCCCAGCAGTACTTAAGGCTTTTGCCTCCATCACTCCCATCTGAATGCCACATTTATTCTAAACTTGCACCGTGTATGTACCTAAGATTACTCTGGACTCCTTCACTCTGCAAAAAAGCCTTGAGGATTCGAGTTTGAAAAGAAGCCGGATGAGCTCGGGGATGGCAGGACACTAAGAAAAAAGGTTGCAGAGTTCCTTCAGCCACATCCCTTCCTATGTTGGTAGCAAAGACAACTTCCCTGCAGCTTCATGAGCTGCAGTTTCCAAAGATGCCCTGAGGAAGAGGGTACACACATCTTACTGACATGAAGAGCAGTTTAGATACCCAATACCCAATATCTCTTGAGAAATTTATTCTTGAGGAATATACACTCGACATCTCCTGCATTAACTCCAGCATTACCTTCTTTGAATCTTTTCTACCCCACCACCAAGTTACCCTTCCTGTTTTTCCACTAAATCCTGCACTATCAAGGCTTTCACTATAATCTTCAGCAGGCACTGCTGTTTAACTGTTGCAACTCAGAGGCACATAGTATAGAAGCTGGGTCTAAAACCAAGGCTGAAGAGTCACGGATCAGCTAAGATTTCTGGTCACCTCAGCTTCTTTTTGCTTGATTTTTGCTCTTAACCTACATTGAGCAGCCAAACTACACACTTAGGGGCCACTTTTATGATGTGCCAAGAGGGGAATGCCAGCAGGATGGCAATAGAGACAACTCTGGCTCATCCTCAGCTCCTGCACCCTCAGCAAGTTCACCAACGACACGGAGCTGTGTGGTGTGGGGACAAGCTAGAGGGCAGGGATGGCATCCCGAGGGACCTGGACAGGCTGGAGAGGTGAGACTGGGCAAACCTCATGGAGTTCAACACGGCCAAGTGCAAGGTCCTGCCCATGGGTCGGGGCAATCCCCAGCACAAACCCAGGCTGGGCGAGGAGTGGCTGGAGAGCAGCCCCGAGGAGAGGGACTGGGGGGTTTGGTGGGGGGAAAACTGCCCGTGAGCCAGCACCGTGCGCTCACAGCCCAGAACCCCCCCGTGCCCTGGGCTGCAGCCAGAGCAGGGGGGGCAGCAGGGCCAGGGAGGGGATTGTCCCCCTCTGCTCCACTCTGGGGAGACCCCCCTGCAGTGCTGGGGCCAGCTCGGGGGCCCCCAACAGCAGAAGGACACGGAGCTGCTCGAGCGGGGCCAGAGGAGGCCACGGAGATGCTGGGGGGGCTGGAGCAGCTCCCCTGGGGGGCCGGGCTGAGAGAGTTGGGGGGGTTCAGCCTGGAGAAGAGAAGGCTCCGGGGAGCCCTTCGAGCGGCCTCCCGGGGCTTAAAGGGGGGACAGGAGGGGGGGGGGGGACTCTGGGTCAGGGGGTGGGGGTAGGATGAGGGGGGACGGTTTTAAGCTGAAAGAGAGTAGGTTTAGGTTATATATAAGGCAGAAATTGTTCCCTGTGCGGGGGGTGAGGCGCTGGCCCAGGGTGCCCAGAGCAGCTGTGGCTGCCCCCTCCCTGGAAGGGTTCAAGGCCAGGTTGATCTTTAAGGTCCTTTCCAAACAAAACCATTCTGTGATTCTATGATCTAAACCTTTCAAAAATTCAAGTAGCCCAAGTAATGGGGAAAAAAATTATAATGTAAGCAAATGCAAGACCAAGGCAAGGAATACTCTGCTCAAGAAGGTCTCACCTCAGTGCTCCTGGAGGAGAGAGAGCACCTCCAGATGGTTTATCAAATCATGTGTGGCTTGTGTCCTCAAGCAGTTTAGCAACCACCAGATGAGCCATCTGCACCATCCTTCATCCTCAGTTTGGCTAATTTTGGATAATGAACCAACTTCTCAGCTTTCCCCAGGAGCTGGGTCTCACCCCTGGTTGGCCAACTCCAGTCTAAGCCTTACATCCTTCGGGACAGGGACTGCCTTGCTGTGTGAGTGCTTGTGCAGTGCCAAAAAGCATCTCTTGAGCCCATGGTGGCTACCAGAACACAACTAAATGTAGCAAAACTCCGGATAACCCAAGCTCTGCAGCTGAGCAGCAACGTGGAGTGATTTATTGCTATTGCCTACACAGACCCGTTACAGATCAGCTTTTCAGACAGCACCTGGGAGCTGTGCAGCACTAGCCTCGCTTCACACTCCGGAAACCACAAAAATCGATGAAATTAATCTGTGACAAAAGCAGAACAAGATCCTAGAGCTTCTGGTGCCCCAGCATCTTGGCAAGAAGCCCAAACCTTCAGCAGGATAAATCCCTTCTGACGGCCAGCTCAGGGCGTTATGCTGTTTCGCACCACCGCGGAATTTCCCCCCGAAGTGTCTCCTCACCCCCTTTTCGTTCGGCAAAGCAAAAGGAGAGCAAAGAAACAAAACCCAGAGGCAGGGTGGCCTGGAGGAGGAGGAGAGGTGCAGGAGGCGCCTACCGTTATGGGGAGCAGAAGAGGTCTCTTGCGTTGTCACCGTCGCGCTGAAATTCCTCCCTGTGGTCTCCGCCTCCGTGCCGGGGAGCGCGGTGCGCGGCGCCGCTGGCGTCACGCTGGGTGGCAGGGAGGTGGCTGGAGGCACGGGCACGGTCGTCCCCGGGGTGGAGGTGTTGAGGCTGACGGCGGTGGCGTTGGGGGAGATCCGGGTGGCCGTGGCCGTAGGTGGCTTTGGCGCCACGGTAGAAACAGTCACGGGAGTGCTAGTGTTGAGGCTGCTCGCACCCGTCGCAGTCCCGTGCTCAGGACCTGCCGTAGGAGCTCTGGCGGGGCTCCCGGGGGAGGTGGGCACCGTTGTGGGGGGCTCTGCGAGAGGGGAGAGCACAAGGGAACAGCCGTGAGATGCCTTTCCGCAACGCCGGAGGGTTTAGATGCTGGACGGTCGCGGGACTGTAACTACAGCCATAAAACAGCCAAAAATCCTGAGTCCAGGACAGGGAATGCTTTGCACAGCACTGTGCTGCAAACCTTATAAAAGCAGGTAACTTCAATAGACCTTATGATATCAAGGAGATACAAAGGTTAGAGCCCCTGTAAGAGAGGATCAACATTTGCTAGAGGTAAAACCTTCAGGTCCCATTTATGAACACCTGCAGCCCATCACCCTCTTTCCAATACATTTTATTGCAGTTAAGTGGAGGGCAGAAGGAGTAAGTCACCAAGCATGTGAGCACTTACTCCTTCGATCCTAAAGATGGTTTAAGGACAAAAGAGAGGAGACAAGGAGTGTAGCTTACCTGTCGTAATATTGTCAGCACCTACGCTTATCAGGCCACTTCCAAGCAAAAGGAGAAAGAACCACAAATCCATGTTGACCTGGGGAAGACAGCAAAGAACAGTTATGTGAATCCTCGTGCAACATCACCCCAAAATAATTCAAACTGGGGACGCTGCTGTGCATCTTGCGTGTGCAGAGCTGGAAGGGAGGAGTGAATGTGTGGCTGGAGCCCCAGCAGGCATGAGGATAGGAAGGATTTATTGATACGGTCATACCATATCAATAAATATCATACCATACCTCTATGGGAGGGCGCATGGCGAGAGGCCAGTCTGGTGGGCCAGCAAAGACGACCAGGGCTGAAGCAGGAACGGGGTGAACTATGGGAGAGCAGTGAGGAACAAGCTATGAAGCTGAGCACCAGAGTATCTGGTTTTAGAGGAAATTAATAACGTGTTCATATAACAGTCTGCAAACGAGTGGACTTTGAGCAAACCGAAATGCAGTATCTATGAAGACCACTTGATCCAAAATGCCCAGGAACCGGAGGCAGGGAACAATCATAGGATGGGTTGGAAGGGACCTTAAAGATCACCCAGTCCCAAGCCCCTGCCACAGGCAGGGACACCTTCCACCACACCAGGTTGCTCAAAGCCCCAAGGAGGAGAGGGCAGCTCCTCCTGCGGGCAGTGCCCAGTGGTCCCCTGCCTGTTACTGGGTGCGGGCAGAACGCCCGCACAAGGCCCGGCTCAGCTCTGTTCAAACCCCATCAGATTCCCTGCACGTGCGGACAAAAAAAACCCCACAAATGATAATCCAAGATCATCTGCAAGTGCAGGCTGCACATTTGTTGCACTGTACGTTTCTCCCCAGGAAACGTCCTACAAAATTACAGGACGATGACATCAGTAAAGTTGCTTCCTCCAGGCTTTCTCCCCCAGCCCTTTTAAATACAAGGCTTTTGTGGTGATTTCTTTCCTCTGTAGACCTCAGAAAGCTCCGGAGAAGTGGGTAACATTATCTCCTCCCAAACAGATATGGATCCAGAGGCCGAGGCAAACGACGGCGAGACGTGAGCCGTCGTCGTCCTGGCCAGGGGAGAGCCCAGCGCTGCCAAGCCCCCGACTCGCACACGGCCCCGGGGACGGGCCAGCATCTCGCGCCTGCTACGAGCCCAGAGAGGGCTCAGAGAGGGCTCTGCTCCGTGCCATCGGCTGGCAGCTGCCGTACAACTCCCTCCCGACCTTCAGGCTTTTGACAGGCGTCCAGCTGCACCTTCAGCACCTCCTGGGAGAAGGCGCGCGAGATCGCGCCGCCAAGTCGACTTGTCGCACTGCCAAGGAAGAGTTTCATTCCCGATACGCGGTCCAACCCTCCCTCTCTTAAATACAACTCCTGTTGTTTGTTCTCGTTGTATTTATTTAAATCTGCTTCGATCCAGACCCATCCCAAACTCCGGGCAAAAGGACAACACCGAAGTCATCAACACACTGGAAACGGTATCAGAAATACAAGATCCTCCCCACCCCACCCAGGAGTATCCTCCCACCAGCACCACACACTTACTTGTTTTTCATCCCCACCCCGCCCCCCCGAAAAAAAACCTGGCAAAAATCAAACTTACTCAGTGACCAAAAGGTCAGACAAACCCTGAACCAGAAGGAAACCAAGCTCCAGAGATAAGACCTTTCCTTCAGCTCCCTCCATGGCCAATCCTGAGGCAGGACTTTCTCCAAGGGGTCCCACTGGTGTGAGCAGCCAAATTTCCAGAGGGTTTAATCACTGGTTAAAATATCTGTCTGGATGAATTTGAACTGACTCAGTCCTCCTGCTGCTGGCAAGAGCAGGACTGATCCTGCAATGTCTCCCTCAAGGCTATGCTCCCGGGTGGGATGTCCGGAAAACCCACAACTGATTGGATTTTGATGACGTGCTCCACTACTGGTGCTCTTGTTGAGCAATCACACTCTAGAGCTGAGATGGTCCTAAGTCAAAGAGGTTTTCCACCCTCGCACTGTAGGAAAGGGAGCTTGTGCCCTCCCTGTGCTTAATTTTAACCGGGAAGCACATGAAGATGCGCCGCCAGCAAGAACGATAGCAACTCGCTGCAGGAGACAGATCCTTCAAGCATCCCTCTGTGGAAATCCACAGAAATAGGGTGTTCCTCATGATCGGACCCATGTGCAAAGGCAGAAGGACCCTAAATCCACAATGAATCTCCAAAAGAACGTAACAGCGGCACTGAGGAGCTCCTGAAACCTCACAAGGGCTGATGAAGGCTCCAGGGTCTCGCCATCACAACCACTTCCCTTGCCATGAACTCATCGCCACCACAACAAAAGAACAATGACAAGGTAAAAGGAAAGACCTGGCTCTTCTGCAAACACTACTAGGAAAAAAAAAAAAAAGTGACTGTTTGCTGTGTTTTGATGAATATTTGTATAGAAAAGCCACTCTTGTAGGTGGATGTGGCTCTTCTCTTCTTCGCACTGTCCTGTTTCGCAAAACGAGAGTTCCCGTTCATCTGGGATCCTGTTCATCTGGGATCCCGTTCATCTGGGATCCTGTTCATCTGGGATCCCGTTCATCTGGGATCCTGTTCATCTGGGATCCCATTCATTTGGGATTCCCACAGCTCTGCCAGCGCCAGCTCCACAGCAGCAGTGTTCCCCAAGAGCTGACAAACCAGTCAATAATGGGGATGCTCCCACCACGCTGGCATCCTACCAGCTCCTCACACTAAGATCTTGTTCCTCACCACCTGGCCCATAATTAACCGATAACTGGAAAACCATACAGATCTAAATCTCTTCCAAACCTTTCTCAATGGCTTCAAGGATCTTTTGAGCTGGCTGTTCCAGCTCTTGCAGCACACCTCAAATACCAGGGGAATGACAATTTGTTCATGGTCACTCAGTGAAAGGGTGGTAGACCCCAGGGGACCTGGTTTCTCTCCCATTTGTAGACCCTGGAGTCCTCTTGAGAAAGTTAAAAAAGGAAAGACCGATGGGTCAGCCCATGCCAATCCCACACCCCCTCTCTAAGGCCAACAGCCAAATGTCCCATTGGCCTCTGAAGCTCTTCTCCCCTATTCTCAACACATTTTCCCTTGGTATCAAAAACAGGACATGGAGGGTGGGTAGAAAGGAGTCAAAGCTCCTCATTCTGCCCTCCATTATGGGGAAGTAACCCACACAGAATAAAAAAGCTTGGTTTTATTTCCATGACCACATGGCAGTGGGGCTGGGACTAGATGATCTGTAAGGTCCCTTCCAACCCAAACCATTCAGTGACTCTATGTTTGCTATATGGACAAGAGCTACATGCAATTTCTGGACCAGCCACAGGTACTGGCTGCAAAAACCTTTTGGGATGGTGGGATGATCACAGAATCATCGAAAATTGGAAAAGACCCTTAAGATAATCGAGTCCAATCATTGATGCAGGTCCCTCCTTTGCTGAGCCGGCAGCACAGCTCTGATGACCTGGATTACATCAGTGAGCAGGCAGCTGCCTGCTTTAAAACCCCCCTTGATATTACGTTTAATAAGTTCATTGATCCTCGAACAGATTGCATTAGGAGGAGAGGGTTGGCAAGGGCAGAGAACGCCGTATTTCCCCAAGCCTTGCCCCGTTTTCCTGAAGAAAGATGGATGCTGGCGGTCCGTGCAGATCCTGAGTTTTTACGGCTTTATTACTGTAAATGTCAAGAGAAACAGGACGCCGGGCAGCCCCGAGGGCACCCCGGCTTGCTGTGCAGGTCATTACACAAAAAATCCCGGGAGCTGCTCCTGTGACCGGCAATCAGCTGCCAGCGCTTTATCACCTCAAAACCGGATCCGGAGCAGAGAGCAAGCGAAAGAGCCCTGCGCGAGGGGAGGGCTGTGCCAGCCCAGCTCCCGGCTCCCAGCCCCGGCTATTAAGCACTCCCTATTCCCAAATGCAACATAAATAAATGCCAGCGGTACGTTGCTACCCGCTTCTTAACATAAAAGGCCTCGAGAGTCCTACCCCAAAGCTGGAGAAACCCGAGTCTCCCTTCCCCCTCGGCTCCCTCCCTGCTGGTTTCGGAAACGGAGAGGAAATACTTGTAATGTTATCAACATAAACACAGCTCTTGGCCGGGTGCAACATCCTGCGAGCTCTGCAGAAAAACACCCTGACGTCACGGCGCCGGCTCTGCCGAGGAGAAAGGAGCCGGCTTCGGCACCGCTGCCCCGGCGGGTTGGGATGCTCAGCATCACGGCTTTGTTCTAAACCTTCCTTTTCAAAAATCAGGGCTAGAAACCTGAGTAATTTCTACTGGTATTCCCAGCAATATAATATAATATATATTTTTTTTTAAAATACACAAATATGTATTTATACATAGAGCGTATATGCACTGAGCTTTCCCGTACGCTGCTCAGAAGCTTCCTATAGGAAAGGCTGAGTTTTAGGCTGCAGGACGTATGTTTTAAAATAAGCAGATCTTGTCAAGATGATTGATGCTGGAGGGGGAAGAAAAAAAAAAAAAAAAAAAGAAATAATCTCTTTATAAAGTAATAAGTGGCTTAAAAACGGTCCTTGTGCGTGCTGCTGCTATGGGGGGGGGTTGGCTGCAGGACCAGCTCCGCCTGCTTTCAGAAAGCAAAGAATTAACATTTAGGGCTGCAGAAACTGCCCAGATCCTACCTGAATACAGCCGTCCACAATCAAAGGCAGGATTTACCCCCACCTCTGACATACTCCTAATTCCTGGAAGATGAGGCAATCTTTTTCTATGTGCAAGGAGGAGACATGACCAGAATTCTACTCAGCTTTCTGGGACCCCAGAAACCACTGCTGCTATCAGTAGGATGCTAAAATGTAGCGGCTCAACCAAGACCACCCAACTGCCTTGTGCTGGCCCCAACCGCAGTGAAAAATAAAAAAAAAATTGTTCAGTTTTCTTCTTTTTTTTTGGCAGGGAAGAGGGCAAAACTAGGAGCAAGGTTAGCATTTGCACCAGTTAGCTCTTTGAAGCAGCTCACAGTAGGATGAGAACAAGCACGAGCATAAAGAAAGGGGAAAAAGGTCTATTATTTTTTTTTTCCTTTTTGGTGGCAGCAAGCCATCA